AATCCTGTTTCATTTCATAGGTAATAATCAGATACACAGACGAAGGATTTCGTAAATAATTTAAAAAAATTGTTAGATTCCCTAAACATTCCGAGTTCGACCCCTCAAAACAGAGGAACAAAACAATTAACTAGTAAGCTACAATCGACAAAATGTTCATCATTATTATAAGTCTTATTAAATAAAGATGTTTGTATTTTCACCTTTTTGGAGAAAATGGGATGACTCGTTCTTAATTTGATCAATAAAAAATATGAATGCTATGATGAATCAGAAGTAAAAACTCATATTTTGCACATTTTGGGTAGAATTTATTCCGCAAAATTTTGAGATAACGTCAGCAATTTTTTGGGGAAATAAACAGATTTATTAGAATTAACAGTTCACCATGCTTAGAATGACTTTAAAACGTCTGCAAGATTTCAAAGTATTCAGTTTTGCAATTCTTGATTTAATCAATAAAATTAATTGACTCAGTCATTAATTTTTTTCAGACACCCCGTATAAGCAAATCTAAAAAAATATTATTAATGCAGTGATAAATCACAAGCATAGACTGATCATTCTTTACACATTTAAGATAGCATTTTTTCAGCAAAATTTTGGGGTGGCGTCATCAATTTTTTAGGGGGGATGAGCAAATACATTTTGATCAAAAATTTACCATGCTTATGATAAATTTAAAACATCTCCAAGATTTCAAATCATTCGGTTTTGTAGTTTCTGATTAAATCAATAAAATAAATTCACACATTCATTAATATTTTTGAGTCACCTGTATATGCAAATCCAAAAAATATTAATGGAAAAATAAATCACAAGTACAGACTCATCATATTTTGTGCCTTTTAGACAGGATTTATTCGGCAAATTTTTGAGCTGACGTCATCAATTTTATGGAGGGGATAAGTAAATATATTGTGATTAAAATTTTATCATGCTTATCATAACTGTAAACCATCTGCAAGATTTCAAAGTATTCGGTTTTGTATATTCCAAATCAAATGCCAAAATGTTGATTCCTAATTTTGATTTTTTTTCCAAAAATCTGGACGTTTCCGGTAAAATCTCAATTCGGAGTCATAAACTACATGTGTAAGACTATGTTATTTGATACAATTTAAAACTCAATTACTATGTACAATTTTGAAGTGACGTCATCACATTAGTGGTACAGTCGAGGCCATTAATAATGACCGCCTCCCGGTCCTAGCAATGGACTGCCGAAAGTACCCGAGCGGTTTGAGAAAGGCAAGTTGGTTTACAACTGCAAACACAAATCTGCATTTATCAAAATTCACCTTTCTCTAAGGGCTCGGGTAATTTCGGCAGTCCATGGCTAGCACCATGGCCACGGGAGGCGGTCATTATTAAAGGCCTCGACTGTACTAGTGGTACTGGTGATCCAGTACTTTCGGAGATTATCTGTCTAATAAAAATCCGGGACGGCAGACAGACGGACAGTCAGACGGAAACGGGAGACCTATTTCTTCGTCCTCTAGGGGTCATGATAGGTCGAGAAAATGCAAAAGTAGAGAGCCGGCCGACGAACTCGATTACAATACGTCTTTTGCTTACGCTCGGGAAGTAAAAAATACATAGTTTAATAACAATTTATAGAAGAAATCTTTTGAAAACAGCACGTTTGCGGAGAAAATTGATCAGTGCTGTCAAGATTTTTGTTCTTTTAAGGGTCAATGAAAAATATTGTTGGGGAGTTAAACGTTAAAAATTGTAAAAAAAAATATTCCAGTAATTATTTACTTTCAGTTGTTACCGTGAAATATTGCAGAACTTTATAAATTTAAATGAAATTTATAAATATAACCTCAGTTTTAAAATGTGAGTTTTTGACAATTTATGTTTTTTCATGTCAAATAACTGCATCGCATTCGTACCACGAGTCAGGCAATTCAAGATTTTCAGCAATAATAGTGTTTATAATATCAAAGGGATGAGTAAATGCGAAAAAATAAACATAAAACGTTAAATTGCGTTAAACATTTTATTTCCTTCCCCTAAATAATTTTATCTATGAATTAAAAAGTGTTGGTTTTTTTTTTCCAGAAAAAAGATACCTTATAACTTTGAAATCATTGAATGTTAAGGTTGTATATTTTTGTTATTAGACAAAAGTTAAAAAATAACAGCCTCGCTACAAACTTCAATTTTCATGGCACACAGATGTACCATTTTATTCCACAGATGTTTATGGAAATTTTGATGTATATGCCTTGTTGTCACTTTGACGTTTAAAAGAATTATCACGTCGCATCCAGTGTTAGCATGCCCGCAATTGATCGAAGCTTATTTCGACAAAACTTCCCACGCCCCTATAGAATAATGTGATAACCCTGTAAAGTAAAGACAAGCTGCATAAATAACACCCCCGCAGCCTCTGCGCCCTGGGGGCGCAAATTCTTGTAAGTACGGACCATGTAAAATATGTTTAAACCACACAACCAACGCGATAAAATGCCCTCTCGGCACTAGGTAATAGCAATCTGCAGTTCAAGTGTTTATTTATGTTTATGCATCGAAAGAATGTCACGTAGAAATTAGTTTGATTTGAATTGAGTTTGTTTCCCATAACAAAGGACAAAAATTATTAATTAAGCAACAATCGACCAAAATGTTCTGAATATTATAATTCTTATTTTACCATTAATAAATTGTGTATTCTCAAATTTTCGAGATAATAGGGTGACTCGTCCTTAATGATGACGTCATCAACATAGATAATACTAGTCATAGGACAAAAGAAAACTAGTCACAGCGCAGAAAAACAAAAATGAAACGACCAAGTTCGAACGCGCGGTCGCAGGTGACCGTTCTCCTAAAAACCCACTGCGCTATGAATGTTTTTTTTTTGGTAATACAACGTTATTATATACTGAAAATGTTTTCGCGAAAAAAATTGAAAGCGGTTTCGTACACCACAATATAGAGTAGTACATTTTGTATAGCATTTAAATCATTTTAAAATACAATTTATTGAAATATGTTACGGGACGTAGAAAATTCAACAGTCGAGTGAGGTTCTTGTTTAATTCTTGATTGTTGATTTTTTTTACAAAAGTGTAAACTGAGTTTATATACCAATCACAACTATTAGAAAGTAATTATAACGGACATTCTTCTTTTAAAACATTCTCTTTCATGGCGACATACGCTAATTTATAATTTATTATATTACAAATGGCGTCATCAAATTGCTGGTGGGGTTTAATCATCTACAATCTACATATTTCTAATATACATACAAAATTTGACAACAATCGGTGAAGCAGTTTCTGAGATTACGTGTCTAATAAAAGTGGATACAGACGCCAGACAGACAGACAGACGGACGGACGGACGGAAAGAAAGAGGAGATCCCTGTTTTGTTTTCGTACTTCAGGAGTCATGAAAGCTCGAGAAAATATAAAAGTGGCCATTCGTCCGGTGGACTCGATTACTGTACTTTCTTAGCTTACGCATTTTTGCATCCTGAACAATAGTTAAGATAATTTTTACGAATATCGAATTTCACAGTTTTTAAGACACGAAAATTAACGGCATCTGTTGTCAGTGATTTTATTAGGCAGTATAAACTCAAACTACAGTTTCAAATTGTTTTTCAAAGACACTGGCTAGCAACTAAATTTGTCTATCCGTCAAAAATCTGGAACATAAAATTACATGCTCCTTTAAATAATTTAACATCTCATCACTACAGTTGACTCTACAACTATAAATTGCGTAAAAAAATAACCAAGTTTTTAAAACCATATTTTAGTTTATCTCAGATATTGCGCGACAAATGTCTTCGAAATTACATCTCTCACTATATTATACTTTACATCTTTGTGTACAAAAAACCCTACCCAGGTAAAATATTTTATATTGAAACTCCAATTCCCCAGTTTTCTTGTAAGATGATTTAACTTTCAGTCGTCTTATAGTTTCCACTCTCTTGGACTAACAATTACTGCAGTCAATTTGTAATTTGGGGGCTTTACAACCAAGAAATATTTTAACCGATTTATATTATTATCTAATTTCTTTTCTTTCAAAAGCATTAAAAACCATTAAATGATTATTTTTTGAGTCGTTACTGCAAGTCACCATTGATTCTTTTAGGGGTCGAGCCGACACTATTTCTTTTCACTGTAGCGTAACAACAGCCTTAAGCAAGTAGATTTACCCAGACCCATTGTTAATCCATTTACTATTATTTGACAGAATCGTCTTTCTAAGTTGTTTTCCTTTCATTATACGAAACTTGGTCGCTTACTTCTAGTAACTTTTGTGCTTTATCTAATCAATCAAAATTTGCTAGCTGACGTCACAGTGACGTAAAGTAAGTTTTTAGTTCCTACGTTCATGCATACAATGGAAAACCACTATAAGAGCTGAAATTCCATAGAAACTTATTGTATCAATAATGGTTTCGTGAAATCGAAAATAAAACAGATTAGGGTTAACTTTAAGACCAGTTGCATAGGTCGTACTACTTCGCTGACACTTCACAAAATTTTGTCACACCTGTAACTGTACAAGTGCAGTAGAAATAGAATTGATTAAAATTCGTTCCCCCCTTTTCGTTGTTCCGGTAATCGTTGCCCAAAAGGAATGTATTGTGCTCTAATAAAATCAAATTTTCCTTAAATTCAAAACAAAAATGATTAGTTAATGATTATGTTGGCATTGATTTCAACTCGGATGTGTTTTATTTTCAATCGCACGAGAGAATAGTCCAAAAACATCAAACTTGACACGAATTGGAATATTGAAGAATATACAGAATAATGAATAACAAATCCATGCTTTTTTTCAATACTCTGATGCGACAACAAGTTACCATCGCGTTTTAATACAGAAGATGCTTATTCCATGAACGAGTTTAAAGGGACACGTGGTATCCTAATGGATACGTCTTTCGATTTTGAAGTTCAGACGAAATATGTACTTAGTTTATAATTATGACGCGTTGGTGATGTTTCGATGTTTGTCCACAGGTGCTAACGTGACAGCAGCCAAAGGTCTCCAGTACCCTTTTCCGAGTCACCCGCCAATCCAACTGACGCCCCCAGTACTCCACCCGCAAGCACCACCCGGCACGCCCACCACGCCGACGCCAACGACGTCAGCGACGCTCCCAACGCTCCCACCAGCGTCGACCACAAGTACAATAACCAGGGGCGCCAACCACGGTGACAACAGACTCAAACCGTGCACGAGTGTCTCTAGTGATAATCGAACATCTAGCAAAGTGAATGTAAATAGAAGTGGTGTAGTGTCAAATCTAGCACCGGTAAAAACTAGTGACAAAAACAGTGTCAACATTCCTAACGCAAGTGACACTAATGCGACGCAGTCTGCGCTCGGCAATGCTTGCGTGCCGACGACGGACAAACTCACCGGGAAAACAGTGAAAACCAGCGACAAAACTAGTGACAAGGTGACGTGTCGGAGGGACTCCAACAGCGGCTCGCCGCGCGGTGACGTCAAAAGTAGAAGAAATAGTGATGCGGGCGTACGGAGAGTAGAAGATAACGATAAATATAGTGATTCTAGTGGTGATAAACAAGAAGAACGAGTCAAAGCCGACGAAAAGAAAGAACATCAGAGGCTAGAGAAAGCCCGTCTGGAAAACGAGAGGTTGGAGAGAGAGAGGTTAGAGAAAGAACGTCTCGAGAAAGAAAAGCAAGAGAAAGAGAGGCTAGAAAAAGAGAAACTAGAAAGGGAAAGGTTAGAGAGGGAGAGTGAACTCGAGAAAGAAAGGTTAGAAAAGGAAAGACTCGAAAGAGAAAGGCTAGAACGGGAGAGGCGGAGGGAGCGCGAGGAACGAGAACGACGAGAAAGAGAAGAAAAAGAACGAAGAGAACGAGAAGAGCAAGAGCGTCAAGAGCGCGAACGGCGGGAGTTGGAAGAGAAACTAAAGCGCGAAGAAGAAGAACGTACCGAAAGGGAACGTCTAGAAAAAGAAAAAATCGAGAAAGAGCGATTAGAAAGAGAAAGAAAGAGAGATGAGGAGAAGAAACACAAGGAGGACAATCACGATAAGAGGAAAGAAGAACACAGGCACCGAGAGAATCACAGTGACAGTAAACATAGAGATAATAATCACTTACACGACAACAAAAACACCAAAGAACACGATAGTTTCAAAAAAGATTCTCACGAGTCTCGGAGTAGTCATGAAAAAAGTCGACATCACATAGAACGAGATGCCGAGAGGAGAAAAGAAAGCGTCAAAGAAAACAGAGATAACAACGTTCACGAGAAGCAGAAGAATTTTACGAATGACATGCGCGAAAATAAGATTGAAAGTAGGCACATGAGCATCGATTTCGACAGAACTAAATCGTACGATAGTCTAAATAAAAGCGAAGCCAACAAACGAAAAGAAAGAAACAACAGTTTACCTGCGAATGTAGGGGTCAAAAGGAGATTGAGTTCTCATGATTCCGTTGAGAATATTGATGAAATTAAGAAAATTAAGCTCAGTCAAGATCACAAAAAATTGAGCGAACGCAGAGACTCGAAAGATAGTAACAGATCCGACGAAAAAACAAAAAGCAAGCACAAAAATAACAGTAAAGTCTATGAGGACAAAATTAAACACAACAACACGAAAGAGAGTGAAGAGAAGCGTAAAGATCGTGACGATAAACATAAAAGCAAACAACAGAAAACTGAGAAACACAAAATCAAGAGTAAAAGTCGAGAGAAGGAATGTCGAGAGTCTCCTAGTACTCCAAAGAGTCCCATTAAAGAATTGACTGATAAAGATTTTTTGGCCAGATTGGATCTCCGATCTAACGAAGAAATGGAAAAACAAAAACAACGGAAAGAAAACAAGGAAAAGAAAAAACTCGACGAAGAAGACAAGAAAGAAAAAGAAGAAACCAAGAAATCTGAAAATCGAAGGGACAAACATTCGATAGATAAATGTAAATCCCGCGAAGAAAATACAACACCCAAAAGCGATGACAAAAAGTGTCAGAGAAAAGATAGATCAAGAAAACTTACTCAGAACAGTTCCGATAATTCTGATTCCGACGAACCAAAGAAACATTCGATATTTGATATCGTCGACGATGAACCTGCATATATTTCCATGTACGATAAAGTGAAGGCAAGAAGTTGCAAAAATATGCAGAAACAAGAAGAGGAAAAACGGCAAGAGAAAATTAAGGCAAAGTTCAGTCAGTTAAAGCAGAGTCGTGCTAAACGTGAAGAAAAGAAACGTTCTACTTCGTGGGACGAGGATTCAGATTCTGATCGAGAGCGGTCAGAAAATAGACTAGACCATAAAACGAAACGACCTAACAAAATGTTGATCATGAGTTCTGACGAAGAAGAACCTACTCGCAAAAGTCACAAGAAACGTGAAATCTATTCAGATTCCGATTCAGAACGACCGCGACAAATTAAGTCCGAACATAACGAAACCAGTGAAGACGACCGTTTCAGAAGCAAACTACAGAGGAAAGGTTCTAAATCTCGAATTACGAGTGACACATCCGATGATGAGATAAAAAAAATTCAGAACCCAGTTAAATTGGAAATTTTCTCAGATAATGAGGTCGATCAAGGTTTTGCAGACTCTGAAGAGAAGCCGTTTAAAGTTAAAGACGAATATAATAGAATCATTAAAAAATCGCGAGACAAACATCAAGATTCCATCGTAGATCAGATGAATGCTCAGATATTCGGTGATTCCAACTCACCTGTTCTAGATATTAAAACGGAACGATTCAATAATAGACATTCGTTTGGCGAAAATTCTTCCGGCGAAGAAAACATCGAAAAGAAGGAAAGGACAGAAATCAGAAAAAAGCACAAAAAGAAACAGAAACGCCAGAAACATTCGCTTAGTAGCGAGGAATGCAACAAACTCGAAACAGTCGTTGACAGCATTCTCACAGAATGTACGGAAAAATCTAAACATCATGATAAGAAAAAGCAACACAGTAAGAAAGACAAGAAACGAGATAAGTCAAAAGACGAAAGAGATAAATCCAAAAAATCTAAGAAAAACAAATCAGACATTAAATCAGATTTAAAACGTGATGGAAAAATGGAAAATATATTTGGTTCATTGTCCGAAGACTCCGAAAGCGGAATCAAAGAATCAGAACAGAGTGATCACAAATCTAGCTTGTTTCACGAACGATTTAACGAATCAAACGTCCAAAGTTCCATTTATGCAAGCGATTCGGATCGCGAACCAGAAAAAATATTTAAGTGTGAGGAGAAAGAACGTGAATCGAAGGAAGAACATAGAAAACGAAAAGAGAAAAAGCGCAGAGAAAAAGAAAGGCGGCTACAAGAGGAGGCTGCCGCTGCAGAACATATTAATGAGAACAGTATGGATTATGCAGATATGGGTAAACAACTTGAAGCTAACATTAAAGATGATAGCATGGAAGAATTGGTCATAAAGAGTGAAGTTGATAGTGGGCATGATGCCGCTGAAGATTCGTTTAGATTTAGTGAAACAAGTGAATTTCATGATATCAAAAAAGAGGACAGAAAAGAAGCAAGAGAGAAAAAGAAAAAGCGTAAGAAAAGTAAAGAAGAGAAACAGAAACACCACCACCATCATCATCACGACAAAAATAAAGTTAAATCTGAAGTTAAAAAAGAAACATCTGCGGAAGAAGTTAAAACTGAAGTTGAGGAAAATAAGTCTCAAAATCAAAGCTTACCGAATTTATTGGACACGACACCTAGTCCACCACAAAACAAATCATCGTCAAGTTTAGATTTCTCAATATCGCCTATACCTAGGGAAAGTCTTATAAGCCCGATACCTAAAACACCTACTACGTCGAAAGAGAAAAAACGAGAGAAATTCCTACCAGGCTTTGGTGGTACTGAGATCGATGAAAAAATTCACGAAAATGCCGTTAAATCGATTTCAGAATTTGAAACACCAGTAGAAGTAACCAAAAAGGTTGAAGAACCTAAAACAGAACCGGTTGTGGAAAGCACAGAAGACAAGCCTCGTGTTGTAATATCACAAGAAGAAACCGAGGATGCAGTCGCAGCTCTTCTAGGAGAGAGTTTTGGAGGCGGACAATTTGAAGAGTGCTACAATGAAGACGATATAAATACGACTAACGAGCAATCTTCGAATCTCGCCGACGACAACATTGTGCAAGATGATGAAGAAATGAGACAAGCTGTGCAAAGTTTGAGCGCGGCTGATATCGATGTGAAGCCTGAAACTCCACAAAGCGAACACGAATTGCAGATCGATACTGATACAGAAGAACAAGAAGAGACGACGGTACGATTTGAACAACCACCGAAGACACCCGAAATTACGGAACCAGCACCCACACCAAAGACACCCGAAATATCAAATTACTACGCTGGTGAAGAGCAGAAAGTCGTTGTTAAGGCGACACCCAATATTGGAAGTCCACCATCTCTTACGCCTATTAAACCACAGGCACCAGTTCCTAGTGAAATTAAGAAACCAGAAGAACCGAAAACTGCTTCTTTAAGCTTGCCCATTCTGCCCGATCAATCTCGGTCAGTAATTTCGCAAGCTTGGAATATAGAAAGAAAAGAACCACCGAAACCGGAATCTCCAAAAGTAACATCAACAACGCCACCTGTAACACCAACACAAACTAAAGTCACTGCCGTTTCTTTAAGAACATACGGAAGTCCTCCAGTTGTTAAAATATCTGAACCAACTTATCCTCCACTGGCCGCTTTAACAAAGCAAGAACACCCTCAGATTTCAACGGTTCCGGAACAGATTAAGTTACAAACTTATCCGGTCTTACAACCAAATCAAAAATCGATCCATAATATACAAGTTTGTACACCAATAACTCAGAAGAACTTGCCTAGTAGTTCCGCCGACTCTCCCGTTTCGATGCCGACGAAGTTGGCTACCAGTACCAACCTTTCTCTCAGTAGATTACCAATAACACCCATCATGGTCTCAAAGCCTCTGCAAGCTACCACTGTACTGTTACCGCAAGCGAAGATCGCTCACAGTTTAGAACCACCAGTTTTGGTTTCAACTTCTGACCCGAGACCACCACAAGAACGACCGAGAATGGTCTTTCAGACCGCTCCAAATGCTACATCTCATTTTACTAATATTGTACAGAGTCAGCCCAGAATGGTGGTTCAAGCTAATGTTGCTGTCAGTCGATCTTTGCCACCTCAAGGTTTACTAGTACCCGCAAGACAGCTACCACCTACTTCTTACAGTTACTTGGGTAACATACCAGCAACAAATTACGGTTTGACTCCTACAGTAACTAAAGATAATATGCTAGCACAATCCGACAAAAACGACGGTAAAATTGTGTCTACAACACAAAATAATGTTAAACAAACAATCATCATGTCGACTCATTCGCATCTGAGTCAAAGTAACACCGTAAACACTTCAAAACCGTTCATGCCGGTAATTAAAGAAACACCACCAAAATTAGTTAGTATACCCGAAGTTCGAGTGTCGCAGCCTACAATCATTCAACAAACGACCAAACCGCAATCTCACGTTCCAGAAAACGTTCCTAAAGAAGTTGAGAAAGTGGAACCAGATCAATTGAAAGTTTCAGTGGACGTTACAAGAACGTCTACTCCCAGTCCAGTAATAGTACAAACACCTCCAAAAGAACCAGAGAAGAAACCAGAAACTCTTCCACCTACACCACCACCCTCACAAAATGAAGAACCACTCAAACAACTAGCTATCGAGAAAGTTACAGAAGAATTAAATCTTACTCTAAAGAAAGAAGTGGTAGAGGTTAAAGAGGAAAAGCCTGAAATTAAAGAAGAACCTAAAACGGAAAATGTCGAACAGCCTTCTAAAGAAGTTAAAACGGAAACTGAAGAACCAAAGTTGGAGACTATTAAACAAAATCCAACTGAGTCTGGTTCTCAACCTGTCAAAGAAACCGATGAAGAAAAAGCTGATACTGAAAGCGTACTAAGCGATATTAGCAAAGAACGTTCTAGCGCCGATATTTTAACATCAAAAGATGATCCCTTGGACAACAAGGAAGATAGTGATTATTGGTCAGCTAAAGAAGTGAACATCGACTCTGTTATCAAAACTCTATGTTCCGCGGACGAATTATCCGATCACAGTAGCGAAACTGGTAAAGACGAATGGTTGGACGATAGTAAGGGTGAAGATATCAAATCCGAAGATTCTCCGAAAAAGGAAGAAGTGTGTGACGAAATGACGGAGAACTTTGATGAAACACATGAAAATGATGAGAAAGAGACAACTCCTCGTAGTGGAGGTCGTCGTGGAGGGAGAGCTCGAGGCCGTAAAACACGCACCGGATCTGATAGAAGTGGCATTCAAACTCGACGTGGCGGCAAAGTTGCTAAAGAACCAGTGACTCCATCCAAACGCGGAGGACGTGGTGGAGGCAGGCAGAAAGGAGAACGGAAATTGTCAAAATCTGAATCTGAGATCACGTCTGATGTATACGAATTCCGTGACGATTCAGATGAAAATAATGCAAATAAAGAAAGACCTAGATTAATATTGACTATTAAATCTCCAGCTGCTGTAAATCCTCAACCAGTGGTCAAAGAAGTCGTAAAAGAAGTGATTAAAGAACCGTCACCGAAACCGACCGAAACCAAAGAAGAATTCTTATCACCTGTTGCCAATACAAGAAAATCTAGGCGGCTACAGGAGCGCGACGTATTGCGCAATACTGTTGATGATACTATCGAAGACGTTGTTCGAAATACTGTGATGGTGACGAGGTCATCAACCAATCAAACCGCTAGGCGCTCAGCCAGACAAGCTGCGGCGCATAAAGTACTTCCTGAAACTCCTAGAAAGTCACCCAGAGGAAATAGAAAGAAAGATCGAAGAACGTCAGATCCATCTGAAGATTCGTCAGAGGAAAAGTCTAAGATTGAAGTTGAAACGAAAGCAGAATCCGACAGTGTTGAGGCTGAAAAACCCAAAGAAATTGAAAAGGAAGAACCCAAAGTAGAGGTGAAAGAGAAACCGCATGAAGGCTTGAAGGTGAAGATGTTGCGCAGAGTGAAAGGTGATATGGCTCAAGAAGCAACTAATTTAATTGATCCTGTTACTGGATTGTTGACACCTATGAGGGAATGTGAAGAGGGAAGGTATATTCCATTGCCCAAAACAAACGAAAATCAGCAGAAGAGCGCCATAGTTGCACCCCAGCAGCAGGCTCAATCCGTGTTTCAACAACAGCATCAAAAGCAACCGCAGCAGCCACCTGTACAGTCACCACTGCAACAACAGAAACCCAAGCCCCAAAGCCTAAAAGCGCACGTTCTGTCATCTCAAGCAGCCAAAGCTGTCGTTTCTCAACAGATGCCCTTACAACCTCAACAACAACAGCCGCAACCTCAGCAGCTGCAACAACATCCTCCACAGCAGCAACCTCAGACGTTGCCAGTGAAGAAGAGTACCATCATAGTCAGTCAACCTATTCCCATTCAACAACCGACGGTGGTTTCTAAATCCAGTACCCCTTTGAGTCAAGCGTTGAACGTCAACGTTTCGATGGCTACTTATTCAATACCGCACGCTTCACCACGGTCAGGCGTGCCAATGAGCGTCTCAAATAAGGGTATGCCGGGCACTAAGCCTCCTATGTTGTCCCCAGGGCAAATGGCCGCTCTGTCGTCTCAACAGAAACAACTGTTGCAAGTCAACAAACAGCAAACCTCGACTATTGTTACCAAGTCGCCAATGGTTAACCCGATTATGACCAATCAAACTCAGATCATCAATACTCAGGTCGCCCACTTGAAACAGCAACCACAGCCAATCAAACAGGCTGTTATTAACAAAGCGAAACCGCCACACAACATCCATCAACAGCAAATACTAACTGCATCTGTGGCAAGTCCTCCATTGAACAAAGGACCAATGCACGGTCTCGTGGCTGGAGTTAGTCAAAATCGCATCGTACAAGGACCTCCCCATCAGAAAGGTGTCATGGAACCACCCAAAATCGACGTGCCGCCCAACGTAATTTTGGGTCCTAGATCAAACCTCTCACCTCAAGGACAACCGAGACACGTTACCCAATCAGGGATGCCTGTACCTACATATGAAGCAAGTTTGGTAAGTTTAGTTCTTTAGCTTAAATAATTGTGACTAATGGACTGGTTTCTTTACTAACATGCAGCATGGAGACGGGAATTCGTATAATTTTCCTCCACCGGCTCACCAAAATTCACCATCACCTCAGGTGATTTTTTTGCAATGTTGCATTCTTGTGTGTCGCGTCGCTGTGCTTGAATTATTAGTTGAAAAAATAATTGGTTTTCTTCATGTTTTTGTTTGCATTTCAGGGCGACGCCATTGCACATTTTCCTCCGGGAGCTGTTCCATTACGTTCTCCACACGATTTGCCACCAGGTCACTATATGCATCCTCATGTAATGCCGTATCCATACATGCGACCGCAACCCTATCATCTGCCAAGGTATGATTTTGATATTACTTTGAAAACTGTAGTTGCAGACCGAGTTTATCTAACAAGCTGCGTCAAAAACAGTGTTAACAGTAATTGTGTTAGTCATTTTCGGATAACCTACGTCTTCATGTTAATCGTCTTCCTACAGTAAAATTAAAAACTTCAACCAAAAACCTGACGATTTTTTTGTATCATAAAGTCGAAACAAACTTGGTAACATTTGTTAGATTGCTGATTTAGTAGAATCAAAGTGTAACAAAAATTCGAAGGAAATACGGTGAAAGTGATGGCAATAATCTTCAGAGTACATATTATGTTTTTCCAATCAGCAAAAAAGGGGTAAATTCAATTAACGATTTCACATTTTTCAAAACGATTATAAATTACGATGAGTTTACGCCAAAAAAATAATTTTTGTCAGATAAAGGATTAGAGATTGCAAATATTTTACGTTAACATGTTTTAAAGTGATCTAATTAATTCGTAGCTATTATGAGTCATTTTCATGTGTAGAATTTTGTGTAAAAAAAATAGCGACGAGTTGTCGACTATACTGTCTTTGTATTTAGCAACGTCATGTTTTCATAATATTTTTTTAATATTATCAGTGGCGCTAATGGTAACAACTTTATTTTGTATAAAACTGTCTACAAATAATTGGCAAATGGTGTAACGTTAAAAAATAGAAACATTTTTGTACAGGCCGTTTGGTGAAACAGTCCCTTGGATTAATCAGTTTAATTTTTTATTTTTTTAATTTAGCATACAGTTTGTAACAAACTTCATTATCGCTTGCATGGTTAAAAGATTTTTATTTCGAAAATTAATTTTTATAATTCACTTGGGTCCACTTTTCGGAATATTCCAGAATCGACACTGTAAATCAAATTGTCGATTCTGGAATACTCCGAGAAGTGTACTCAGATAGGATCTACCATTGAGACATTTCTCGATAGTTCTACATTAGTTTTACTCATAGTGAACTCACATAAGACGTTACCGATTAGTACCACTACATACAAATTAGACAAATTAATACTACCAAATAGAACTGATTGACTTAATTGCACCCTAAATTATTATTTGATAGATTAATTCCTGTCGAAGGAAACGCATATATTTTTTTACAAACAGATAATTTTTGTTAAAGTTTTAATTTGTAAATATAATATATTTTGTTTTTAACATTTACTGGAGAATCGTATTCGTAAACTTCTTTTTTCTACTAATATACACTGACCGGCAAAAAAACCGGCCACCCTGAAAAATTTCGCAAAACCAAGCTTTAAAACTTATTAACTTAACTAGTGATCGTTATTTTATTAAAAAACCATTCACTATTGACACATGAGGGATAAATTAGCAGAAAAAAAGAAACCAATTATATGCAGAATTAAATTTAATTTAACAAAATAACAGAAACAGACCGACACTTTGAGAGACGTCTGTAAGAGTTAACGGAATTATTTTCGCTTGAAAACGTTTATTAATTGCCAAACTTATAATCAAATGATGAAAAACACTGTTTATAACAACAGCCTCCTTTATTTTTTTTTATTTTTTATTTATTTTTTTTTTTTTTAAGAAAATATCGTACTTGGTCTGTTTCTGTTATTTTGTTAATTTAAATTTAATTCTGCGTTTAATTGTCTTCTTTTTTTTCTAATTTGTACATCCTGTGTCAATAGTGAATGATTTTTAATAAAATAACGATCACTAGTTAAATTAATAATTTTTAAAGTCGTTTTGCGAAATTTTTCAGGGTGGCCGGTTTTTTTGCCGGTCAGTGTATATCAGTTTGTTGATATAGGAACAATTTTTTACATAACAATCGTTTCAGCTTACAAGAATTTCCAGAATTTTGCTGTTCAGTTTATGAAACTTCAAAAAAATACAGAGAGCCGTCCCTTAACATTTGAAGTCTCTTCCCTTAATTTATATCTCAAATACATCAAAAATATGGAATCTGTTGAGAAACTGTTCATTGTTTTTCAATATTTTTCTGGAGAGTTGGATTCAGTTCTTTCAGATATTGCTGTCACAGATTCTTAAAATACAATGGTATAACTTACTTTTTCTAATTTGAAAAAAAACGTCGTCTTCGTTGATTTCTTTCAAGTCTCTCCAATCCGTTAAAAATGACAGATGGTGGCGCTAGCGTCACGGAAAAATGGAAACTGTAATGCCGGCTTGAGTTTTGACATATCTATCACGAATATCAATTTTATAATACACTGACCGCCAAAAAAACCGGCCACCCTGAAAAATTTCGCAAAACCGAACTTTAAAAATTATTAATTTAACTAGTGATCGTTATTTAGTTTTTTCGTTTAAAGAACCATTCACTATTGACACATGATGTATAAATTAGTAAAAAAAAGACAAATAAACGCAGAATTAAATTTAATTTAACAAAATAACAGAAACAGAGCGACAATTTGAGAGACATCTGTAAAAGTTAATAGCATTGTTTTCGCGTGAAAACATTTATTAACTGCCAAACTTATAATCAAATGCTGAAAAACGCTGTTTACAACAACAGCCACCTTTATTGTTTTAATTAAGAAAATATCGTACTTGGTCTATTTCTCTTATTTTGTTAAATTCAATTTAATTCTGCGTTTATATTATAGTTAAATTATTAATTTTTAAAGTGGTTTTGCGAAATTTTTCAGGGTGGCTGTTTTTTTTTGTCAGTCAGTGTATAATCGGTATCGATGTTATGTTTTGGTCATAGTCAAGAGAATAAAAACGCCATAGCATTGGATGTACAAAGGGACAGATGATAGTAAAGGTTTCCTCCGAACTGTTTGCACTCTTATCGGAATGTGTGTTCCAAGAATTGGGAAGTTAAACTCAGGTTTACATTCCGTACTTGTCATTGATGTTGAAGAAACAGAAACAAGTAAAGGTGACTTGGAACCATGCAAAGATAACGCGGGAACAGATACTGATGACTTGAAACTATGCAGGAAGCAGGAACAATGTGGGAACAGAGCCGGGTTTAAGTCTTTTGTTTTTCTAAATAACAACTTGGCTCAAAATGTTTACCACAAACGACTAAATCAGTTGTCACCTATAATTATTTTAGTGGTAATAACTCGCACCTCTCAAAAGAAACTCTGGACAATGTACCTGTAACATTGACAATTTTCTTACACCACAACCTTTTGATCAAAGGATTGGTAGGGAAGACATGCATGATTGTAAGATCACAAGCATGTTTTGTTGCTCTACAAGCAGGAACAGAGCAGTACCTTTTATTGGGGTGTAAATTTTAAGCATAAACCGTCACTGATGATTACTAACTATATTTTAAACAGTATAAGTAAATGACGGTTACAAAAATTCAAAACGTGACATTTGCGTTGATCATTTGAATTGGCCGTTATAATCAATTTAAATTGTTTTAAACTTTTGAAAGTTGATTTTGCCTATTTTGCGCAAACAGTACAAATTACAGATTCCTGTAAGTAGCAAAGTAGGTGACATCTTTTGGAATTTTCCCTTTTCACAAGTCGGGCGATCTTAAAGCTAGTTTACACCAGAGATATGTAAAAGACAGATGTGGTTATAGCTTTCCCGATCTAGGGCCAACATCTATGATCTAAGAGTAGCAATACTTTGTGTCGCCTATCCTTTTCTATATCAGCACCAGTACTATGGATTGCCAAGTGTAGGCTACATCGATCACTCTCTAAAAGGTGGTTGTCTTGTTATTGGCCCGTTCTGATGGCGGCAATTATAAATAATCATAACCACCCACAGTCTAAGTGGTCTGACAGGGACCGACACAAACACAAGAACGGTATCAACGACAAACGTTGCGCCAACTGATTGGTTGCGCCGTACAGAACGAGACCTTTAGATATCGGGTTATAGTATTTCCACCGATAGATTAGCTGACAGAAAAGTCACCAAATAGACCGCTATAAAAAGTAGTGCCAAAGGCGCTTTATTTGAAATATGTTTGAAATATAAGGAAATTTGAAAATAATGTTGAACTACGTAAAATTACTTTTAATAATAACACAATTTATTTCCAACAGACAATATTATCTATACTGGAACATACACTTCGAATAACAGTATGTACTTTATATTGAAGTAACAACCTCTGTAGGGCATCTTAAATTAAAATTTTCCTTCTTGAAAGATGAATACGCATTGGCAATCATTTTCTGTGCCACGATGTTGTCAACAACAGTCATACTGCACCGGGTTGAAGAGGGCTACAAAATATAATGGTATATAATGATTGCACAGAATAAATCAACAACTCACTCTTGCGTAATTATGAATTTTATTCGTAATGTCCCCCATGGGGTCCATATGAAACGTTTTTTGACACAAACAACTTAACCTAAAATGTCCAAACTTCAGCCACTATACAAAAAACAGCACAAAGGTCTATAATATCATTAATATCATACCTAACAAATCAAAACAAGTAAAAAAACACAAACGCTAAACGCAAAAAACACACTTTTTAACTTTTTGAACCAAAATTTTAAATTAACGTCAATTAGCTGATCGACCAAAACACAGGTTAAACGAAACCGGCCGACTGGCGCAGGCATAGAGGCGTAGGAAATTCGTTGCGCGGGAAAAGGAACGTTGGTTGCCAACTTAAACTACAACTCTTTAACTGCTTTAAGCGTATAATGTTAGTATATTTTGGATTCTCCGGTTGGCGATTGTGAATTCAAAATTTTCCAATCTATCGCTGGAAATAGTATACCACTATACGTGCTAGAGAAAAAGAGGGAGATATAAACGTACAATGACATCTTGGGCCTAAACGTATGTCCACGAGAACATTAAATATCTGTATCTAGTCTTTTACATATCTCTGGTTTACACTACAGTGGCTTTATTAGAGACAGTGGCGACAATGGTGCTCTCGTTTTTGATTAGCCATTAAGAGGCAAATTTGACATTTGTAAAAACTTAAAATCTGTTATTGCTATCATTTTAATAAAGTTTTTTAAAATGTCGGGATGTGCTGCCGTTGGATGCACAAATTCGGCAAAAAAAAGGTACAAAATGAATAGAATAGGTAATTAGGAGAAATAAAAATGGAAAGAATGTATTTTAGGTTGCCCATCTACCAGTTGTCACTGCACAGATTACGGATACCAGATGGTTCACTTGTGGGCGTAACTGTCCGCAAATTTTCCGTGCGCATGACACTAAAATTGGTTCAGCACTTTTAAATCTCTTTGAAACTGGTTCGACAGATTAACACGCAAAATAATATTTACAATGAAGCAGATATAAAAATAAAAGTTTAGGTAATAATTCAGGGAATAAATAACATTACAAGGATTAATTTCTACGTTTTTTGGTTACGAAGGGATTTTTTAAAAGTTTTAAAATAATCAGAAAATTAGTTAAATAAATACCTACCTGCATTAAACTGTATTATGGTATCGTTTAGTAAATATATCTTGTCTATAATGCCTGATTTTGTAAATGAATAAGAGAATAAAACATTTTTCCTTCTTTTCCTTTAAACTCGTTTCAGTCTTAAATAACCACCAAAAATCGAAGATCACTATAAAGACGAGCAGATTAGAAAACTGTAACAACAAAATTCAGAAAGGCAAGCGCAGCAAATTTCATTAACTATGCCTTTCAATTCTTTTAACTTTCGGTAACCCTTTAAGCCGTATAGTTAAAGAGGTTACGTTTATTCACCATGCAAAAATTTTAACACCACTTTCTTGTTAGCACTATATTCGAGAATACGTGTTTTTTACGCTCTAAAATTTTTTAATGCCGATGCATGTGTCCGCAATTCTTTTCAGAGGAAATTGTGAAATGTTAAGCATTTGTAATAATCATAAATCATTTTGTGTAAGGCAAATAAGTATTTTGTTCGTTTTTTCTTCACTTAGAACCTCATCCCTTGCATCATCGCTGTAATTTTTCTCTGACCGCCGTGCTTTTAAATTCAAAGCTTGCGAACCAATTTTGGTAGAGCGTGCGTAGTAGCGTGAATACCGCTTGAAATCTCGGGACACCGATTTCAAAGTGCCGACAGCTGAGTGAACTATCTGGTATCCGTAATCTGTGGTCACTGTTTAACTTATGCAACCACCAATTCACATTAGCCTCATCATGGCGTCTATCTGGCCTATTGTCGCCACTGTCTCTAATAAAGCCACTGTAGTTTACACTATTCGATTTTCGTATTCGACTTTTTGATTCGATTTTTTCATTCGAGACCATCGAATAAGATCTCGAATTCAAAATCGTTTTGTCTTTACATATAGTCTTTGCCATTACTATTGAAACACCACTTCTGTACCTGCGAGCGCAAAGTGCGTAACTCCAAATTGTCAGTTTTCAGTGAGAGCAATTATTTGTGGCTCGTTTTACATACCAGACAAATTATTAGCTTATTCTAAATATATAATACAAAATATTGAATATAACAAATAAAAAAATGTAAATACCTGAATTAGACAAAAAAGCGTCAACATTTTTTAGCAAAAAATACCCGTTTATCCAATTTTATGTAAAAATGGAGTTATGCACTTTGCGCTCTCAGGTACAGACTTGTTTGTTAATCGTAAATTTGGCAACGTTCATATTCAGACAATTTTCTAACTAAAAGCCGTTGTCAATTAACCGAAAGCTATCACCAATTGCTAAATTTTAAGCAAAATCAACAGGTGGTGTTTCAATAGAAATGGCATTAGATTTTTAAGTTCGATGGTGCTGTCAAAAATTAGAAATCTATCAAAATGCTGTCATTCTGCTTGCATTGCATTAAGGTGATGTATTTATTATTAGATTGTTGCCTCAGTACCTCAGTTTGTTGCATTTTTCTGGTAATTGAGTTTGTGCAAGTGGAAACATTAATAAATAAGCATGCCTAGATATAATAATTCATGACGTCTCGTCAGCTGATCGTTGATGGGTTGAGCATTATTTGCGCATGCGCTGCAAAATTCTCGAAAGGAAAATCGAACGAAAATAGACACCGTTCTATCTGCAAAATATCGAATGCGAACTCGAACGAAAGATAGAACGTTGCTATGTCGAATGTAGTCGAATGCAGAATCGAGAAGTGTAAACAGACAAATTGGGAGTTGAATGAGGTCGAAATGCAAGTCGAATACGAAAATCGAATAGTGTAAACCAGCTTTTACGCAAATCACAGACGTTCATCATTAGGAATATTGGACTCCGTAGTTCACAGTGGACCGTCGACTTTCCTGGCGCTAGCGGTCCTAGAGTACCCGATAACTCTATAGGCACCCACTTATCTACCTTTCCGACAACCTTCCTATCATATCTGGTATTTCTTTGTTCCAATCGTTATTGCATAGTAAAAAAATCTTTATAAAAATATCACTGTGTCGTCCATTCAATTTGCTATAATAATTACATACGGGACTATGGGAAGTATACAAGTTGCCGAAGTGATGCGCAGAAATATGTCTTACTGATTACAGTTGATAATGAAAGAATTTTGGTTCCATTTATTTATATTTATGGAAAAATATTCAAATCTGCCATTTAAACCTGTAAAAATATCGGGTGCTTGTCATGCTGTACCCTCAGACTTGAAAGGAGAGTGAATCAACGAAAACGATGGAAAAAAAGCTTTCTTCAGGCTTCAGTGACATATTATATTTGAATATATTTTGTCATTTTTGAAAACTACAAAAAAAACTAACACTTTCTGGACACAAAAATATAAAAAACTTAACTTTTCATCGTCAACGTAGGATTTTTTTTTTGTTAATATTGCAGATTTGCTGTTCAAAAGTATGGAACTGATTAAATATTTCAGGAACTGTTGCAGAAGCTAAGTTTTTTCTTAAAGTTTTGGCAAAACACGTAAAATATACAAAAAAAATTCAAGGATCTAAAGTAAAAATCTTTCTCGGCGATTGCTTTATTTTTAAATAAGATTTAGTCTTCCATCACTCATTTGCTGGTTAATATTGTTAAAATACTTGTTTTATTATTCACAAAAAAAAATAAGTCTTAAGTTTCTCATTTTTGTCTGACAAGTGATACATATTGAAGTTGGAAAGAAATATTTATTTCTTTCTCCTGTTCAATTCGACACAAATTACCATAAAAAAATCAAGTTGAATTATTCCTGAAAAACTTCTGCAACTTGAATGTTATGTCTTTTTCAGCGTACTGCCTAAAATAAAAAAAATAATAAGTAGTTTACTACTACGTAGATCTAGTAGTAGAACTTTTCTAATTTTTTTTTTCTTTCTATGATAAGATGCTGCCAATTTACACCATAGCGGACATACCTACAATGGCTAAATCTGTAACAATTATTATAATTACATCCTTTAGGTTTCAAATTCTTGGAAACCCATGCAGTTGTAATATTTAAGAGATTTCATACTTTTGAGCGATCTTGTGTATAACATATTTTTCTAAACTGAATACCAAAAAGTACCGCTATAAATTTTGAAAATCTTTTTATTCAAAACTTATTTCAGATCTCCAATGGTGGGTGGCGGCCTCGAGAAGTCAGGAGACGGACAAGAAGGTGAAGAAGCACCCGACACGTTGCCTCCTTTTGAACTACGTCGACCAGGTTCAGTCGGTTTGGCCCTAACAGGTCGAACAGCAGTTGTTCCCCACAGTCTACACTCACCCCACGACCGGACTACAGGTAATTTCATCTCATTAACACTCATTTCGTTAGCATGCATAACTAGATCCTTTACTTCCAATAACTGATGGTTGTATTTCATTTATTCATTTGTTCTTTGTGGGAGTAAGTTGGAATTTCAAAAGCAACAGAAGGCAATCGAAAGCTAAATTTTTGGCAAATTTGTTAACCGGAATCAGTTGGTCGTAAAAATCCCGACCAAGAAGAGTACATCATTTTTTCATCATTAACTTAACCGTCTAAGTCGAAATTAATACTCCTGTTCATATATTTTTTATTTTAATTAATAGACTTAATATGAGTAATTACAAAACAGTCAATCGTTTATGCAAATTCCGCATATTGGAAATAAACTGCATTTAATACCAATTTCTATCAATTATCTTTATCAGATTCTCCCCAAGTGGGTCAAGTGTACAACATGCACACGCCTAGGATGCAGCACTACCATTCTACAGGCCCAGGCCCATTCTACGAACAGACAGCTGAACCACCTCCAGCTCATCGTTCTTTAACTAGTCATGGATCTCTGACAGCCTTGGCTAACGACAGATCCATTTCTCATATGGCTGCCTTAGGAGCACCGGAACGACCCATGAGTGGCCATACGCAGCCTGACAGGCCTTTAAGTAGTCACTCGGCCTTGTCGGCCCACATAGGCAGTTTGGGTACTTCCGAAAGACCCATATCCACCCATTTGCCAGATAGGCCTCTGTCGAATCACGGTTTGGCGATTGGAGCAGGTTTAGGAGCTGCAGGTAACCTAATGGGAGCCGTCGCGAGACATATGGGCGTTGATGCTCCAACTAGTCAAAGGGGGCTGCAAGCGGCTACGCCTCCTCACGCCAGTCAGGTTCCAGCACAAGCTGAAAGTCTTTTCACGCTTCTGAAGGTAATTCCTATGGCTTGTAATGAGAAAGGTTCTAATGGGTTTTGTTTCGTCCGTAGCAATATCCATGTATGTGGCAAGGTCTCTTAGCACTAAAGAATGATCAAGCCGCTGTGCAGATGTACTTCGTTTCTGGAAATGATTCGGTGGCTAAATGTAGCTTGCCGAAGAACACTGATGGATCGACACCGCCTCTACGAATATTTCAGCGTATGAGATTAGAACCACCTCAAGTGGAAGGAGTTGCAAGAAAAATGCAGGTGAGTTATCGTTCCTAAAAATTATTAAACAGAAGAAAATACAACAAAGCTGAAGTTTCACACAGGTTTGTGCCTGAAACTGTTTGTTTATGCATGTATTACTTTTAAATGATTATTGCTTGATTTAATGTTATGGTTTAACCATCTAAAGATTCTAAAGTACTTTAATCCAAGATTGCTATAATAATAGCTCTGTACGATGTAATAAAAAGCGTTTTTATTAGAAAAAGTTTTATTCATGCGACATTTTGAAAACATAAAAATCGCGAATGTACGTATGTACCTATCGTTTTATAGGTTTTTTATATGAAATTCGCACGTCATTTGATTCACTATGCTATGTAACGAATTTGTTAAAATGTGTACAGCGAGTCAGCTGAAAAGAGACACCTCGAATAACTTTTTTATTTATTAACCAAGAGTAATGATATTAAATTTGTAAATGGAGAATACTTGTAAATGTACTGCTTAAAAAAAAAACAACTAAAAAATGTATTGTAGAAATATCATTTAACTTTTATATTGGATTTAAAGTTTGCAGTTTATACACAAAATTTGGATTTTCGATTTGAATAAAATTTAAAAATGCGTTGATTAGATAAATATTCATAAAATATAAAATTTAATCAATCAAATTTTATTTAATAATTATTATTAGTCAACTCTCTGCTGACAAAATTTGGTTCCAAACCAGGGGAATTTTTTGCGTTACCAACTGCATTTGCTCCACTCGTACAACAATGAATGATGCTACTATGTATTTCTAGGGGCTATAGTAGTATCTATTTCTACCATAATCACTACAAAGTAATGCTAACCACATATTTTAATGATAAATCAAAGTGAAATTTAAATTATTCCTAATCCATCTTCATAGCTCTAAAATAAAAATGAACATTAAATTTACCTAATTCGCTAGAGTAACCTCTTACTGTACTTATCTTTTAAGGCCAACCTAGATGCTCTAATACTTTGAAAATTTACATTGCAATCACTTCTCATTAATAAAACTATTTTGAAATAATAAAAAATGAACACAGGAATACAAAATTCTATCAATTTTGTTATTTACAAGTTTATGAAAAAACAATGCAGCTGAAATTATTTTTCTGCTTTGTAATGATTCCGTATTGAACATAGAAGTAATAATTATCCTGGGAACAGTTTCTATTTGGCCATTTTTTCCAGACTTGTGAAGTTGAAGTTGTAGTTCTGAATAAGAATAACGAACAAGTGAGAAAAGATGAATGATGGAATGTATATGACCGTTTGGTCCAGAAATGAATGTTGAGTGAGTGATTGATTGATTGATGAATGAATGAATGAATGATGAATGTCTACGAATTTACCTGGTGGCCCTAAATACCCTGCATTCAAAGAGGAGGCCCTTGCGGGTACAGGGGACAGAACAGGTATGTCCGCCAGAAGCGCCAACAAGGACTTTTACAAATTTGCTTTGCACTTTTTTTAATACAATTTTTTGTGATTATAATGAGGAAACCACACAAGAGAGCAGTATTTGAGTATAGATTAATTGATTGAATTATAAAGTGATTTTATATCACTTATTTCTTTGCAGTTTTTCAAGACGGAACCTAATGATTTATAAGAATGTAAGATTTCTCAATTAAGTTATTAGCATGGCTATTAAAATGAAGTTTTGCATCAAATATAACTCCTAAATCTTCGAAACATGTTTTTGTAGCAATGAATTTATTGTTTATTTTATAATCATAAAGTTTATTAAAGCAACGTGCAAAATTGATGACTACACTCTTAGCATGCATCTTTGCCTTTACTTGTACTTTAACAATCCATACATAACTTTATTTCGACTTGTAACCCCTACAATGAAAAAAAAATATATTCAAAGAAGCTGTATTCTATTGTATGTACTTCAGGAGCGGGCGAAGTTCTGTTAATCCTTAAACCAATTTTTCTTCTTAATTATTAAAAACGATTTCATTGTATCTCTACGGTTTTTGTGATGTTTGGTGAAATTTTTTATTTACATATTCGGGTCCAGAAAATCTTGGACGTCAATGTCACTTCACTGTCATAAAATCTAAAAAACACCTGTAAGTATTGTACAAGTCGCATTCAATGAAAAAGCGTACAACTGTTATGTTCGTTTTCTAATAATTTTTGCTATTATAAATTGGGCTAATATAGTATTATGGAGTGTCTATATAATTTAGAGATCATAACTATAAGCAAAATTAAAGAAACTTGTAATTGCATTATTATTCCAAGACCTAAGACAAAATAAGAGTAAAATTAACACACAAATTTATTACACATACGCTTGGACAAAATTGTGATTTCAAGTAACATATGTACGTAGTGCTGACAATAATTTAGTGCTTGGTTATAAGCTCCGTTTTGGGAAATGACTTGAGCTAGTCTATTTAGCATTGAGTGTATTAAATTTCGAAAATGATTTTGATTGATTTCGTCCCAACAAGTTTGAATTCGCTCAGATAATTATCTACAGTTTGGGGTTTAAATATCTTACAGAATGAAATGGATTCGCTCTTGAATGATTTTTTAGGATACTGCTTTAGTAACTAACGTTTACATTGTTACAAACAAGTGCAGTAGCTAAAATTTACCGGCCTAGACCAGTAGTAGTTGACAACGACCGGTTCAAACTAATTTGACAATAAACATTTAACAAATTTATTATCTGAACAAACAATTCCACTTACTTACATAGATATTAAAAATACAATTACTAATATTACTGAAACAAGTATTCGCTGGTGACAAATTAATTTCTTCACTGGGTTGATCTTTTTTCGGGCTTGCATTCACATGAGATACTGAAGATAACTCGCTAAGTGCAAGAGATCCGTTTCCGTTAGATGAACCCAAAATTTTCTAAGCAATATTTCTGTTGGAATCTCCTATGTAACTGCGTGCACGGACGAGGATTTCCAGCCTCTGTGAGTCATGAGGGTGCTGAGATCTCCACCTCCTTCTACCAAAAGGGTTGCGCTGGAACGACGGAAACAATGTCCAGTAAATTTCTCACTCTCTGGAACTCCTAAATATTCTGCAATTTTTTTCGGGACGTTACCCACAGTATGGACATCGACAACTTGTGCCACACGCTTCTTATTTCTGTACGTTAGTAGGAATCGTTTATTGGTCATATTAGCAGGCCGCAAGGATATATACTTCCTAATCAACACGCAGAGTTGACATCCTTCCGCTTCTTTGGTTATCACGAAAGAGCGGCTTATTCCAGTTTTAGTCTTTGGGAGACATACTTTTATCAAATTTCCACATCGTCATCGATTGGTTAAATTAACCAATTCTTCCGCCAAAAATACCAATAATTAAAATGACATTCATCAATAAGTAGTTGCCATCGTTGGCTTCGTTCAAAAATTGTACTACTTCATCGTGAGACAATACGTTTGATTTTTTTGGTGTATGATGGACCATTTTCCTCTTGATATATTGGTATAATTCTCCATAGCGAGGTCAATCCTGGTCATTTATTATCAAAAAAACAATTATAAATATTTACCTTTTTATGGCCACCTTTTCATAAATTTGTAGCCAGTTCCTTATCATGGAAAAGTAAGACCACATTAAATTCTTATAATTATCTTCAAAATAGGCAAGCGTTCAACTCGAACAATGTGATTTTTCTCCCGCCAAGTACAAAATGTCTTATATTCTTTTAAATATCTTCCCAAAGACTTTCCTGACAGAAGATTCGATCTGGCGCTGTTTACTTTATCTACAATTTCGTCCGCAATCGCAGTTGGAGAAGAATTTTGGTACAAAACCATTTTAATGCAAAAATTAAATTTATGAAATTTTATTGTTTACTGTCTTTACCTTAGCAACAAACCAGCACACATGCGATGATTTTCACTTTATGCGCCACCTCAACCGAGGCGACATATCGGATAAAATTTTTGTTTTCATGAATTTTTGAAATTGTTGCAGTATCCTAAAAAATCGTGTACAATATGCAGGGGGGTAGAATTTTTATGGCCTTGCCAAACATACAAGTCTCGCCTACGGCTCGCCCTGTAAAGTATTGGCGCGGTCATAAAAATGTTACCGGTCTAATATCGTAAATAGCTATTATTTGTTCCTCACTTGTAAACATCAATTTATCAAGTCACTGTGTTCAACTTAAAAATGTCTCTTAACTCTTAACAGTAAAAATTTTACTGGCTATCCAGTAAAGTTTTTACACCTCTACTTAAGCTAAATTTTAATAAGATCATTGTCTCTCCCCCCAAAATTGATGAACAATTATCTAAATAACGATTATTTAATAGCGAAACATTGAACTAGGGTGATTAAAAAAAAATAATAATTTTTTTTTCGTGCAAAGAGGTTCAAAAGTTTCTTTTCAACGTAAAAAAATACCAGTTAAAATTTGAGCTCTTAATATTAATATAAAGACCGTCCGCATCGCGTTTTTCTATTTCCCATAAGAATAACATGGGAAAATTTTTGTTTGCACCTTCTGATTTTTATTGCTAGCCCGTCGTGTGTCGTGAAAAAAATTCAATCACATATTTTTATAGAGAATTGAACGCTCTACAAAAAGTGTCTCCTATGATTGTGCGAGAAACCTGATAGTTGAAGAGTTATTTTAGGCTAAAGTTAAATTTATCCAAATTTTGACGTTTTTGATGCATTACAATAAATTTGATGGTCTTATTGGAATAAATCACCACAAAAATTTATACACATTTTAAATTTAGTTTTTTAAACAGTAATTGTTTATAATTTTATGCTATAATAAGGCCAGTAAAACTCTTTCCGAACATTTTCAGCATCAGTGGGTTAAAAAAATCATAGTCAGGTTTCTCGCAAAATCATAGGAGACACTTTTTGTAGAGCGTTCAATTCTCTATAAAAATATGTGATTGAATTTTTTTCACGACACACGACGGGCTAGCAATAAAAATCAGAAGGTGCAAACAAAAATTTTCCCATGTTATTCTTATGGGAAATAGAAAAACGCGATGCGGACGGTCTTAATATTAATATTAAGAGCTCAACTTTTAACTGGTATTTTTTTACGTTGAAAAGAAACTTTTGAACCTCTTTGACACGAAAAAAAAAATTATTTTTTTTTTTTTTGAATCACCCTATTGTATACATATATCAATAGTAATATATTTATACAAAATCGGTCATCTTAGTGTACGATAAATATGTTTTGCTCGACGTTCCACAACTTAGAATACGAACAGGCAAATTTTCAGGTTTCGTCTGTCGTCTGTTCTAAATTTTTTAAACGTGGTTTGTAAAATTACATCGTTGACCATGATCGATCATTGAATAAATATTTTTAAAAATACGCCTCAAAAACACTGCTGCTGTTTCCTTAGTCATATTATTTAGAATTTATTTAGAATAGGATGTCCAAAAAATAAGAATCTATCTTTTTTTTAGAAGAAAAGCTTCTGAAATGAGTTAGAGATCTAACGTAGAAAACGCTCTGTTTAAAAACAAATTTTTATTTATTAACTCTGCACACTTATTAATATAATGCTCATACAGTAGCCTTTTTAAAAAAGACTTTGGTTCTACAGATCACTCGTCCACACTTACTACTGCTTAATTCTCGTATTTGACTAGAATTGCGTCTTTTTTTTTTGTCTGACGAGTTAAATTTGGCGAACATTTAAGAGTAATCAATTCCAAGATAATTGTAGAATAATACGTTCTTGACCATGGTCTATCCTATTCTAAGTAGTGCCAACATAATTATTACTACCTAAATTGATGCGAAAACATTCCTTGTCGATTGGATTGGGATCAACCACTTATTCATTTGATCGTTCTTTTCTTTTGTTTCTGGATTGTAATGATGGATCCCTGATTCCTGCTTAATTATCTACAAAGTATTTTTGAATTCAAATACTTTCACAAAAAAATTCATTGCTAAACAATTTATGCGTTATCAGTAAATTATTAAAAATAAAAAATAAGGTAACGGCGCTGTTTTTTTATTTTTATGTAACTATTTGGAAAGTTGTCAATAAATAGTGTAAAATAATGGAAATCCAAAAATGTTCCAATCGCAGAAACATGGTATGATTCTCATGTGTCCAGAATGTGTGGTTTAATAAGACATATTAATATAATACATATTATATGCCGAGGTGGAAAGTTTCATTCTTTCGAGAGAAAAGATAGTTTACGGAGGGGAGGGACAGCCCCAAGGTGACTATTTCTCGAAAAGGGAATGAAACTTTCCCCCAGGTTTGTATATTTTATTCACAATCTTTTCAAATAGCCTTTAAAAAATAATGCAAAAACTGACATTTATAACTCGACCACCATTACAATTTTTTACGTTTTAAGCCGGAAAGACATACGCCACTTTTCACATATTACTGACCGATTGTGAATAAATACTTAAAATTATATTGCGCCGATTCCAAACTGCATGTATTCGGTACATTTAGGAAAATATTATTTATCAGAAGAATAATCTTAAAAATGCAATAGTGTGAAAAATACACGTTGAGTTTGTAAAAGTTTTGGAGTCGGGTATGCACTCTCATCTTGGTAATTTTTCTTTAAATTGTAAAAACATTAGAAAACATTTTAGTAACTAAAATACGTACGCCTAGGTGTTTAATCACTGATAAAAATGCAACACTTAAAATTACGGGCTTAGCGCACCACTCAAAAAAATTTAATTAACGATAGTAAAAAATTATAGTTAGAATTAACTATAATTTTTTACTATCGTTAATTAAATTAAATAGAATTAAAAAATAGAATTATTTGCAAAGAAAAAGTTGATGTCATTTCCGAAAGAACCAAAGGCGATATAATGTTAATCGTAAATTCACTTAATAACATAACAAGTAAACTGGAACATCTTGTATAGAATCAATTACAATTTAGGAAAATGTTTGTTTTTTTAAAGTTGCTGTTTCGCAATTTTTAATAAGTTAAAAATAGTAATTTGTAGTAAAATTGTAAAAGTAAATAATGTGTGTGTTTGTGTTTTCAAACTTCTCCGTTTTTTTAATTGTCGCGTCAATTTCACATTTCAACTTTCGACCAATTTTTTAATTCAGAAGAGATATTATTGTAATAAATGATCGGTTACCATGGTAAAAATATCTTCCACTTGCGTGATTTTAAAGACAGGTGTACGCAACGTTGTTAATAACAACTGTACGTTTCTATTATGAACGTGAAACGTGCACTCTTTCGCTAACGACGTCGAAATTATTACAATTACAGACGTTGAAAAAGCACTAACACAAATAAAACCAAAGGTATCTTCAGGTTTGGACCAAATTCCCTGTTTTGTTGTAAAAGACTGTAAGGCGGTGTTTGCTAGTCCGCTAACGTATATTTTCAAATTATCGTTACGAACTTGTACTTTTCCAGATGAATGGAAACTTGTTAAAATAAGTCCTATTTTGAAATCTGGAGACAACACATGTATAAAAAACTATAGACCTATATCACTGATGTCTGTTTTTTCGAAGGTTTTTGAAATTGTTTTACATAATATGTTATTTCCTTTGTTAAAGTCCATAATAGTAAGCAACCAACATGGCTTTTATCCAGGACGCTCAACGTTGACCAACTTATCGTGTTTTAGTCAATATGTTGCAGATAAATTAGACACACGCCATCAAGTTGATTGTGTATACTTAGATATAAGCAAGGCCTTTGATAGGATACTTCACTCTAGACTAATTTCCAAGCTCTCTTATTATGGTTTCAGTGAAAACATCATCAAATTTTTTGAATCATATTTATTTAATAGACAACAAGTTGTATGTTACAATGGTTTCAACTCCAAGCTTTTTCATCAACCAACTGGTGTACCCCAAGGTTCGGTATTAGGTCCCTTGCTCTTCCTTCTATATGTGAATGACATAACGAATCATATCGGTAATAAAACTTTATCATACGCTGACGACATCAAAATATTTAGCACAATTGATTCTATAAACGATTGTTTAACGTTACAAAGAGATTTGTTAAATATCGCGGAACGTTGTAATGCTAATGGTCTAGAACTTAACCTGCGTAAATGTAAGATAGTGTCTTATTCCCGTAAGAAAAGTAAGTTTTTGTATGACTACTCCATATCTGATCATATTATAGAGAGAGCAGATTCGGTGAAAGACTTGGGAGTTCAGTTTGATAAATGTTTAACATTTATTGATCATATAGAAACAATCACCCAAAGCAGTTTCAAAACACTTGGATTTATAGTAAGAACGTGCGCATGTTTCAATAATGCTGATGCAATTAAAACACTATTTCAAGCCTTTATTAGAACTAAATTAGAATATTGCTCATTAATATGGTCCACGAATTACGCAAATCAAAGTATCAGTTTAGAAAAGGTTCAACGGCGGTGTCTTAAATATATGTATAATGTAAAATTTGGTAGATTCCCCAGCAGAGGATTTGATCAAGCAAAGCTATTAATTCACAAGAATATGTCAACATTGGAAAATGTCGGAAAATATCTGCTGTTAAATTCTTATTTAAAATTTTACATGGGAATGTTGACTGTCCTGAACTGTTATCTCACATTATATTTTTTGTTCCAAGAATTCAGTCAAGATATCATAATATGTTCTTATGTCCAAGAGCCAAAACCAATGTTTTAATAAACTCCCCTGCGTACAAAATGATGAAATTAGCGAATGAGTTAGACGAATCATGTGACATTGTCCAGTGTAACTACACTGAATTAATAAATTGTGCAAAATCAATATTTAAATAAGAATAAGGTCTGGTACATGATACTCTGGTATAAAATGTGAAGTAGTAAACACGGCTGAATTTATTTAATTTATTTAATTATTTAATTATTATTATTTTTTTTTATTATTTATTATTAGTTTATTCATACAGATTTGTAGTTCACCGAAGTCTTGTGCGGCGAGCAATTGAAATGTGAAATCTGAATTACGTCTAAGTTATATATTTGTATTTTTTTTTTATTTATTTTTTTTTTTTTTCTAAGTTAATTTTAAGTTTAGTTTACTTATCGTTATGCTTACATGTCATTTAATTTATTTATTTTGTCCTATAATTGGATATTATTCTGCTGGGCAAATATATCATTATCATTATTAAAAAAAGAATTAATATCATAAAATTAAAATCTTCCATTGCAAGTGATTAACTGGAAAAACCAAATTGTAGACGATTGTGTGACAGCGGCGTTTAATTATAAATTTTCAATGTTAATATAGAAAATGTAACTTACGTTTTATTGCAGATGGAAAACGAACACTGCATGCTGTTGGCATTACCGTGTGGACACGATCATGTGGATGTACTTAAACAATCAACAAACTTGACCAGCGGTTTCATCACTTACCTACAACAAAAACAAGCTGCCGGTATTGTGAACGTTGCCGCTCCTGGAACTACTCAACCTGTAAGTTTCTGAAATTTAATTGATTGATAGATTTTTATATCGTTTTCTTCCAGCCGGCTTACGTCGTGCATATTTTCCCTTCGTGCGACTTCGTTAATGAAAATCTGCGTAGGATAGCACCGAATCTGCTCGAAAGAGTGGCAGACATCGCCCATTTACTTATTGTCATAACTACGGTGTGATAGCATAATTTCATCGATGTGACTGTTGCATACCTATATTTGAATATTTCATTTTCAACTACACTTTAACACTTTAGAACATGATATTGACTGGATTTGACTAATAACCACAATGTGTGTCTTACTCTCACCAATTGTTTTGGTAAAATCTCGAAATGTGGACGTTATCCAAATGGAATTACTTAAAAATATATTTAAAAGTTTCACTGTGATTTCTTGACAAACGTTATTTACTATTATTAAAAATAAAATATAAAAAGCTAAAAATAACTTACTACCTATTTAAGAAGATCTCATATTGAACTTAGTTATGTATACATTTTTCTTGTTTAAAAGATCTTTTATTTTCGTAAATCTGTGAACTGTACTTTCGAAATATATTTACAATATTTGTAAGTATATTGCGAACGTTGACCGTTAATTTAATTTTAAACTTTGGGATTTTGGTGCTTGGAATATTTTTTTTTATTTTTGGTCTCATTAACATACTCGATTCAGTATGTTAATGAGATCCCCTTGTTTTGATACTTTCTACCTATGAACAGAGTGTTTATATTATTTCGTTTTTCTTTGTTGTTTTTTTTTTTTTTGGCTTTATTTCGTAGAAAGTATGAAAATGATTTGTTTGCAGCGCAATCTCAAAGTTTTTTGTTGCGGCTTCAGCAAAGCTGTACATTTCAAATTAAACGTTACCCGTTTGTAGTTTGAAAATATGGCTAATATAAATAATAAAAAGGTATATAGACATAATATATAAATATGTAGCATATATGATTAAATGAAAAATCAATCATTTTTTAAATTACGATGTAATATATATGTGAATATAGTTTAATTTGTTATTTTAAGCTTATTTTGAGTTATCGTTAAGATGTTCTGTACAGTGTACTTTAGGCTGTAAGTATAAGTTAGCCAGCGTTACAAAATGATAATATAGGGAACATTGTGATGTCTATATATTACTGTAAATTTTGTACATAAACTGTGTATTGTGAGTATACATTATTATAACTATTACAACAATTTCTTGGTTTTATTCAAAAACACACAGACAGATGATTGATTCATAAAAGATTGGTTCTTATTTGTACTGGTTTTTCTGGTGCGTAACCGATTCGTGAATAAATTTCTTCCTTTGACTTCGGACCACCAGACCATGGTGGTGGAGTGTCGCCAAAATTCTTCGACTGCTTTTCTTGATCTTTGCCCATTTGCTGACGTTTATATTCGTATTCACGAATATCGTCCAACTTTAATTCTACAGTAGTTGGAGGTCTGCGTAACATTGTTCCTAAATCAGCACGAAATATATACCTGTAAAATATAATACACATAACCTCAAAAAACTGAATAACATTAATATCCGTACCCTGATATTTCAAACTTGGTTTGAAAAAGTCTTCAGCAACAAATAAAATAAACAGTATGTAAGAGATTTAAATAATGTGGCGCGCTACAAAATCACAACAAATACTAACGAATAATCAAAGTTACTAGAAAAAAACACAAACCACAATTCACAACAATTGAACAAGGTATGCAACCAACAATGTGCACTTAAATCCTGGTTCTGGTCTAAAATTAATCTAGAACTGCCGAAAGGGTTTCCTTTTTGGGTTTTACATCTATCATAGTCCATCCTTTCTGATCGACGAACAATTGGGATATAAAACAATGAAATTTTGTTTCTTATTTTAATATACAGCGTAACAGCGTTATCATCTCAGCAAATACTGCAAAACTTGCAATAGAATTAACCATTTCTGAGAAAATTTACTGAACTGAACCCTACACGTACCACCCCTACACCCCTATTGCTGACCATTTTACTAGTAATATTCGGTTTTACAAACACAGGTACTCCTAAAAGTGGACGTGGAACCTCTTCCTCTGTGGATCATATTTTAGTTCATAGAAATAGAATACCCTCACTGTATGATTTTCTGATTTACTCACTGGAATTCGTGTGAGTGAAAATATGAGTCTATTTGGTTACCTTTATTTGGCACAAGTAATAAGAAAAAAAACCGCCGCACTAGCGGTTTTCTGTCTCATCTCCAAGACTCCGCTCTAGTGACTAATGGTTTACCTACTGCTAGTATTCGAAAATACTTTGTAAAAACAATCTTTAGTCAACTTAATAGCTTTCATTCTAAGGTAGGTACTAAACGATCTATATGACCCCTGATTCTCGTTTTCGTAATCCTACAAAAAAAGGCTACGGAGATAAATCTGACGAGCCTGCCGGACATTCGGCGGCACTTTCTCCTTCAGTTCATTGTTCAAATCAACTATGGAGGTGCCTCTATGTGTTTAACAGACAATATAAACTACGGAGAAGCTCCATCACATTAAAATATCAACGAAAGTTGGAGATACAATGATCATTGATCATCATTGTCTGTAATATTTCCCTAAATTTGATCGACAACGTCTTCTAAAAATTATTCTAAATACATTCTCCAAATTATTAGGTAAAAGACATGGACAAATAAATACAATCCCCAGAAATTTCAGCCCAAACGTTTTACGTTTGTGGGTGTTGAGTACTGCCACAGGTTGTATTTTTTTTAATAGTGGAATACTTTCAAATGCAAAGTTGAGAAAATGCCTTTTAATCATAATGCAAAATGTGGAGGGTAACTTGTTTATTCATCCGTTCTGGACTTATTTCTCAGCTGCAAAAAACTCCCTAGCTTTCAAAAATGAAATCAAGTGGCTCAAAACGATAAAGATTTTGCACGTAACAAATTTAAGCACAAAAAAGACGTATGCAATTTTTTTGCAATTTCACCAAAGGACAATGTTTAAACAAAATGAATCGCATTCGATACCACAGTCCTCTTTTAACGAGTATTATTGACCTATGACCAGTCAAACCAGTTATAATTAATGATTTTCTAATCTGAAATGTGTAAAACTTTGACCATTCCATCAACACGTGTAATTTTGGTTTCACTGTTTTTAAATTCATAGTTCATGTTAAGATTTTTCATGATTCTAATAGAATTGTTGTTAACAATCATTTAAATCTTCAAGCAAAACAAAAACACGTGACTGAAATTCACTTATTCAATGTATTTTGTGTTTATTTTGTATTAAGTATGTATATTATTAATATTAATGTATTAATTATTTTCATACATCCGAATTATTTTCTCACAGCTTGAATTTGAACATCTGGAATTATTATTTTGATTTTAACCGTGTTTATTTCATATGTGCTTACCTAATCTTGATGAACTAATTTTGATTTTAATCATTAATATGAATTAACGCATAATTTAACCCCACATAAATTCTTGTTTTTCAAAATTGTTAATAGAGTGTGGCATATTTTAATTTTGTTTGTTTCCTTTTTATAATTATAATATTCTTGGAGGTAGGTGATCATTCTACCTCCAAATCTCCATGTAAATACTTACATTTATTTGCTTTCACCAAAATTCAGGAGATTTTAACTCTAACCGAAATAAACACACGGAACCGTGTGATGGATGGGGGCGGAGTGATAAGACCACATACTCAAACTGAGAGCTTTTCTGTCCTTGTCGTTTTAATGTGAATGCTTATTTGCAATACTGAATTTTCAACCTACTGAATCAGGCCCTCAAGTTGGCTACATTCTTTGCGGGGATGAAAGTGAGCCTCAGAAACATTAGTAAACCCACAAAGCATGGTTAAGGCAAACATACCTTCACGAAGAGACGGCCTTCGCGCCGCTGTCGTACGCGTCCTCAAGCTGCGCAAATTGTTTACACTTAGCTTGGTCTTTTCTTGCTCGATTGCTATAATTTAAATTTACCGGCAAGCCACACCATCGAAACAATTTGTGTATTTGCATCCAGTCACTTTAATGATAATAATTTCCTTGTTTGTCTTTTTTTAAATTTGTGATGTTCCAATATTTATCAATTTGTAACATTTGATTTCATTTTTGAAAGCTGAAATAAAGGCTTTTTGCAGCTGGGAATAAGTTCTTACAGTTCTTATAGCTTATTTCAATAGTTTTTTCTTCTTAAGAATAGAGGAATAAACAATTTGCCCTACGAAATCCATTTGGTACAAGAGCTAAACGAAGATGACTTTGATCGTAGAGTTCAATTTACAAAAATTATTATGAACAGAATACAAGACGGAAATTTCAACAGGATTTTGTTTTCTAATGAATCTACGTTTTGTTTAAATTGTGTTGTGAACAAACACAATTGCAGGTATACTGGTTTGACACAAATCCATATTGGATGTAGCAAATCCACACAGCGTCCAGAAAAACTCAATGTTTGGTGCGCTATTAGGTCCTTTTTTTATTAATGGGAATTTAAATTCTAAGGGATACTTAAGGCTGTTGCGGGAACGTATAGTGGCTACACTTAGAGAATTGTTTCCCAATTACCAGAGTTACCAGCAGAAACTATTTGGTTTCAACAAGACGGTGCTCCACCCCATTTTGGACGTCAAGTGCGAAAATAGTTTAATGAAACTTTTCCTGACAGATGGATAGGCCGAAGGGGTACTATTGAGTGGCCTGCTAGGTCGCCGGATTTGACACCGCTTGACTTTTTTTTTTGTGGGGCTATTTGAAGAATCGCGTTTATATGAATAGACCGATTCACATTGAAGACTTAACACGAGCGCATACGTAACGAAATTGCTAGTATTCGCCCAGAAATTCTCATTAACTGACTACAAAATTTTATTCAGCGCCTTTTTTACTCCCAGGAAGTAAATGGAGAAAATTTTGAGCATTTTTTTGTAGAAAACAGAAGTTTAATTTTAGTTTCGGTTGTTATTGGTTAATTTATTTAATTATTGTTTAATAATTTATTTTGCCATTTCAATCAGAAATAAAGTATGATTGTGCTATATCAATAAAATAAGAAAAACAAAAAACAAGTTGGCCTCGCATCTCGACAACAAATGAAGCAAACATTTTTTTTGCGAATATACTAAGTGCAAAAAAAATCCGAACACCTTGAAAACGTCAATATTTTTAAATGAAATTTTATACACATATTGGTTGTTGTATAAGTAAGAAATGATGAACATATGAAGACAATTGAAGAACTTTTACGTCATTTTAATTTTTATTGTCCTGATTTGAGGTCTAGCAAGATGGGGCTGTTCTGTAAAATTTTGACGTTTTTCGGTATTCCATTTCGACAATTTAAATTCCTTAAAAAGCCGTTAATATGCCCCCAGTGCGAAGACGTCTTCAGTATTCACAATTAGGTGATTCTGATAAGGGTCGAATAATAGGCATGCATGAAGCAATATTGTCCTTTAGAGAAATTGCACTTCGTGTTAACAGAGTTGTGTCTACAGTGACGGAATGTTGGCAGGCGTGAAGTCAAGACACAGAGCTACAGGATCCGGGCGACGAAGAGCTACTACTGGGCGCCAAGACCATCGTCTGCGTTTGTTAGCTCTAAGAATCCGAAAGTCTACAACTCAGGCAATTGCCAACGAATGGTTTGCTGATGTTGTTAGACCTATAAACATGCGTTCCGAATACTTTGTCCTTAAAACTTACCACCCACATTTTGTTTTACCTTTAACACCTGCACATAAGCGTCAACGACTCGAATGGTGCAGGGAACGTAGTGGATGGGACAAGGAATGGAACACTGTTGCATTCAGTGACGAATCGCGCTTTTGTTTATCCATGCATGATGGCCGTATGTTAGTGAGAAGAAGACGTGGAGAAAGACGGAATCCTCAATTTGCTGTGGAAAGACATGTACACCGCACAGTAGGATTAATGGTGGGGGAGTACGACCTCTCCGCGATATGTGGAAGAAGTGGTAGAACCACATCTGCTTCACTTCTTAAGAACGCAACTTGGGCTTAGTTTTCAACAAGACAATGCGCGTCCACACATCGCTAGAAACACTTTTAACTTTTTTGAAGAATATGAAGTGGAGTTATTGCCATGGCCTCCTAGATCTCCTAACCTCTCACCCATAGAACATGTATGGGATATGATAGGACGACGTTTAACTCATCTTCAGCGGCCACCACAAACTTTAAACGACCTGAAGCGTGAAGTATAAGCTGCTCGAGATGAATTAAATCAGGATGACATTGATCGACTCATTAGTAGAGAGCGGATTTCTGTCGGGCTAGACAAGGCCAAACTCGGTACGGCTCGTACGGGATGGGAATTCATTGCAGTTACCGGTTGCACTTCGTTTATTTGAGATTAGAATAACGCTGCTTCGTTGCACTCTGCTGTTAATTCCAGTTCTCATTTACTTAGCCGTTTGATTAATAAATCGTTAATTGTATTTATGGAATCAAGTGATAATTAAATTCAGTGATTACCTATCACCCGCTACTGAGTCCCGGCGATGCAGCGCGTCCCCACCTATAATCGTGACGTAGCCCGACAGAAATCCGCTGTCTACTCATTAGGTCCATGCCAAGACGTGTAAACGAATGCCTCAATAACAGGGCTGCTCGAACCCATTACTAGCTTAGGTGTTAATATATCCATTTGAATTTTTCATCATTTACTAGTAGTAAGTAGTAGACTATAAACCCAAAAGATTTTCAAAAAATTATTATTCTATCCAAGTGTTCGGATTTTTTTTGCACTTAGTATAATTAGAGCACAACTTCTTGTATCCCTGTACCTAATTTCAGGTGATTTGTACAACTGGTTTTCAAGACATTTAACCGTTTCCATGTATATTGTTGTGACTCTGTATATTTTGTAGAGTAAACAGTGGAATAATTATTTTAAGGTAAATTGATGGAGATTAAATAACAACGTTTCGGTAATTAAATCAACTTTAATGACTTTTATTTCGTAATTAACATACATAGTGCAGCAAATAAAAAATATGTTGATTTGTTTTTTTTTTTTGACATTCGAATAAAATAACATGTAACACTCTGCTGTGGTAATATAATTGCTAAAACAGTAATATACAACTGTGGTTTCACTTTTAGACAGTTAGAAATTTCCAAGTGACTAAGTACTTAAATATTAATATCAACTTTTTTCATCCAGCAAAATTTACAAAATAATGCACTATTCTGAGGTTATTTTCATTTATAATGTACAACACTTAAGACCACCTTTTATTTACAAAATATATGCATATGCATATGCTAGCACAATTATTAAATGAATTAAAAAAACCTAAGTTGAGTTTAATTTTAATTGTATCAAAATTACATTAAATTACTAGAATTACAAGTCCTTGTGAACAATTGTTCTTCCCTTCGCGCATCGATTATATAAATTATAAGAAGTATTTCCATAGGAACAAAATTTTCAAATGCAGTCAAAAAGAACACATGTCTAAAGATAAACATACTGCAACAAGTTCACACGTACACTGAACATCGGCACAATCGTGCAGCATGAACGGAACATTACCACTCTTTGAAGAACAATACAAAACAAATCATCACGCTCTGACCCAACAGCAATTTAACTTTACAAAATCATAATCATTCAAAAGCACAAATTTACAAAAAAGAAGACAAACTGATTTAAGAATATTTTTCAAGGTTTACTTTTTTTTACAAAATGGTAAATAGACCAGTTAATCAATGCATCCAATGTAAACATTAAGTCAATATGATGTTTTTCCATTGGCATATTTTTCCTTATATAAAAATTGTCACAAAAGAAAAACTAAACACTTACGCTATTATACAACAAAATACACAATAGTTGATCAGTCTAGATATGTACAAAGTCCCGTTAATAGAACAGATTCGTTTTAATTTGTCTTCAGGTAAGTTCTCTTGAATTTAGCGTCTAGTCGTTTTGTTACTACCACATTACAAAAACCTCACAATGGAATTAACATAGGAAAGAAAATTCAACTATTCATCCAGTGAACATAACATCAATTCCATCGACTCCTATTATATAGATGGAAAACGTAAAAAAGTATCACAAGAGCTGAACAGATACTTAGTAATTCCATTGCACGTAACAGAATAATAAAAACCCAAGGTTACACGAAACTTAACAAAATCACAAGACCAATCCGTTTTAACATATCACTGTTGGTTTACATTGATTTCACTTTTTGAGTCTTGTTGGTGGATCTTTCGATGCGCTTCCTCTTCTAGGCGGGCCTGCTTGGCCCGCCGTCTGGTTGGGGGGCGCCATTGCTACTCCGGAGGCGCTTCCAAAACAAACAAACATCACACATAGGTTTCCCATCGTTCAAGGATGATCACAGATGTATGGTGATGATGGTGAAGACAACGAAAAATAAAATGAAAAAAAGAGAACAAAACAAAACACGTCAGTTAGTTGCAATGGCAATAATACAAATATGAAATGGAGTGGAACGGTTAAGACGTAATAGGAACTCACTTTGCTTGTTTTGAATTACTTAAGTCTGATGTGGAAGCATTTGGGGCTCCTTGACCAGCACGCAGTCTCATCGAAACTCTCCTTTCGTGGCTGTCATATAACCGTGGAGAATCTAAACAATAGTAAAACATTTGAAAAGATAATTAAATTATTATCATCTGTTGTAATATCAGAAAGCTTAAACATGAATTCGTAATGAGTTTTGATTTTTCCAGAATATGTTTTGTATGATTCAAAAGTAAAATAAATTGAATAGAAATCAGTGAAAATGATTGTAATATTCGGTAATTTGCGTTTGGGGTTGTAATACCCGCTAAAAATGTCCGACAAAAAAGGAATAATAGAACATCTAACGTAACACCCTATTTGTTCGGTACTTATTAATGATAACTCGATACTTTGTATGCTACCTATATGCCCTTACAAAGTAAATACTTCTTTTATTAAAAAACTACTAGGACCTACTAGTTGAAACTGTGTTATTTCCTTAATAAAATGCCCAAAAAATTACCATAAAAATCCAAAAAACGAAGACATTTCCAAGAAAAAAATTATTGCAGGGCAAAAGCCGTTAGACTCGATCAAAAACCAAATTCTTGAATGCATCGGCGGCGTCAACAAATCCATGAAAATAGAAATTTTATCTAGGCAACCAATAATCTGGGCAATAACTGAAACAACAGTCAACAGTTCCAATAATAATAATCAATGTTTCAGTGTAAATACACTTTAGTCACAAGAAATAATAAACCTTTAAAAATCAAACTGTTGCGTTTGTTCTCTCTATATTTATTGTACTGTTGTTTTACTTCCCAAGCTAAGTTAAAGAATATATTAGCAATACCTCGATGAATTTAATAATACAGGAATTTAACGAATCTAGAAAATTATATCTTCATTCAACTTTTGATTGAAAAAATCAAGAAAATAGTTTGGCCTGGAAGAGTCTAGTCTTTTAAGTAAAACTGTTTTCAAAACATTTAATTTATAACAGTGGCACTATAAAAACGGCGTTGTGTAATATTTATTTACATCAGAATATGTCCATATCTCACGGGCCACTGATCTTCTAATTTGACCGCTTTTGTCAGATATAAAAAAATTGGTTTAAGGTTATTCAGACAGAATTTCCTTCGCTCCTGAATACAGTCGAACAAATACAGTTTCTTTGAAAAGTTAAATTTTTATTTTCAGCGTCATGATCATATTTCTCGAGAGAGTACCCCAGGGTATTAAATAGCAAGAAAGCAGCGGTTTTTTTGTATAAGTCGACCACTTTTATTTGAGCTTCTTCAGGACTTATTCTTCTAACGCTAATTACACGTGTGTTGTTATCCTATTAAAATATAACACGATTTTTATATTAAAACCGTAACATGTTCGATTATTCGCCATTTGCATTCGGTTGGATTATTCAAAAAGTTGTTAAGAATGGTATCTTTTACTATCGCGGCAAATGTTTCAGCATTAATACTTGAGTAATTTTGTTGAAATTAAATAGGGTTTAGATCAGTGGTCAGACTCTGAATTCAGGATACTGTAGTCGGCAAAATGTAGTGTTCTTATGACTTAATTGTAGTTTAATTTTTATATAATTTGAAAGACCCAGCAAAGTGGGATAATAAAAATACGTATCTCTTTGACGGTGGCACGTGCAGCTGTTAGTTTTATCAGCTGTAAAACATTTAAAAAGTCAAAGCCATAAACGGACTATATTTTGGAGGCCAGTATATCTCAACATTTAACACACTCCTGTCCTTAATAATATCTATTATCTCGTCAGCGCTAACCCAAATAATACTGGTTCAAAATTGTAGGTTGTATTTTAGGAATAGTTTTGTCGTAAGAAATTTACACGTATAATGTCTACTAAATGTAGATTCATCAAGTAGGTCCAGTATATTTCTTCTTAAATTGTTTAAAAATTGGATTCCTAATTTTAGTTGTGGGTACATTAGCCGAAAGAAGTGCCTCACATACATTTTCACAAGAATTTTTAGTTACTTTCTATATTTTTTGGTTTTGATTAAATTTTGTGAAAAAAATTACGAAACTCTTTGCCCTTCAAAATAAATGCAAAAGTGTTACTAAACTCAGAAAAGAATCGATTAATTTCTACAAGGGTAGAAGTAAGGAAATAATAATAAGTATATGTAGATAAAAGAAAAACAAATTATTTAACCATACAATATAAAAACCACTTTAATAAAACTGAAATTAAAAACCCATTTACCACTTTATGAAGCAATCAAAATATGTATATTAAATTGAAGCAGCCGAAGCACCGCGCTGGCGAATGCCAAGCGTAGCCTATTGCAGTACATCGTGCCGCGTCTTCACTGTAAAGGTAAATTTTTCACTGCGCTGGAACCATAACAGTACTGCATTCTCAAATTTTGATTGATTTGGTTAATAAATCAAAGTGCCTCATGCATCAGCATTAATCGAACCAGCGAACTTCGCGGTAGTAATCCGACATCTTTCCAGCTCAACTACGCAGCTCACCGGACGGCCAGTCTCTTATATTAGTATAAAATATTATTATACAATTTGGATTTTTTTGAGAAACATTAGTTGCGGAGAGTAAAAAAATCAAGGCAGATTCATAAACCATAAGCACAGGAATATGTTATTTTATATCATTTAAACAGCTTTTTCACAACGATCAGTCCGGTAGTTTTGGAGTGTATCTGTCTAATAAAAAACGACAGAGACGGCAGACAGACAGAAACAGGCCTACTAACTATTACTCTAGAGGTCATGAAACGACTATTACAATTAATAAAATTTAAGGAATACTGAAACTAATAACCTGTTTTAAACAGGTAACAGTAGATGGCAAATGACAGATTCTATCCACTTTTTCAGAAATTGAAGTAAAAATCAGACCGCTAAGAAAAAGATTATTAACAAGTAGTTTTAAAACATACTCGTTTTTCTAATTTGACAATACGTGAACAAATACACAGGTCGCCTTGTACATCAACTAAGTTCAAGTGACTAACTTTAGAAAACATCTTATAAAGATTTAGTTTTCTATTAGAATTATTATACACTTATTGTATTTTTAAAGAAAAACAAAAATGATAGTTTAAATGGTAATTCATTTTCTGAAACATTAGTTTTAAAAGTTTAAATTACAAGTTTTCTTTCAAAATTGTTGCAGTTTATTTAAAACTATCAACATTATTTAATTTCAATAATATAATAAGGTCAGTCGTTTTCATTTCACAAATAAGCTTGTACAACTGCGTATTTTTCTAAATTTTCCTTTGAAAATAAGTCTTACTTCGGTCTTAATGTCTTTGAATTTAGAAAAATATCTCTCCGCATCACAACTTGTTACTGGAGCAAACAAAAAATTAGATATAAATTTGGATCATTTTAAAACAGTAGTATGTACTTGTAACAGTGTTTAAGGATATTGCTTTTAACATTAAGAAATCCGGATTTCTGCGTCAATTTTGGTTTTAAATTCATCTTGAAATAGCCAGTTTACATCTTCTAAATGAGATGTGTCGATTCAAATTTTTCCATTGCGATTGACACTTTCAAATTTTGTGAAACAAATAATAATAATTATTTTGATGCATTCCCATTACAAATTTTTGCAGCATTTACTGTGTCGTCGAATATTGTAGAAACCAAACATGGTTTCGACGGTTTTTGGGTTTAATATTCTTTAATTAATATTCCCATAATAATATTAGAAACACATATTCCCTTCATGTCAGTTGTTCGTGTGCACTAATCCATCCGTAATTTTCTGAAACTATTGTTTCTATTCCTAATATTGTTTGATCGTAAATTTTTGGAACATAATTTTTTCTAATCGTAGATTCGTCTGGAATATCACGTTTCATATACACTGCCATACAAAAAAACCAGGACACTTAAATTTTTTGTGATTACCTGCGATTGGTCGAATTTTTGTAAAAAATATTCCAAAAAGCAAAACATTAATACACTCTTTAACAGAAAAGATAACTTTATGCTAAAACGTATCAAAAAGAAAAAAAGTTATAACACTAAACATTAGCGTAACGTTACAAATATTCACGTGTCCTGGTTTTTATGTCTGGCAGTGTATTTATTAAAAAAATGTCTTAAGGATGGGTTGTTTAAATTTTTTAAAGGAATATTGGCAGATATAAAAGCCACTATAAAGGTCTTCATAAAATGTTTATTTTGATGTTCCACCCAAATTTTGCTTATGTCTTTCATTATTCACGTACTTTTGCAAATTGCCTTTATCTCTGATTGCAAGATTTTTTGAATAAGTATTGCAATAAACTTGTTTATCATTTACATATGAAATATTGTCAAATTCTTTTAAAAGACGTTCCATATTCTATTAAAAAAGTAAATAAAAATGTAACTCCAAATGTAATTGTATGAAAATAAAAAATAAATTCTAACTGAAAATAGAAATAACACGAAAAATTAAAAATGAAATAAAATGATTTTAAGAAATTACTGAAATTCGTAACCACAATCGCTGATTAAACGGAAATAAAACTCAAGCTGTTTTGAAAACAACATAAAAAGTGCACAAGAGCAGCGGGGAAGACACGATGTGTGCATAGCAGTCGGAATAGTGCGTGCTGCATGCAGCGCTGCGAGGGTCCTGCAGGCCCCACTCCCGATGCGCGGCTATATATGAGACCTTTCTAATCCCGAAAAATGTCCCCGCTCTGTACATTACAGATAACTCAAAATGCAAATCGAACTGACTCAAGTTAACACAAAAAACAAACTTGAATATATTTCTACTCTAGTGCAGTAGCACAATTGGGACTACGGAAATTTACAAATAAAATACCCTGTTTTTCTATGCTCATCCTCTTGAAACTGCGTCACAATTTGTGGTTGTTGACAAAATTTAAATCACGAATTACACGGTTAATACATTACGTCTTCAAATGACTGTCTGCCAAGAGACGTAGCGCCACTGGGACACTTATTTAGTACTTAATTAGAGTTTTCAGCAGATTTATAAAACATGCAGATGTATGAAATCCAGGACACGGCATAGTACTTTTTCAGTAAACAAATCATATCAAATAATCAAATGCATAATCAATATTCTAATAAGAACAAACACATTACTTATTCCAGACGTAGAGCGAGAAATTTAATTAATAAGCAAAGACAATTTTATATTACATATTAAACACGTCAAAAAGGATCAGGTTTGCGGTTTTTTCAGTTATACAATACATTAACTTACTGCTACTGATTACATCTTCTAAAGGGTTTGGAGCAGTGGTGTTCGCAGGCACGATATCCATTCTGTCGTGGGGTCTCCTTGTTCGTGTCTGAGGCGCCGTCGGGGTTGAATCACCCGGTGTGGCCGCGTGACTTCCATATCGTGTTCCTGAACGGCCAGTATTTTCCTCACAATGACTTCCTCTAGAGCCTCCTAAATGTTAATATATTTTTAATACGAAACATTTTAATGGAATAGATTTAACATAAAAATATACTTCCCCGCAAAATTAACGCAAAATTGCACATGGCGTTTCAAAAATTTAAAAACAATTCAAAGAACTATTTATCACAAAAACTAAGAATACGTAAAGGGAAAGGCAAAACATGTGCCCCTGTTTTTGTGAAAAAAAATAAAGTATCAACAAAAATAACATTTTAATATTTTGCGGGGCAGTGTATTTACAATGCAGGTCATCTAATAGAATCGGAACAATTTTTAATTTTGTAATCAGATATAAATAAGGATAACTCGATTTATCTTTAATGATACAATCAAATCATCGTCAAAAATAGTACTAACTTTACTTATATATTGCATCACACGCATTTCTAATCTTTCAGGACTGCAAAAAACAAATTCACAAGTTCATGTCGTTACATTTACTAGTACTGATAGATGTTTAATTTCTCATAATTGGCTGATATCATCCAAACACGTTTATAGGAAACTTAATTCGTCAGTATAGGGAAAAATATATCTTTTTATGTAACGAGGGTTTCATTTTATTTTTGAACCATTCAAGTTTCAGCGATCTTAAATTCGATCCACGAGTTACAATAAGGACCTAAACTTCATTGCTACTGATTATTAATAAGCCACCCGTTTACACATGACCAAAGTCATTGATATTTACTTTAACCAACTTCAAAACTACAAACTACACAAAAACTGGCTAAAATATTTTATTTATTTGAATAGTTTATGTCCCCGAAATTCGTTAAATAAATATTTTAAATCGAATATTCGTCAATAATGTCATAGGTATAACCACTTATAAAATTTTAGAATTATTTTTAAATAAAATGATTATTTTTTAAATTTTAAAAACAGAAAACAAAAAATATCCATGTAGTCATTATGTGATGATGAAAACATGTTTATCTGAACACACAACTACACGGTACTTACCAAATTTGAGCATATTCCAGTCAAATACGTAGTCATACGTAAACCCTTGGCGATGGAAGAGGGAACGGAAGAGTTGTCTTAAATAACTATAATCAGGCCGTTCTTCGAACCTCAATTGTCGACAATAATTCAAATAGGTCGGAAACTCCATTGGAAAACCCTAGACAATAAACTGTACAAACAAATATATCAAAATAAAAATACTGACTTTACACAACTCTTCTATTGGTGTCGACATTTTCTTCTCCGAGATTCTTTCATACTTTTGTCGTTTTGTTGCAGCTTTTAAACCTTGCCACGGTAAAGACCCTTTATTAAAATACATTAAAACATAACCTAATGATTCTAAATCATCTCTTCTTGATTGTTCTATTCCTAAGTGTGTGTTTATACTTGCATATCTCGCCGTCCCTGCAACAAATTTTTTAAAAATTTTCGCAATGTCAGCCTTGAACACGTGTAAAAACAAATATTAACCCAGTAACGCAAAATGTTTATTTTTAGTTGCGAAACAGTGGCAAGATGGATGTACCCTCAGGTGTACTCAAAATTTACATAACGAAATAGCACCACCTTCATCACGTATGCAATAGCACTGACCTTTACTACTTTTTCCGCGTTGATTGCGTAAAATTATCAATCCACATTCACTTTTCATTTGAGCAGAATTTTTACAAATACAATGTCAATGGCAGTTTTACTCACCTGTTAAATTTTTATTTTCCCTATATGGTATATGCTGGTGTGACCTGCCATCTCTGTACTTCTTTGCCAATCCAAAGTCAATTATATAAACTAGATTACCCTTTTTACCGAGACCCATTAAAAAATTATCAGGTTTTATATCTCTGTGAATAAAATTCCTGGAGTGGATAAAATCTGTACGAGATATTAATTGGTCAGCCAGTAAAAGAACTGTTTTTAAAGAAAAACGGCGAGAACAAAAATTAAAAAGATCTTCTAATGATGGTCCAAGCAACTCCATAACCATTACATTGTAATCACCTTCGGAACCACACCACTTTATTTGTGGAATCCCCACTGGAAAATAGAGAAATTTAAATTCTAGGAAATTGATAGCGACACGAAATATAGTTATCAAGAAATGTAATCAGTAGTAAACATAATCTATTTAGTGGGGCCAATAAAAATTTCATTTACGTTTCTGACAAGGCTCAAGGTGATGACTAAGAAAAATTTTTAGTAAATGAGGGTTGAAAATTACCTCCACCCTGCATCATTTTGTAAAACTTCGATTCTATATGTAACTGGGGGTGCCTGGTTTTGATACATTCTAACTTAATCGCAACTTCTTCACCAGTAGAAATATTGGTACCTTAAAACAAAAAAATGTGCAATGTTTTTGTGTAAAATAGCTCTTTGTTTACAACGTTTAAATGGTCGATTCTTACCTAAATATATATCTCCAAAAGATCCAGAGCCTATTTTACGGCCTAGCCTATATTTGTTACCGACTCGAAGCTCCATTCCTCAACAGACACCAAATTCACACAACAAAAGACATGAAATGCTGTCGTATTTCAGGCGGCCATATTACATTAGCCAACTATGATAGGAAATTTGACGTAACTAAAAGGCTTAGAAATTCGTTTGATACCGACTTGGGGGTAATTACAGCTACTGGTTATATTGTTTAGAATTTATCAATTATCACAGATTCGTCAGTAACCAAAAACAACTACAATTAAATTTACTGTTTCCCTTTTCATTATGTGCTTTTGGTGACACACACAACAGACAACTGAGAAATAGATGTGCCTAGTTTTACGGGTGTATGGTTATCTCACACACATGTTCTATATGTCTGTTTCTTTTTAATTCGTACAAAATGCGCGGAACGTAATTCGCAGCTTCACTGTTTCAATTAACCCGTCATTCTTTATCAATTAAGGCCTAACTTCATGGCAAAGGCGAATTTTTCTTAAAAATTCTAAATTATTCGAGTTTTTTACTTTCATTAAATTTTGTTTCTTATAAAAATTCTTATTAACGTTTCGATGTTAAAATTATAACTTGAACTTCAGGTTTTTTGTAAAAACCAAAATTAAAACGTGACCACTTTGGTTGCTGTTGCTAACTTCACCACGAAGGCACCTGTCATTGAGGGGTTACTCGTTAAAAATATTTTCTAAAAAGTAGAGCCAAATGGCCGAAGCGGAACCCCGAAATGTGGTTGAAAAATTTTTTACTTCAGTGGCTAATGTTTTAGTAACTCCAACCGTGTGGGTTAGAGGTATTGTTCCAACATAACCTAATTTTACTTTCAATTAATTTGTTATGAAAAAGTACAATTTATATGGTTATAAAATGCTTGAGACACTTTGAAATTTGTATTCGTTTTTTAGAAAAAATCGTGGAACCCAATCAACAGTCTTACCCATGGTACCATCAAAAGTTTCGCAGGGTGCCCACCATTGATGAATGTTACACAGATGATGTTGTGTGCCAGTTTGAAGCTGAAGCTCAATACAAGCGAGATAGGTTTGTTTATAAAAATTCAATGATGCATATTCTAGTGTTATGTAATCACAGGTTAGTTGATTCCAATATTCTGTCCATTCTAAGAGCGCGATTTGAGGACTGCACCTTATATGAAGCTCCTGATCACTTGGAAAAGTGCAAGCCTCTCTGGGAACAATATGAAGACGCTTCCACCAACTGGTTCATTAAATGTAAGTAATTATTCGGTTTTTATCCCTTTTAAAAACACATACTACTTCCAGATGGCGATTTGGGGGGTTATCACAATGTTAAGTCTGCTTACATGAAGCAAAAACACCGTATGATTTGGGAGCGTAGACATGGACCTGTAGGTTCAGGAAAGAAGGACACTGAATAATATTCACCAGTTGGTCTGCCTTCTATGTGTGTAGTAACTCTGTAAAGTAAGATACTGTAGAACATTTTTGAGGTATAAATTGTTGATTATTGAAAAAGTACAAATTTATTTATTTCTCAAAAATTCTACAATGGCGGTAAAACTTATAAGTACAGGGGACAACATAATAATTAAATTCACAATTAAAGTCACAAAGATTATAAAAAATATTTGTACATACATCTTTAAAAGCATTTGCTTGAGCCACAAAACCATTCAGTACATCTTTCTTGTAAATATAATTCTAGTGTTTACAGAAAAAAATAAGTAAGTTGGTAACAGTATCACATATCACCATGTTTTTGGACTGATAAACAATGATTATTGGTAGATGAGATAATGTGACCAACCTTAACAATCAAAACATAAATAGAACACGGGACATTAATTTTTACAACTAACTATAAGATACAATCACAGTATTAACTTAAATAATAATTGGTTTGGAATCCACGATACTTATTTATCGAAACTTAAATAACTGGTTAAACGATGTTTGGCGCCTGACCCTACATCACAATCATTAACTCACTTTTTTACTAAATATCAAACTTACCGCAAGCTCCTAGTTCTATTTCGTTGTCTGATGGCGAATTTTCCAATTTTGAGTTAACCCCAGAATCTGTCGAATCATCGGATGCAATTCCTTTCATCATCAGTTTATCAGGCATTGGCAACTCCGTTGGATCTGGAGCTTTGGCCCATGGATTTCTGTTCAGAGAAAAGAGATGCCTTGCTGGTGAAATGAGATCATATGGATTACCCAACAGTTGCGGGTTTTGAATAATGGGTAACTGTATAGATAAATTCTAAAAAAAAAAATAATAATTACGTTACCATGTGTGACATACGGTTTCAATTAATTACCAACTCAGTCTCTAATGAAGGATTTCTCCGAGGTGAGGCCCAAGGAGTACTAGTCTACAAATATGAAAAGATAAAATATTGACTAAAGTAAAAAAAGAATTATTAAAATTACTGGTGTGGGTGGAGTGTCTGGCTTTGGTGGTGAAATTTTTCTAGTTGAATTAGATGGTGCGACTTTATGTATAGTCGGGGGTGGAGGCCATTTCTTTGAACTATGACTTGAATTATAAATTTGAATAGGCAGTGTAACTTGATATTCTGAAATGTAAGGTTTACTATGTTTCTTTAAGGAAAAAATCCGTCCTATTACCTGCTAAATTCCTGTTAAGTGCAAGAACACTTTTTTTGTAGCCACAAACAAAAAACAAGAAGTCAAATTGTTCATAAAGTTCATCGACAGTATTTATATTGTAGTCTGATAATTTTATAGTTTTGTTGAACGCTTTAGAAAATAATCTTTCCAACTTGTTAAATAAAACGCTGCCCCCGTTAACGTACAAGACATGATATAACTGTGCTGCTAGTACGTACATATCCGTTAAAGCAATGTAGTTCGCATCGTTAACAACCGATACCGAAATAACATTACGTAACTGTTGTAATTCGTTTATCGATATATCACTGTTATATCTCGACTGGTACTCGTACCTAAACGTGGCAATATCTTTACAATATGGCGGCTTAAGAAGAAGAGCCCAAGCTCGTACTTTTATTGCCGATGGGACGTCCGAATCTATTGATATTAATAAAGCACCAGAGGCAATGTCCACGATCTGAAATGTATTAAAAAATAATTTTAATTATTACAATGCTTATAGATGCGTACCTGAACGTAATCACATATTTTATCAATAATTTCTAGAATTGTTTCACATTCGTATACTTGGGGTTTCAGAGGATAGCCACATTCCTTCAAGTAAATTCTAGGTAGTTCATCCAAAGATATGGATGATGTAGGTGAATTCTTTATTAAACTCACAATCTGGCTGCCCAAAACCTTGAGCGACTGATTCAACGTAAGGCTAACAGTACGTTCACCTTCTGAAAGTTCCTGAATCTGAAAAATTTAGTTAGTAAAACTGAGCTTGGAATCCGAAAAAAAAAAGATTAAAACGCACCAACAACAGCATGAATGAATATTTTGTAGTTAGTGTGAGTGAAATAAAAGAAGGCACTCATGGTACAGATTGATTCAAAATTAATTAGGAGGGACAGGTACACGGGCATAAAACTTGGGAGCATAAAAATACCACATTGTTTGTGGGGGTTATGTAGAGTGACGAATTTTTTAAGTCTTACCTGTTCCTGCCCCTATAATTTTTCGTTAATGTAAATAAATTGTTTAAATTCAGAACATATATATTCGATTCTGCTATGCATCCCGAGAACTGGCCAAAAGGATGTTACGTGACCCGTTATTTTCACCGGGGGAGACAGACAAAATCCCCCAGTTAGCCGCCTCTCCGCATTTTTCCTTATTCCATTTGAATATACAAAGTCTGCGGAATAAACGCCAAGAATTTGACTACTTTATTAACGAATTGGCTCCCACAGCCATTGCAGTTACCGAACACTGGCTAAACAAAGACGAAGTGTCCTTGTACGGACCAGAAAATTATCAGCTAAGTAGCGCCTCATCACGAAATAACTCCAAAGGTGGTGGCACCGCAATATTTGTAAAAACATCTACGTTCGACACTCAGCCCTTGAAGCTGGAAAAGCCCATTCAGGTAGAAGGAGACTTTGAGTACTGTTGTACCACGATTAATGTACCTAGTCAACAAAGTTTTTTAATCGTATGTATTTACTAGAGAGCGGATTTCTGTCGGGCTAGACAAGGCCAAACTCGGTACGGCTCGTACGGGATGGGAATTCATTGCATTTACCGGCTGCACTTCGTTTATTTGAGATTAGAATAACGCTGCTTCGTTGCACTCTGCTGTTAATTCCAGTTCTCATTTAGTTAGCCGTTTGATTAATAAATCGTTAATTGTATTTATGGAATCAAGTGACAATTAAATTCAGTGATTACCTATCACCCGCTACTGAGTCCCGGCGATGCAGCGCGTCCCCACTAAAATCGTGACGTAGCCCGACAGAAATCCGCTGTCTAGTATTTACCGTTCTCCCTCAGGAGACATAAATGTTTTTCTTGATAAATTATGGGACTTATTGCAGCAACTTGTTCGTAACTCATCGAGACGAGTAATAATCTGTGGCGATTTCAACACAGACTTCTTAACAAATTCAAGCAGCACTGAGGCTAAAGACGTACAGCAACTTTTTCTTAGTTTTGGACTAACACCTCATGTTAATGAGCCTACACGGGTAAGCAAAACCTCGAAATCTCTTATTGACAACTTTTTTAGTAACGTTAATGACGATCTAGTAGACTGCACTGTCATCAAATCTTACTTATCAGATCACTTCTCACAACTTTTAATATTGAAGCAAGTAAGTCAGAAAATCTACATGTCTCTATAAGAAACTTCTCAAGTTTAAAAAATAATTCTAACTTTCTCGAAGCCATTAGCAATCAATCCTGGTCCAATGTGTATAATGTACCAGACAGCAAATCTAAATTTAAGGAATTTTACGGAACACTTAAATATTACTTTGATAAAGCCTATCCCCTCTGTATGAAATCTATATCTAAAAATGGTCAAAAAAAAAAAAAAATAATCCGTACTTTAAAAGCTGGTCTACTTACATTCATGACCTACATAAATTGTATATTAATACAAAATCTCAACAAATATTGGAAAAACTAAAACTAGAACGGAAAAAATTCAAGAAATCCCTAAATGAATATAAAAAAAATCTAAACCATTCCATAATTAACAATTCAAAAAACAAAACAAAAACTACTTTTGCAATGTTTAAAAAAGTTACTAAACAGGGTAATAGTAATTCCAACTATACAAAACCGCTGAATATAAAAGATAATGATCAAATAATTACTGATCCAGCTGTACTTGCTCATAAATTCATAGAATCATTTCAACCACCGGACTTAATAAGAACTACCAAGAATCCTAACTTTCACACAGTTACCAAAAAACTATTTAATAACACTATGTACCTCAACCCAGTATCAGCCGATGAAGTCAAAAAAGTAATAAATGCCCTACCAAACAAACATGCTTGTGGGATAGATGATATTCCAATATCTGTGATAAAAAATGTTTGTGATTATATAAGCGAACCTTTGGCGCATATAATAAATCAGTGCTTCTTAGATGGATATTTTCCAAACGAGCTGAAATCAGCAAAAATCATTCCGATTCATAAAAAAGGCAGTACAGGAAACATTAACAATTATAGGCCTATTTCTATATTGCCTTCTCTCTCGAAAATTTTCGAAAAAATCATATATAATAAATTAATTCACTTTATTCGAGTTAACAACATATTATCATCAACGCATCATGGATTTGTACCAAACCGCAATACGGAATCTGCATTATTCAATTTTATGAATTCGTTATTATCCCAAATAGATAATCAGCAACAGTGTGCAGGCATTTATTTTGACTTATCAAAAGCCTTTGATACAATTAATTACGAAATATTGCTAAACAAATTGGCGAAATATCGTATTAGAGGCCAAGTAAACCAACTTATAAAGTCATATATGGGAGGACACAACAAATCTTTTTAAAAACTACAGCAAATAATATTATTACAACACAAAAATCCGGCGTCTATGAAATGAAAAAAGGGGTCCCGCAAGGTTCAATTTTGGGCCCAATCCTTTTTCTATTATATGTGAATGATCTTTATGAATACATAAGTAACAACATCTATCAATTCGCAGATGACACCTCCTGTATGGTGAGTAGCTCTAGTGTTCCCAAATTATCCCATAAAACACTCACAACTATCAATCAAATGACAAAATATTGTGAGCAGAACTGTCTCTTATTAAATGTGGAAAAAACAGCTATACTAACTTTCAAAAACACAGGACATCTACAGTTAGGGGATATTATTATTCAGCAACCTAATGAAACTAAATTCCTAGGGTTAATTTTAGACACAAAATTTCACTACAGGGAACATATACATAATCTGATAAATAAAATAAATATTGCTTCCCATGTCATTCGTGTACTCAAGGAAGAACTATCCATCGAGACAATAAAACAGTTTTACTATGCTTATGTTCAGTCTTTAGTAGCATATGGTATCATATTCTGGTATGCCTCCCCTGATTGGAATAAAGTCTTTGTGGCACAAAAGAGAGTCTTAAGAACTATTTACAACTTATCAGCCCGACAATCATGTAGGTCATTCTTTAGGAAGTTCGATATAATGACAGTTACCTCTTTGTATATGTATAAGTTGATTATGTATGTCCGACGAAATCAAAGTAATTTTACAAAGAATGGAGATCTTTACTCCAAGATGACAACACGAGGTCATACTTACCTAAGTGTACCAAAACATAGGACAACTTGCTTCGAAAAGGGACCATATTACAGAGCGATACAAATATATAACACCTTGCCCTTGTCATTAATAAATATTTATGAAAATAATAGATTCAAACGCGAAATTAAAAAATATTTCATAAATAAGGAGTACTATAGTCTCGACGAGTTATGAATTTTATGTTATTCTGCTGTCTCATTTGACTAATTTTCTGTATGTACATAATATATTGTGTAGAATGTTTATACACACATGCATAATATCTATGGTCACATATTTATGTTTATTTTTATGTTTATGTTATTGTTCCGTGTGTTTTGTTTCTATATTTGACGTGTTCAATGATCTTTATTGATCCTAATGAATAAATCACAATTATTATTATTATTATTATTATTATTACTTAATGAAGGATAGTATGATACACTTGGAGCTAAAATGATCGTAAATACATTGCTTGCTCAGTTAGTGGCTAGCAAAAATACTCGAAGTGGTCAAGTAAAATGTTGCTGGTTCACAACTATGCAGAACATTTACATTCCTTCAACTTACTCCCCGCTCTCTATCAAATACTGATGGAATTTTTGATCTAAAATGTTAATCAGTGTTTCAAAAGTGTACATTAAAAAATTTCTAAAAAAAATACCAAGTTAAAATTTTATGTTTACCTGCTTACATTTAAAATCAAAATTTATCTTCGGGTTTAAATACTAAAATTTAAACACGGCCAAAAAAATATACTTTTCTGTTGCCTCCAAGAAAAAGCAGAATTCAAAGAAACTGGATTTAATAAATATCAATAAAATTTTGGTAGTTTTCTAAAATTTTGCATGTGTAATTTCTAAAATGGGAGTGAACGTTCTCCTTGATGAATTATTCCAGAATCTATTTGGATTTAATAAATCAATTTCCAATTTTTAAGATCAAGTGCGATTTGTGACCACGATGCATTTTATTTCAAGATTAATTTCATTAAAACATTGTTCTAATAATAATAATTGTATAGGAAACAAAAGCATAAATCTAGCCTGTAGATTTTTGACACTCTTTGAAAAGAGAATCAATCCCTTCATGAATTAATCATAAGTAGGTACGGTACATTCTTCGATTCAGTAGACATATTTTTCAATAAATATATTTTATTTTATACGAGATTTATTGTATTAGTTTATTACTTTTTTTATTTTTTGTCAATATGGAATACTACACATAAATATGCTTTTGTAATAAAAGAATATTGTTTTAAAAGGTACACACATATTGATGTAATTGTCGGGTACGGTGCTTTTTTTTTAATATTTAAATTTATAATAAAATTCAGTTGCTCTTTTTGGATTTTTTCATTTTCTTTGTATTTGTTCAAAGGAATCATATTTTTAAATTTATGTGTATGCACTAGAGTTGGAATTTATCATTACACTAAATCAAATTAAAAACAATTTTGATCAGTCAAATTACCGCAAGTGAAATTACTGTTTCCATGCGCAAAAATTAATTCCATAATGTTTTTACGAATACAAAATCCAGGCAGCTTATGAGATTTCTAAATTTTTACTTTCCAAGCGTAAGTTAAGTAAGTATAGTAATCGAGTCCATCGGCCGAATTGCCACTTTCATATTTTCTTGACGTGTCATGACCTCTAGAGTACGAAAAAAGTGGTCTCCCGTTTCCGTCTGTATCTATGTATTTTAATTAGACACGTAATCTCTAACAGCAAGTATGTTATTTTATAAAATTTAAATAGCATTAATATTGTAAATTTTGAGGATGGCGACATCACATTAGTGGCAGGGATGATCAGACAAATTTTGGTCAGCGTTTTATCATCTACACGATAATCCTAATATACATACAAAATTTGACAGAAATCGGTCCAGTAGTTTAGAAGATTATCTGTCAAATAAAAATCGACAGGACATACAGAATACAGACCGAAACGATTGACCTATGTTATCGTATTCTAGGGGTCATGAAACATCGAGAAAAAATAAAAGTATCGAGTCGCCCCATGAACTTCCTTAGCTTACGTCCGGGAAGCAAAAAGCAGTTATAATTAAATTGGTGATTTCCATTATCTTCGACAAATTGAGTCGTTATTGATCAAGAAATGAAAATTTGTTAGAAAAATAAATTCCACGATAATTCATTACAATAATAATTTAAATACTTACTAATCATAATTAAAATGAGTAATTTATTACTCTTATTAGCTAATTAAATTAGAAAGATTCTTGATTGGTTTTATGCATGATAATACAATCCAGAGTTTGATACAAAACAATAAATTGGAGCCAAAGGGCAGCACTTTTGTTTATTTGACGAGTAGCGGGGTATAAATTAGAAAGAAGAAAAATATTACAACCTGCTTCTAACACTGTCGTTAAACGACAGCTGAGTTGAATGTGGACATTAATTTTGTCACGTACCATACCGTTAAATATACTAGATGTGAAAAAACTGTTTTGTTATATCTAAGTAAAATACAAATGTTGAATTGTTTGCTACTCTGGATTCTTAGCAAACATTTATACTCGTAATTTGTTATGATAAAGAAAAATATAACCTACCTTTACAACGTCTGGAATGGCTTCGAAGAGTTCAATAAGTTTGGTAAACCCATAATCCGACATCCGACACTGGTGTCCAAAATGGTGATGATATGCAGGTATAAACTTATTGAATAATATAGTGCAGTTTGGGGAATGTCTCAGGATGTCAATCACTTCCATAGCAAATTGTTTTGTCCTCATTATTTCTTTGGCTGTCTGTTCTCGCTTTGGCACGGAAATGACGACATTGGCTTCATTTTGTGTTATCACAATAATATTTTCAGGAACCTCCTCTAATAAATCTTGAAAGGTGCACAACCCATAATCCACGGCATTAAAGGGCTTGTTCATGACTTTCTCATAGGCGTTTGGAAAGTCATGCACTGTAATTTGCTTAGCTGGTTGTACTTTCAGTACCCGAAGTAAATCTGAAGTAAATCTGCGTATTTGGGCTTGGTGGGATAAAGTAATTATTTTGCGCGTACCGTCGCCCATGATCTAAAATTATATGTAATGGATTTATGTAGAGATATATAAACGGCAGAATTCCAATATGTGACAATTATTCGTTGGATTTTTTTTTGCATAATTCCTGCTGTCATTTAAAATGGGACAGCCAAAAAAATAAAAAATAAAGAAAGACCTTACCTGCACTACATGTGGAATTGATTCGAAAAGATCTACAAGTTTAGTATATCCATAATTGGCCACGTGACACTGTCGACCAAAATGATGATGGTAAGCTGGTACGAATTTGCTCATTAGCAACTGACATCTCTCTGTAGTCTTCAACAGATCCACAAGTTCTCGACATAAAAGACTTATATGTGGGGCCAAAGATGGTGGAACACTTTTTAAAACAGTTTCTTCATCAAGTTCCACAGACCTAAATTCGCGTTTAATAATTTTAATGTTTTTATTAGGTCCAGAATATTTGATTTCTACGTTTGGAACGCAAGATATTAAATGTTCGAGTGGTACACCATTGAAATCTACGGGTAACGGCTCCTGGCATTCTTGTTCGTAACACGCTTGGAAACTTAAAAGAGGCATAGATCCCAAGTGAACACTCAACAATCCGTTCAGTTTGGTAGCGAAAATTTTTAAAGGCATCATAATGTTCGGGCTTTGGACTGTGCTCAGTTCACACCAACCTAGATTTGGTAATCCGTTGGCACAGTGAATCGTGCAGTATGGAACTAACGTCTTAAATTAAGCAAAAAAAAAAAAAAAATAAATAATTCTGATTAACGTGGTATAACATTTGGCTAACCTTGCTTAAGTTTGGCGGTGGAGAGGATTTCATTTGTTGCGTAAATGAAATTATTCTTGAACCTAGGTTGTCGGTAATTTTACAGATGTCTTTTAATTTATTGACGTCGCAGACTGAAACTGTACAGTGGTAACGAGATTCGAGGAGTTCTATGAATTTGAAGAGTGGCATGTTATTGTCTGGAACTTCCTAAAATTTACAAAAAAAATTGCTGGAAATAATGTCTGTTTTTTTTTAACGTTAGTGAATATTGTGAAGATGACCCGATCGGTGAATAATATACATTTTTCCACATTAAAAATGTTTTGTTTCATTTGCAGTATTAAATTTTACAAAATAATTTTATTAAGTAATATAACTCTGATTTATTTTTCGTGGGACAATTTATCCCAAAAGAGAACGAATAGAATTTTGATCAGACCTTGATTTTCGCGCCTCGTAGTCATAGATCAACACTTTTTGAAAAGAGTTGTTCTTACGAGTCACTCAAATTTTTCAATACCTTACGTACTATTATTACTACTATCGAGAAATGCCGCACTTTAAAAGATATGTTAAAGATAAAATGATAAAAGCTAAATTGTACTAACTCCAAGGATTCTAACGCATTCTTAATATACTTCAATTTTAACATCCATGTGTTAGTGTTTCCTCATTTGACGAATACCAAACAACTGTACATATCTCTGATGTTAATAAAAACGATTAAGACGAATTGTTTCTATTGTTTGTTATTTTCGTCAATAAAATGACATTAATTTACACGGAAAGGTCAACAAGTAACTATTTTTTCAAAACTAATTTGTCATAATACTGTATTTTTATTTTCTTGGTTTATTAGATATCTTCAAGTTACTAGTTTTGTGTTTAATTTTCTGTATTTAATTTTATCTGTGATACTATTCTCGTTATTGACTTAATAAGTTCACTGCTCATTCCAAATTTACTCTGATGAATACCATTTTTTTTAAATCAGACTTCACAATGATCAAAATACGTAGGTATTAATACATATTTTCACTGTACAACTGAAACTACTTTTACAAATTCCGTTTTAAATGTTAAAAAGATTATGATATACATAAAACGTCAACGAGTTTAAAGTATACATTTCTAAATGTCCAAGAATTTAGTTAAAAAGCAGTTTTTTAAGTTACGTACTTAGTTACATACTATATTATTTGGTATTAGAATAATATTTCTTATACAAATTAATTGTTATTGCGTGATTTGTTTCTTTTTCGTTACTGGTTACATTTAAACTTTGAACTTCTTCCTTTGGACAGGTTACACTGCTATGTAAATACCTCCATGATGTAAAACCGGTTGACAAGAATTATTACATCCATAAAGGAATGATAATTATTAAATCGACAAAAACTGAATCTAAATTTTCGAAATTAGGCCAATGTCACAAAATATGATCATTTTAAAAACAGGCATGTTTTGGTGCTTTAAATATTTTATAAAGATTTTAAAATTTTTGACTCTTTCGTTCAATTTTCAAATAGTCGACATCGAACGCAATTAGTTTATAATTTACAAAATTGGTATTTTCTGTTGTATTATTTGAATTAAAATTATTAATATATTAATAATTTAACGATGTTTTCAAAATATTATAATTTTTCTTAACCTTTAAGGGACAGGTTAACACTGTTTCCGAAACTACGCGCTTAAAATAACTACGAAGTTATTATTTACGAAAGTGTATAATATAGAAGTAGTAAAGTTTTAAAATATCCTTGAATTTTTATAAAACTTCTTTCGTCTTTGAAGTAAAATGTGAGATGTCATCTCAAAAAATACTTTTTATATATGAATTAGGAGTATTTAAGTACACCATATAACTTTTAAAATGTTGTATTTTTTGTACTTACATATTTAACAATAAAGGTCCACCTTTTTTTTTGAAACGAGAACGTTTTGGGTAGAATGGATAAATAGAATTTATTTATTTAAAAAAAAAAACTTATATCCGTGATAAATTCATTAAATTAAATAAAAAATTATGGTTCGAATTTGTTTATTTTTCAGGATAATTCGTTAGTTAGTTAAGAATATTAACGCACAGATAAAGGAAGATGTTACTCTAAACATAATAAATAAATTTTAGTTAGGGCTTAACCACGTTCAAAATAATATTATGGTACAAATAAAATTTCCAAATTATCGGTTCGACTTTCAGAGATTATTTATTCCATAAAATTGAAAGGGACAGACAAGTATACCGTATTTTCCTTATTCTACACAATGTAAAACTGCTAGAAAATCCCACCGCAATACTTCCCCTATTCTCACTCGGGGAAAAACTTATTGTAGATCAATTTCTATTAACTTTGTAGGTATATATTTTATTTTATTAATTTTAAAAATGGCACCCGGTTGTTGGAAAAATCAAGTAAAACCCGGAAGCTTTAACGCGTTTTGATAATGACCGTGAAAACCTGTATTCCACTTAAGAATACAAAAAGAGCGTGATGTTAAAACAAAATATCAACACGCGAACTAAAGGGAAAAATTATGCATACAAAAAAGTTGTTTAAACATTAATTTTTATAAAACAACTTGACCTAATTAACATCGATGGGTGTGTTGTGTAGTAGGATTAGTTTTCACGACCAAAGTGAGTGACACACCCCCAGGTCCCCAACTAGTATAAAATCTCAGACGAAGTGCCGTAGAATCAGATTTGGTTTTACACAAGTCAAGAAAACAACTTCAAGATGTTCAAATTGGTAAGTGCTTTGCAATTATCATTACCTCTCAACTAAACTATAGTTTAATTTTTATGTACTTGTTTTACAATTTTCTCTCTTTACAGCTTTTGTTCTTCGCCCTTTTGGCTTTCGCCCTTGCCGCCCCCAAAGCTGCCCCTCAATTCTATGATTCTATCGGCTATGGCGGTTATGCTGGTTATGGATATGGAGGCTATTCCCCAGTTGGTTATGGTGGATACTACGGAGGCTACTACTAATGAGGCTGTTTTTTGATCTTGTGTACAACAGGGTCAGTTACATTTACAAATTTAAAAAAATATATTTTTGAAGTTTTATCGTTAACATTCTTGGGAAACTTTTTTTTGTAAAGTTTTTAGATGCCATGGTTCTAATAAATTTATGAAAAACATTAACTTGTTTCACTCATGTTACCAAATGTCCTTTTGTAACCAAATTTCAATTTTACCAGCTACACCACATATTTTGGACAGACAGACAAGCAAACGAAAACAAATGGTAAGTTAGCCCTGGCGTATTCTATCAACTGTGAAACGCCAAGAAAACATTTGAAATTTTGAAACTGCAAGATTTCAGATTTGTCATTACAACTTTGAAACCACTAAAAATATTCAAAATAAATAAATAAATTATCAGTCTTCATACAATATCAAGGCAGCATAGAATCAACGAAGACAGTATAAATCACGGCATAAACACACACGAATATCGTATTACCATATGGTCCACATGATAACACCATTAAAAGTTTAATGCTAAATGGAATTATTAACATGACCACTTCTTTGCAAGTGGAACAACAACGGTTAATCTTGAAAGTAATTTTAAGATACACTTAAGATTTGAAAGTAATCAGTTCGTTAGTTTTAGACCCGTTTTACACGTCATCAAATTATTTTGAAAATTATGTACAACTAAAATTTATGCTAGAAACTTTGCACGAAAAATATTTTATATTTGGATGGTAGAGTGCGCAAGAAAATGCGCAAACGTTGAAAATCTGACCATTTGTTTACGTTTTGAACGTGTGCGCAATTTCTTGAGCACTTTACCACCAAAATATAGAATATTTTTCTTGTAAAATTTCAAACATAAATGTTTGTAGTAATTTTCGGAATAATTCTGTAACGTGTAAAATAGCTCTTCGTTATTATTTGTACTAACACAAATGTCAACTGAGAACAACGAAAACATAATTTTTCTAGTCTACATATGATAATTTTACCAAAGACTGAGGCAGTGCCTTTTAAGTGATATATGTTTAATGCCGGTTTTAAAATATGTCCTACCTGTAATATACTAATGACCATAGCTTTCAACTGTTCTGGATCTGGTGAGTTATTTTGGGCATAAGAGATCACAATCCTTTTGTGTCCTAATTTTTGACGATGCAGTTGAGAAATGATAAACTGAGCTGCCTGCTGACTGTTAACTTTGATATTGGCTATTGGAGTTCCATCTGTTTGTACAAGTACTGTTAAACTTAAAACCTAAAATGGGAAAAACTAGTTATAATTCCAGTTTCACATATAAAAAGTACCACTGAATATTCCTTCAACAGATTCGTAAGCAATCTGCGCAATTCCTTAACACTTATAGTAGGATCCAGATTTGAAATAATCAGATCAACGGGTAAAGTGGCTTTGGTATTGTTGTCGGACTGCGTTTTACTATCATCACTATATTCTGAACTGCCACTATTCTTATGAACACGGCCTGGTAGGACTTGAAGTACCTCCTGAGGAGTTCTAGGACGGCGTGAAGATGTTCCATAATTGATGTCCATCAAAGCTGCAGCTCCAGCTATTGAACGGAGAGGAAAATCTTGACTAATATCCTGTTATATAAAAAAAAAGTGTAGTATATTAACAATGAAAGAAAATCAAAAGCTAGAAGCCGTTTATCAGAAGTGCTTCAAAATGTTATCACGAAATCCCAAAGGAACTCACGGAAGTAAACCGGAATTCGACTCCAGGGTTTCAAATTCGGCCTTAGTCATCATTTTTTTTGTTTTTAATAAAATAATTGTAAGATAAGGCAGAACTTACATAAGAGAATCTTTTGTTATCCTTGTTTGAGAAATTTTGAAGTGGATCATGAGGTAAACTCCGCGTTGAAGATAATTGATGTCCTTGAAATCCAGCATCACTTTTTACCTTTTGTCCTTTAATAAATACACATGATAATCTATAATATACAATAAAGAACAAACAACCTGCGTAATTTCGAAGTGACGGCGTAACTGCTTTAATTTTATTCCCAAAAACATCTTCTCCCTGGATTCGTTTCTGTGCCCTAGATGTGCGACAATAAATGCTTTTTTAGACAGGTATTTACACAGGAAACAGTTCATTAAGAATCAAATCACATACCTGTACTCTTTTTCATAAGGTTTAAAATGTGCCATTTTAAAAATTTAAATCAAAATTTGACTACATATAACTTTATTAATAAAATACCAGCGACATGTTGGAACTAACTGATTAACGAACTTTTTGTGACCATTTTTTATTTAAGTTTAATACTAAAAAAACTTAGTGATTTTAAATTTCCTACCAACCTGTTTGCAAAGTCTTGAGTTGAAAATCTGACATATGCTAACCCTTCTTCCTGTTGTACTTCAACCACCCGGCCACCACAATTATTGCATAAAAAATTTAATCTGTTCTTCAGGGTTGTAGCGCTGATGTTTGTTGGCAGATTTGATACAAGTAAAAACGCTGATTCGTTAGCCAGACCCTTAAAATAAAGCAACCAGTCGCTTTTAAGGACTTTTATTCGCCACGCAACTATACATTTCATGCAAAACAAGCAAACTGCAAGCACAATCACCTTTGATTTCGGCAACCCTTCCGTTATCGTGGAGTAGCAATAATGTTCATTTGCACAGAGGACTAATGCATCTGCTACATTCGCATTATGTACTAATATCACACGTATCTTCTTACGATATCTGAGATCAGAGAGATCTGCAGCAAAATTAATATCACCTGAAATTAAAACTACTGATGATGGTGCCGGATAAATCTCAGCAAAGCGCCTTAACGACTGTCTCAACTTCTCGTCCGCCGCATTTTTTGAAGTAGATGCCACATGTATTAAATTTACCTACAACCATAGTCACCTCATATCAATTTACTAATTTGATTTAATGATTTACTTGAGAATCATGCAGTTCTTGAATCACTTGTGGTCGTTCTTTCTTCACATCGCACACAACCAAAAATTCTGCCTCTCTATATTTTTCTAAAAAAAACTCCCTGATTCTTTGTACTACGGCTGAAGCGCTCTTGCTTTTGGGCACCTGGCAGTTTTCAATATCCCAAAATATACCCAACGGAGGCAGTCTGTTGGCTTTTTTGTTTTTTCGCTTAGTTTTGTAAAAATTTTGTGCGCTATTTGAACTGTCTGATTGGGACGAAACGTAGGAATTATTCACACTTTTTGAGATACGCGGCTTTGGTGGGAACTTGAATTTTGGTCTGGTACCTGTATAATCTGATAAATTTGATTTCCAGCGCGAGTCATCGCTTGAGTCTTGAGAATTTGTACCAGATGACTGCATTGTTATTCATTTAAAATATTTACAACAATAAAATTAAAACTATAACGTATGTACTTTTCTATTCACATGTTGAAAGACTTGTAACAACTATTTACACCATTTCATTTTAGTAGCAACATGATTGAAGTTAGTTACATTACACTTTGTAAGGAAATTTGTCATTAAACAATAATCCATAGTTAGAAAAGGATGCATACATACATCACTACCGTGTTAGACAAGAATAGTAAATGTATTGATTTCTTTGGATTCTAAGGTTGGCGGCATTGCTTATCTTGCCAAAGTTGTTCGAATGTGTTGAATTTTTGTTGTCAAATACGTTTGAGTTTTCTAAAAGTGGAAGTAAAAAAAACATATGCTTGAAATTAATTTACTCTTGAACTTTAGTTTTAATGCAAATGGTGTCTTTTTGGTGTTGTTGAATTATTAAATTGAAGTTAAAAAAATATTTGATGTAATGGTAGTTCGAGTTAATGACTTTGTTGACGTCAAAGTGACGTTCTTTTTGTTGTAATGTCAATTTGCTAGTTGTCAAACTTCTAAGAAAATTTCAAAAACATGGGTAATGTCGACACAAAACTGAATTTTCGCAAGGCAGTAGTACAGTTAACATCTAAATCTGAGGTAATTTCAATAGTCATAATTAAATAATCGCTGTCCAAATTTTGTCAGATAGGTGATCGATTAACTTTTTTTGCTTCTAGCCCATTGATGCAAATGACGACTCATTTTGGGAACAATTTTGGTCCGAGAACGTAACAAATGTACAGGATATATTCACGTTAGTGCCTGCTGCTGAAATACGTGCTTTAAGAGAAGATGCCCCTTCAAATTTAGCAACCTTATGTTACAAAGCTGTCGAAAAATTAGTTAAGGCTGTGGATAGTAGTTGCAGGACACAACATGAACAACAGACAGGTGAATTGATCACTAATTCCACTTTTTAGAGTATTTATAATTAATTTCAGTTCTAAATTGCGTGCGTCTATTAACAAGAATTTTACCGTACATATTTGAAGACTCAGAATGGCGAGGTTTTTTTTGGTCCTCGCTCCCAAGTCAGGGAGAGGATGAAGATGAATCAATACCTTTGGCGCAGTCTTTATTAAATGCTGTTTGTGTAAGTTAATGCATTCTTAAGTTGATAAAAATTAATAGAACATCTTTTTATAGGACTTATTGTTTTGCCCAGATTTTACAGTGGTGACAAGCCGGAAAAGTGGTCCAGTAAGTCACACAATATTTTTGTGCAAATAGAATTCTATTTCTTTATTTCATAGGATAAAGCTGAAGAATTATCAGCTATAGACAGTTGTGAATATATTTGGGAGGCAGGGGTTGGTTTTGCCCATTCTCCTCCTCGTAGTCCTGTTCTTGATTCGAATCGTACTGAATTGCTTAAACTTCTGTTAACTTGCTTTAGTGAGACTATGTATCAACCTCCAGCTGACATTTCACAGAACCCTAACAAGTGGATAGCGTAAGTTATATATTTCACAACACATTAATGGCCAGGTTTAATTGTACCTAAAAATCTACAATTGTTAATTTTAGCCACCTGACTTCATCAGAAAATCGACATGCCTTACCTATGTTTACATCCTTACTAAATACAGTCTGTGCATATGACCCAGTTGGTTTAGGGGTACCATACAACCATCTGTTATTCAATGATTCTCTTGAACCTCTGGTAGAGGCTGCTCTCCAAATTTTAATTGTAACTTTGGATCATGATACTAGCTCATCAACCCCAACAGAAGGCGAAGATGTAAGTGCAAATTCATATTTAAAAGAAAATAATAAATGTATTATAAAAATTTTAGAGCGTCATTCCGGATAATCTATTTATTAATTACCTTTCTCGGATACATCGTGATGAAGATTTTGATTTTATACTGACTGGTGTCACAAGGTTATTGAATAATCCTTTAGTACAGACATACTTACCGAATTCTACAAAAAAAGTGCACTTTCACCAGGAATTGCTAGTCTTTTTCTGGAAAATGTGCGATTATAACAAGAAATTTTTATACTTTGTTCTGAAAAGTAGTGACGTGCTGGAGGTTCTGGTGCCTATTCTGTACCATCTCAATGATTCCAGAGCTGATCAATGTGAGTTTATTGTTTAGGTTAAATTTTTTTAGTGGATAAAAATTTTTCAGTTTTTTTTGTGAAAGTGGTAAATTATTAACGCTAATAAGTGTACTTTCTTACTTACTACCCTTACTGTTGCTACATAAGATAGCTTTTTTAATTAAAAAATTAAAATATATAAAAGTCAAACTATTATATTGGTACTGATAAAACAATGAAATAATTTTTTTTTTGTGAATATTAGAATTAAGGTGCTGCATACTTCAGCGGGTTTTCATAGAGCAATAAACAACCATCAGACGTGTAAACCTGTTGTGCTAAAAATTTTCGTCTTAAATTCACCATAGAAGTGAACGAGGCCATTGTATACCAAAAATGCGGATATTTCAAATATAAATTGAATTTGAATTGAATGGATATATTGCTAATATATCAAAAGATACGTAGTTTGCTGAAACAGAACATGTTTTGGCCTGTCACATGTACTCTTTTTTTTTAAGGCGTAAAAATTCTGTTAGTAAGATTCCATGTTATCTTTTTTTATTTAACACTGTTTATCTGCGCAAATACAACTTGATCTTGTAGAATTTAAAATACTTTTTTTCATTTTTAGCGCGGGTGGGACTAATGCATATAGGAGTCTTTATACTACTTCTATTGAGCGGTGAACGTAATTTCGGCGTGCGTTTAAATAAACCATACACTGCTACAATTCCAATGGACATTCCTGTTTTCACTGGGACCCATGCGGACCTTTTGATTATTGTTTTCCATAAAATTATCACAACTGGACATCAACGCCTTCAACCACTGTTTGATTGCTTGTTAACAATTCTAGTCAACGGTAATCAACTCTTTTTTATTATTTAATAATTTTTAAATTACAATTTATAGTATCTCCATACTTAAAGACTTTGTCTATGGTCGCCAGTACGAAACTCTTACATTTATTAGAAGCGTTTAGCACCCCGTGGTTCCTCTTCTCATCTTCTACCAACCACCATCTCGTTTTCTTTCTCTTGGAAATATTCAACAACATAATACAGTATCAGTTTGATGGCAATTCAAATCTCGTCTACACCATAATTCGTAAACGCCAAGTGTTTCACAGTTTGGCCAATCTACCGAGCGATTATGGTACTATTGCAAAATCTCTGAACAAACGTTCAAGAAGTCGTATGTCGAATTCGACCAGCCACGAAAACGTAGCGGAAATAGCAATGGAAGGGTCTCATCCGGCTTTACCAGCTGAACCGGGAACTTTGAAGGCTACATTACCGGATACACCAGGAATAGGGCAAATGACTGAGAAAGAATCGGCACATCCGGCGTTCCAGCAAAGCGATCAGTTGCCTCTTACTAATGGAATGGCTACGATCAACTTGAACACCCCTACTTCAAGTAAGAGTGGGGATGAAGACACTCCTAAATCGGACGGCGAAGGAAAGAAGTTGAGTAGGAGCCCGTCGGAAGCGTCTAATTTTTCAAGACAGTCTGTGGCAACGGTAAGAATATTTCTGTTCTTAATTGTTGACTTTATCAGTGCTACTACGTTACATGTTTATAGCGAAATAGTTTACGGGTAAGTGCAACGGGAGATAAAACCTCAGGTCAGTGGACACCAACGGGTGAATGGGTGCACTCGTGGAAGTCAAAGTTACCTCTACAAACCATTATGCGTCTTTTGCAAGTTTTGGTACCTCAAGTAGAGAAAATCTGCATTGATAAGTAAGTAGCCAATTAGCTAGTGATATTTAAAACAGTCATCTGACGATGAAATATAGTTCGTAAGCTATGCATATCTATCGTTTGAGTTTTAGTTTTGCGAAAATTACTTATTATTTTTGCGTTTTTTATGTTTCTCTTCGATTCTTAGCTGCGATTTGAATGATAGACTTTTGGATTTTTATCTCTATAACTACGACGCACTGTCCGTATATTTTAATTATTCACATTTGGAATGCCTCAAAACAACAAAAATGCATAACATACAAAAAAAAAAAACAATTATTGTGAAACCCAAATATCTCATAATTGAAAATTTTTCTGAGTTGAATTAAGCTGACAATAAATATTTTTTGTGGAACGAAACATTTGCACAAGAAACCAATGAATTGACGGGGTTTTCTCGACACTGGTTGCACTCGACTCGACGGTGGCCTCTATTTAAACAGCCACGCGGTCCTTCTCGAAAAGCCTCCGTCACCGCTTCTAGACTTGTCTAGAGCACCCATTGGTGACTTCCGCTTCCAGGGTCGTCTCCGACAATTAGTCATCATCGCCGTACATGCTAGAACCCATAGGCGTCGTACCGGGGCGGCGTATGGGTTTATTTCGTAACACTACTTACATATAATTTCATTATTATTTAATTAATCATCAAAGAAACTGGAATATAGTAACAGTAATAAAACTTTATCTAAATCTTAACATTAATATGTACATATACTGCGTGAAAATAAGGTGCAGTCAGTGTGGAAATTACTTAGGAAACAAATGAAGTTATTTATACTATTAGTATGACTCGTAAAACAAGCAGGTACACAAATTTTCTTCTTTTATCTGATTTTTCAACGTTTCTTTGTGATATTTCTTAAATATCGAGTATTTTTTTAACAGTTACGTCTGTATTAACAATTTTAAATAATGTGGCAAAAATACAATAATATCAGAAATACATTTTCTGGTATGAAACCATGTGACATCTTAAAATGAGTTCGATGTTTCGCTGGCTGTCTTCAGATTAGTTGAATTTCATGTGGTTTTCTTCCGTTTCGAATTCGTCTTTTCGGAAACCCCTATTGTAATTTTCATCTCCCCTAGTTTCCTTAAAATGCCCCTTTCGAAAGTAGGCAAAAAGTTCTACTTTTTTTCTAATTTTCATTAAGTCTTTTCAACATTGACATTCAACGTGAAGATTAAGAGCAGTTTTATAGTAAGTGAATACAGTATTTATTTAATATCGAACTTGATTCGAATTAAATGTTAATGTATGGTTAACTCGTGGATCTGAAAACTAATTGATTCCATTCGGTCATGTACTTATTCAGTTAATTGCGTGATTAAGTTAATGACATGATTATAAGTGCTTCTGTAAAACGGGCATTACATAATAATATGGCTTTCAAGAACAACTTGATTTTGACAGTTTTTATTTTTATAATAATCTGTATTTTGTTATCTTCAAAGCTAGCTAGTAGCTAACAAAAAAGTATATAAACATAAATAAGGTACATTCAACAAAAACCGTCATTAAGTTATCGCTGACCGCGCAAGTTGTCTTTCCCATCGTTTGCTACTCACAACAATCTACCACAGATTCACGAGAATCTTTGCCACGGAGGCTATTTGAGTATTGTTTTTTGTATGACATTAAAAGTGTATTAAATTTTACCCTAAAAATGTACTTCAATTTATTACTAGTCATGCATGGCGGTATTTGTTCTTTGTTTGTCCATTAATAAAAACCTTAAAAAAACAAACAAAAATTATTGTATAATCCATAAAGGAAGGTTTCTTTTTCTCTCCGCATGCATTTGATTACTTGATTAGTTTCTGAGCAGCTGCTAGCTAGTTTAACGTAGTTAAAAAAAACCTGTTATTTTCACAGAGGCCTAACTGATGAGAGCGAAATTTTGAAGTTTCTGCAACATGGTACTTTGGTCGGCCTTTTACCTGTACCACATCCGATTTTGATTCGGAAGTATCAGGCTAATTCTGGGACAACCACTTGGTTTAGAACATACATGTGGGGCGTTATATACTTGAGGTGAGTTACTAATTTTTTAAACAAATGATTTAAGAAAAAAGTTGCAGAAATGTGGATCCGCCGATTTGGTATGATACTGACGTAAAATTATTCGAGATTCAGCGAATCTAAAAACGTAAAATCAAAAATTAATTTAAGATTATTTATTTATTTTTTATACATATACAAACAGCAGTATGCATCGGAAACAGTTGAAAGATTTAAGTGTAAATACTGAGTATGCTAATAGTTGTTATTTGTTATTTATTGCAGTGGATTATTTTATTCGTAACTCCTCGTAAATCTGTCATATAAATACCATTTTATTTGTGTAAATGTGCATTTAATGTTAAGACTGTCTAAAATGGCTTTTAAATGTACTTTTAATGTAGTTACCATTCCTTTATGTTGTGATTTAACTTAGCTTTAGTTTTGAAACTATACACTTTTTACTATTTAAGCTTTTCGTAACGAAGGTCTTTCGCTATTCATTTATAGATATGTTTCCTAGGAATTTATTTAAAAAAATGTATACGTTTGTTATAATGTATAACGGAGTATATAAATGAATCGAGTGTCTTTACTCGACTATTTTATGGTCACTACTATACCCTGTTTTTTTTTCCTCTAAAGAGATTGTCATTATCACGTTCAGAATTTTCCCAAACAGAAAATATCGTCTGTTGCTTCTCATAGATTAACAGTGTTTATTCTAAAAGCAAGGTAGGTACAGTATAAATACAAACTATTCTTAAATATAGGTATATATTTTATTGTTGTGAATACAATGATGTAGAGAGTATATGGACAAATAAACTGCTAATTGCATTTATTAATGTCACTGGCAAAAAACAGTTGAAGATTACTGTGACGGTAATAAATGCTTTGATAAATGCAGTTTAGCTTCTTAATGTATAACAACTTTACTTGTACATTAGATAACATGACTAGCGTAAAAATGAATAATTCACATCATCAGTTATGATATATACAGAAAGAATAGACCCACAAATTAGCAAAGATGAAATATAAACGTTAAAGAAGTTATACATTAAGTAACAAAGGAACAATGAGTAAAATTAAAATAAATAAAATCTACAAATTACAACAATATGCGTATTGAGTCGTCTTTTATCCTTTAATGACTACAGTACGTACTTTGATGGCACATAAAACTGGCCAGTATACAAAAACTTAGGTCGAGTAAAATAAGAAAAAATATAATTGTATTTGTGATGCACAAAAAGCCGTAAATATTTGTTTGATTACTCTTATCAACTAATTCCTTAATCGCGTTCTAGTAACTTCCTTGATAAGGACAATGAGATTCCTGCTCCCGATACAGAATATCAATAATTAGAAAAATATGGCAATCTATAAAAAATAACCGCAACTTGCTCTAGTATTTCGCTACAATTCAATTGAAAAGAAGTACTGATGAGTATTGAATTGTTTTCACTCTTAAGCGCAAGTTGTAAAGAATAACGCACACACAAATAGTTTCACAATGGTACAATCGACTAGTCATTTCTATGATTGAAGGTTCGAAAATAATAACAAAAATTGAGCAAATTATGAGGAAGTCAGCTCCGTTTTTTCGCGTTGCTCCGATTCGAGTAATTCTGGTGGCATATCCACGTGATATGAAATACCATAAGGACGTAGGTGGTAGATTAGATATTCTAATACATACATTTGATTTGGCGTGACGTAGTGAAAGGAAACTGCATTATCGGAACAACAATCCATACCCTAGAATAATAAATAGATTTCATATAAAAAACGAGAAAAACTCGCAAGATTATTATTAACCTAGCGTGCCATCTCTATTCAAAAACGAAACTTTTGCAACACTGCCGTGTATATTTTGGGCGCAAACAGCACTGGTGGTGGATATTTACTACGTGAACGTATAATACCTAAAATACGCATACCCTAACGTATGCTTTTAATTTAGACGGTGTCGCCAAAGAAGGTGAAAACGGGTTTTACTAGATCTTAGTTTCACTGAGAAATTTTGTAGAAACCATGAGTTGCATTCAGCTTGACCAACTAAAGGCAAAATGTTTGTTGGCTTTTAACATTTAATTGATATTTGATATACATCAGGCATCAGGGGATTAGTTTTTATCAAAACTACGTACTTAACTACATAGATTACGTTCGATTTTCTTTTTGTTGCCAAATATCAAACATAAACGAACGTTCCCAACCTACCTCTTTACTCTCATAGTAGATGTACTGCCAATACCAGAAATTCTTCTTTACATGCCCCGGAATGAGATGATGTTCGGGAACAAAAGGAAAAAAGCGTCCTCTTCCTAAAGAATCTCTGGAGTCGCCAGCTTTTACACTAACTGCTTCAAGACATTTTCCTATTTCGACGTCTTCAGCTCCAGTGTTTGATTTTGAACACTTGGTAGAGTTACCAAGACCTACTTCGATAAATTTCTTTACCGCTTCTCTGCTCAGTACATATCCAGCACCCCCGCTCATGTAACCCTGCTTAACGTAAGGCCGAAATTTACAACCAAAGTAAATAGGTTCCTTCGGGCTGTAGGGGAGTAACATATACCTTAAATTTTCTAATATCACATACCTACAAATTAAATTAAAAGTAATTACATATAAAAGGAACATTGCAACGCTTACGTGTCATCGTCTGCTTTCAAGAACCAATCAGCGTCGTTTAAATGATTTTGATAAACATACTTGAAAGCTTCTTTGGTTTTGCCCCAGAGATTGTTGCGTCCTTCACTTACAGGAAGTGCTACTGCCGGTAACGTGTCATCTAATTAATAAAAGTACTATTTTAATGAGTACCATGTGTTTAAAACTTTAAAATAAACAATTAAGAAATCTTTATGCTGCGCTAAGTTTGATTATACTTGAGCCAATCCATTAGACAAATGAGATTATGAGCGGTATGCTAGATTTTCAATAGAATAATGATCCACACCGCTCAATAATGATTTAGTGAGTCAATGAGCTTGTGGAAATGAGGAAAAATATCACAGCCCTAATAAGTGGGATTCGTCGAACCTACGTCTCCCACTTGCCGGGTAGGCTCCCTAAATCACTAAACCATCAGAGACTGTGATAATCTCTTCTCACTTCTCATGTATAGTGTGCTGCCATAAGCTAAGAAATAGTTGTAAAGTTTGGCTAAAGATATTGTGCGTTTACGAATGTGATTTCTTAAGCATTTTACACCGGATCGCTCATAACATTCAATAAATATAAGCTATTACACAGACTTAGACCATGTGCCGCATTGAATTAATTTTTATTTGTTACTCTTACAACAGGAGAGGCAAGCAGATTTACGAAACTCGTAAACATTACCGCAAGTTGAGCAGGAATTAAGCCATAACTACTATATCGTTCGTCGGACTATAATACGGTCCATGTTAATTCCATGTATTCTCGACATTTCATGAGCCCTAGAAAATGAGAAAATAGGTATCTAATTTGCGTCTTTCTGCTGTCTGTGTGGATATTCTAGATAGGTATAGTCTCCTGATGGTTGTCAATTTTTTTTGTAAACATTGTAGGAATATCGTGTAGATGGTAAAACGCTATCAAAAATTTGTCTGATCATCTCCCCCAACAATGTGATGACGTCATCTCAAAAAAATTTTGCATGATAGATGTTATTTAAACTTAATAACATCACATACTCGTCTACCATAGGCATATAACAGCAGTTTACAATTTAACTTTTAACTGCAAAACCGAATGATTTAATCTTCTTTAATCGTCAGCCTAGTAAATCGTTAATTAAAATCTTGTTGAATAAATTATAGGTAGAGTTTGGTGCAAAACGGAAAAGGACCATCGCGTGGTTTACTTATAGTGTCAATTTATTTCGGTCGGACGGGGAGAACGTCTTTGAAGTGGCGTGTACCCAAACCCAAATTATATTATTTGTACACATTTAATAAATAATGGTTATATTTTTAAGAATGTGATTATGTAATTTAGAGTTTCTTTAATCTTTAAAGTTCACAATGATTTTTGAAAGTACACAATATTTACTCTAACTACGTAACTTTCTTAAGCTACAATCGTTACGCCACTGTGGTCTAAAAGCCATGCATCATAAACCCCGCCCCTCGTCTCTTTCGTTCTGCTTTGACTTTATCTAAAAAGTGCAAAATATTATGAGTCTGTACTAGTGGTTTATCAATGCATTCGGCAAAATTAGCTTTTATCATTTTTTTTTCGATGAAGCTCAATTTGTTGAACTGTACGCAAGGTGCGAGGGAAGTTCTTTTTTGTAATATTTTTTTAACCACGTGTAGAAGTTTAGCATGATGATTTCAGGAGTGGATAAAATTTCTTTATTCACTGTGTGTGCCACAGATTTTGTTTTCTTTTACAAAAATTTCTTGGGTTATTCCGTTTAGGCCATAAGTAAAAAAAATGGTTGCCCCTGAAGTACAATAAAACATATCCAGTTTTTTCGAAAAATTAGAAAATTTCATTTTGCGAATTTTATTTTTTTTAAGAACCCATAGAAGTTAAAATAAAGGTATGTATGTAATGTGAAAGTAAATGTAACGAAGCGCGCTGCGTGATGTTTCAAATGACTTTTTCCTTTAAAAAAATTTGTGATGACGTCATCAAGTTTTTGGAGGGGATAAACAGATATGTTTTGATTACAAATTTACCGTGCTTACGATAACTTTAAAGGTTCATTCACAATGACAAAATTAGTAATTAGAATTAGTATTAGAATTAAGCTCAGAAAATCTCCAAAGACATACATTCACAAGGATAAAATTAATAAACTAATTTTTGTAACGCCCTCTATGATACAAATATCGCAGCACGCAGATTCTCTATCGCATTCTGTATTTTTGGATGTTGGCTTTACTTACCCACCATCTTCGTTGTTTTTTGCGTATAGTAAGTAATTAATCTGACAACACTGCCACAGCAAGTCGTAATGTTTTGCGTCTTGAAACCATTATTGACAATTGACTCTTTCCCGAGTTTTTTCAATTTTATTGTAGGTTAGGACACTGTAGTTAACATTCGTGCGCAGGCGCAAAAATAAAATTAATACAGAAATTAACGCAAAAGTTTGGAGCTTGCAAGCTTCTGCGTTAATTGCTAAGAGTAATTACTAATTTATGTCATTGTGAATGTTTGTATGATATTTCACCTTGCAAGGTTTTGAGCTTAATTCTAATGCTAATTCTAATTACTCATTTTGTCATTGTGAATGAACCTTAAAACGTCTCCATCACTAAGTTGAATTGACTCATTCATTAATTTTTTTGAGTCGTAAGTAATTCTAAAAAATATGAATGAAATGATAAATAAGAAGTTTAGACTCATCATCATGTTTTGCACGTTTTCAATAGATGTATTCAGCAAAATTTTGAAATGACGTCATCAATAAACAAATACTCCTACATTTTGGTTAAAAATTTACCATGTTTATGATACTGAACACGTATTTCGAGTTTTTGTTAACAGAAATAGCAAAGTCTGTTTGTTGGGTGCTGAGTGTGGCTGTTATTTGTTGGTTTTTGTGTTTATTGGACCTAGCTCCTGGCCAATGGTGTCGCGTTTGTTACGATAGTATTTAATAAATTAAAAATTAAGTGAACTTTGACCGAAAATGCCAGTGAGCTGTGCTGTATGGTAGTATGGTAATTCGAAACAAAAAAGTAGTGGTCAAAAAGGTATTTCATTTCATCGGCAACACCTTACTATTCCAAATAAACTTGTTAAGATCGTGTTTTTATAACTTTGAAATTGTTGAGATTTTAAATTTGGCGCGATCAAGTTTTAGGCCACATAGCCGGTCTATACATATTTAAAGTCTCTGATGACGACTAGTCGTAATGAAAAATATTCGTAGTTCGCGTTTTGTCCGCACCATTTACACTAAATAAAATAAATTGAATTTATTAAAAAAATTATATTACTAATTATTTAAAAGAAATTATGTACCTATAATTTTCAATGCCTTTTTCAATTTTCATTATACGCGAACTAAATGACCGTTGGGGGCGCCACTGTTAACTGCAACATGGCCGCTCTAAGGCATATTTGACGTATCCTTTATGGCAAGTCTTAAGTGTCCATCGTGTGAAAAAAGTGTGTTGTGTTAATAAATCGAGCGTTTTTGTAGTGGATTTGTTCAGTTTACAGCCTGTTTCGTTGTTTGTGTCAGTTTTTTTTGTAGTTCTCATTTTATTAACCCTTTGTTTAACTTTTTAAGTGAACACATGCTAAATCATGTGGTGTTAAAACTTCTGTGAAAACTTTATTAATTATAGCGATTGTTTTTTAAATTAAGTGTTCATTTCATACTATGCATGAGTGGAATAATGCATAATAATAAAATAATAAAGCATGAATAATATTACAGGTTATTGCTGTCACCGTTTTAAACAAAACTGCTAAAACAGCATAAGAAAATGTATTTTTCAGTTTCATAAAAGTTAACAGAACACGTTCTTTCAAGTTTAATTTATGTTTATTACAGAATTTTCCAAACATCTCACAATTTGCAACAATAGCATTAAATAACAGAAAGGATGGTATTCCAGCCATTGTATTTAGATCATTATCAGATTTAAGTGTACTTATAAAAGGTGCCACTAAATCTCCACTTGTCACTTGAATATTTTTATCCTTTTTTTGTGAATTTTGTAAATGTAACAAAGCCTGCACGGTTTCCATTTCTAATGCTAGAAAATAATCTGTATTTTTTAAATATCATCAAATGTATACATACTTGAAACAGTTTTTTGATGTAACTGACTGCTGTCGAAGCAATTTACATCAGTACTATCTGTACTTGAAATTATGTAACCTTCAGATTTTCTCATTGTTGTACTTCTGACTGCTTTAAAGTCTCGATTTTTGGGCCTTCTAGGTAGTAATTCTTTAGTAATGATACTTACATCTACAATATTTCATTTATTGTCTATTATACATTAACATTTACCCAAATCTGTACTTACCAGGTAATATTTTTATTTATTTTATCCTATGATGTCTCTAACAAGCTGGAGGCCCAATTACAGGAAACATGACATACACAACACCCAAAAGGCAAGGCGGGAATCGAACCCACGACCCAAGGTGTAGTGAGCAAGCACGAAGCTAACTAACCCACCTGGGTCCTCAAATCAAATCCTCAATATGAAATCATCCTGATTACAATGTAGTGAACACACTTTCATGTGCTTTGTTGCTGGTTTTCCCATATTTAGCTTTACCATCCAAGTCTTATATCTGTCCATTTTTTTCCCTGATTCCTAACCTAAAAATATAATATATATATATACATATTATACTGATAATCAAAAACAATTTAGTTAAATACTGATTAAACTAAATTTACTGTTGATATGAATACTTACCTGTTCATAACATTTAAACAAATGACTTGTTTTTTATGGGGAATTTATGAAAAGAGAGCCCACTGTTTCTATTGTTTTTGCTATGGCAGCGAAAAACACAACAATTTGTATTGTTAACAGTCATTTTTTCAGGAATACTGGGACCAACTTATTTAATTTTGTTGGTTTAACATAAAACAACGAAATTTCACTGTACAACCAACAGTATTTACATCATTCACTATGCTCCTGAGTAGTGCACATTTTTGACACCAGGTGTCGTATCAGATCATTTAGATCGCGTATAGTAATAATTCTTCTCCTCAGCGAAGCTCCAATCCAATATGTAGTATGTGCGCGTATGCTTTATATTTGTGTCATGGGCTAGCCCGGGCTTGGTGACTCGTGGTGCGTCCCCACTCCACGCCCGCCAGTGCAACAGGACCTGCGACAATGCAGTGTTCTCTATTTTTCAGACTAATCTGGGTACGGAACGCACGTGCAGATTAATTCAGGCGTCTCGGGCTAGCCCTTAGATCACTTTTATCCGAAAATAAGGAGTATAATGAGCATGTTGAACGTAAGAAAGTTTAAAGAACATAATTGCAAGGATTTGTTATCGGCTTCAAGTACTTTTTATAAAATTTGAGAAATTTATATTTTACTAATTTTAAAACCTCTAAAAAATTAGGTCGGACATTGCCCACCTTACGCACCCCGACCAACCGCCACTGGGTAGGAGTATGTTATTTTATACAAATCAAAACCCATTTACTATGTACAATTTGCATGTGACGTCATCATATTATTGATGGAGCTGATTATACAAATCGACACAGACGATGGACATACAGACAAAGGGAAACGGGAGACCCATGTTTTCGTATTCTAGGGATCATGACCCATCGACAAAATTTGAAAGTTACCAGTCACCCGATGGATTCAATTACAATACTTCCTTAGCTTACGCTCGGGAATTAAAAATCAAAGAAATGTGTCCTTAAAGTGTTCACACTTGTTACTTATACTCTGGCAAATTCACACTTTCAACGATGTTCTTTGTAACAATAATAATAATTATTATTATACAGTAAGCACATTTTGTTCAATTCTGTCTAGTCAGTGTAATAAATGCAGCCATTTAAATCTCGGTAAGTTTACTAATAATTGCACTATCGCCTTTTCTCCCCTTTTTCAACAAGTATTTGTGTACCTTTTTTTGTGAGTTGAAGTACCAAGTATTGTTTTAATTCGTATCTATCCGATGTGTATAGTTATATATGTTAAAGGCTTCAGTAGCCCTCTCAAGTCGTTTACTTAGTCAGCCACTCTAATAGGCACTGGGTGTGAGAAGTTTGTATTCCTACACATATACAGTTTCCGACAAAAAATTTCAAACATCACTTTTCTGTCATGTCAAAAATTTTAATGTAGTCTATGCTTTATTGTCATTATTTCGGACAGCTGGAATGTCAAACTTTCAAAATTCCAGCTTACGCTACAGCTACATTCATGTAAGTGTCAAATGTGAAAGTTAAAAATGACTGTCAAATATTTAGGTTAGAAACATCTAAAGGTTGCTTTACACTATCTGACGACTGAATGACATTGACGTCTGAAATTTTTTGGCGGCACTGTATCTATGACATCATACAACGCCTGCTAGAGATCTTTGCACAACAAATGTGTTGGCCTGTCCTAAAATGATTTTAAATGAATCGGGGCCAAATCAAAAGCTATTAAAATGGTTTGCATCAATTACAATAATAATATATCACAATTCAAGGATATCAAATAATTTATTTCTGCACTTCAACTGAATTTTCTGCCATCAGATATATAATTGGAACATATTGTGAATGAAGTGGCTGAACGACAAACCGTACATAAAATTTGAAATTTGATTGTGGTGTGCAACCATATGCCAAAATTTGTTATGCATGTATATTTTTAACAAATATTACTACGAGCACTATCTATCCAGACGATAATAAAGAAACAATAAAACCGTTGTGGTATGTTAACTGCTTGTTTTGCGTTTAAACTGCTATATTTTCATTTGACTTGTCTACGAGATTCTACCAAAAATACTACAAAATTTAACACTGCGTAAATTATGTTATCAATAACAAATGTTTGGGAGCTATTAGTGATTGATGAATAATAAAATTTGGCCACATCATAACACATATAATGGTGTAAGTCTGCAGCAAACTTAATTAGCCTAGCAGTTATCCATGTTAATTAAATATTCCATATTCCAAAAAAAAAAAACATTTACAACATTTCAAATAATATTAAGTGAGTTTTTTACGGACTGTGATTTTTGACAAGAAAATGGTAAACCGGGTAAAGTAGGGGATGCAATTTTGTATAGGAGTTTTAAGTTATACGGGTTTACGGGGGCGGGGAGGAATGAATACCTATATTAACCCTATCAGAGGATAAAAATGACCTAATTGTGAAATCCACACAAGCGAAGCTGCGGGCAACAGCTATTCTGGTGAATTATAAAAAAACACCGGAACTTAAAGTTAAAACAGCCTAAAGGGATTTGTTCTTTATTTCAAATTCCACGGTGGACAGTAGGCACTATTTACAAGTTCATTTAAATCATTGCAAGTAATATCTTAAATGACAGCGCGGTAATCACTTTTTCTCGCAATAGTCGTTTACCCCATGTAAATTTTTTAATGTCGATTGCCATATGGTCACTTGCCTTAACCCTTATTTATTTATGTTAAATAGTTCAACTTTGAGTACGAAGTGCACAATAATGACATGTCATTTCACTGTGTTGGCTGATCATCCCCACCAATAATTTGATGATGTCATTTCAATGAATTGTATTTTAAAATTATTTAAATCTTACACAACAATTTATTATCGTGTACGAATCAGCTTTCAGTTCAGTCAATTTTGTGAGTTATCGTTTTTTCCTGTTATTAGTAGCCATTTAAAAAGACGTATAATCATGTGAAAGCCACACGAACAGCTCGTGCTAGCGCGAATCTACTGAGGCTGCATGTAAGATGTTGTCTAGGCAAGGACAACGTTAGGTTTGTTGTTCACCGGCTGATCACGCACTTTTATTACTGCATCTGTTCGCCGATTCTAGTACACTGATTTATGTTACACATGTACGAGCAGGGCCGCCGCTAGAACTTTTGGCGCCCGAGTGCAAGTTTGAATTCAGCGCCCCTCTTCAATATAGACAAGATTTTTTTAAGTAAAAATTGTATTAAAATCAGTGGAAAATTAAAGGCCAGTCTTTAAAACGTTAAAATTAAAATTTATTTCGTATAAAATAAACAAATAAATACCTTTATCGAACACAAATCTATTTTGTTAATAACAAACATAAATACATATGTATCCATATAATATGACTGAATACAAAAAAAAAGAAACGAAAAAACCTAAAGCATACAAATAACATAATTAAATATTTTTTACTAAACCAAATGAATGTTTCTAGATTTCATACTGGGAAATTCTGCAACTATTTTTTTATGTCCAAATTGTCTAACAGTTCATGTTCAATTGCAACAATAGATAAGTTACTTAGCCTGCCTTGACTCATGGTTGATCTGAGATAATTTTTTATTATTTTCAATTTTGAAAAGGATCGCTGGCCCGATGCAACCGAGACTGGTGGTGTAAGCAAAGTTCTTAATGCTATTGATGTATCGGAAAAGTTGAGATTAAATTGTTTTCACACCAATACGTAAAATTTGTTGGGGATCTTCTAACGGTATAGCTGAAGAGTGCAGTTTTAAAGCTTTAATCTTATTAAATACGGCAATGTCGACCTCACCAAGGGAATCAACTGCAAGTTTTAAATGTAAATCTTTACAGTTTTTTAACATGTCTTCTTCTGAGGACTGAAGACAAAGTTTGGTTCAGAATTCGACAAAAAAAATTATTTTAAAATTAATTTTTGGATCTACAACTTCGTAATTCTGCTCGTGATCAAAATGTTTCGGTTTTCTTCTTGGACACACGGTTTGGATTGGCGGAAAAAATGGTTGAACATTAATTTCATAGGCAAGTTTGTCTGCTTCAGGTATAATATTAGCAAAACTTTCATTTGAACGATAGTTGGTAAAGTAACCTATTACATCTTTAAGTAAATTGATATATACTTTGATGTTGATATTAGGATTCTGCATCATTTTAGTTAAGATGTTGATTGATTCAGAATACTTATCAAATCAAATTATCGTTGAACAAATAACTACCATGAAGAAGTATCTTCGGATATTTCCAGCAAATCATCAAAGATTTTGCAAATGTGATACGTATAAATAAAATAAATTTATCGTCCAAACTACAAGTGCAAATAACAACTTTGTTGCATTTGCCAGCTCGGACACCAACTAATTTTTGGAGCAATGTTCTTTAATACCTTTCTGTGAATTACTAAAATAATTTAATTTATTGCTAACATCCCCCTTGACGTTCCGACAAACAACATCCGCAATTCTGGAAACTTATTCCTTTATGCTTTACCGATCTACAAGTTTGTTCACCATGTACTATAAAAAACAGATGTTTATTGATTTATCGATGACTGGATGACCTAAACAATATTTCTTTCTTTGCTTTCTCCCAAAGTCTCAATAAACCCTTTTTTCGAGTTGTACATTTTTTTATATTATTTTGGGAATTTTGAAAAGTGCTGCTTTGCGTGCCAATTTGCCGCCCCCCTTTGGCAGCGCCCGCGTGCGGTGCACGCCTTGCACCCCCGCTTACGGCGGCCCTGTGTACGAGTATGTTGTGTTGCATTCAAAGCGCGTCTATATACACAATTTCAATAAATACCGAAAAAAATCATTGTCAAATTCCGTGTATGCTGATACCGCTGTCAGTGATAATTTATAAAACATATTATTATACTGTTATTCCACATATTCACCCACTGCCACCCTATCGCATGCATACAGATTAACTATCAACTTCCGTTTCCTTTACCTTTCTCTGAGCTCATGAACAGCAGCTTATTGCATCTCTTTCCCCACGTCGCCTTCACATGCTTCGCCCTTTTCTCATGGTTACTAGGGCCTGTCATGATCCAACACAACACTCGTATTTTCTTGTGCATCAAGTCGGAAACGGTCGTATTTTCCATTTGATGAAATTCTTCGTCATGCTTGTGTACTCCCGGGTCAATTGATGGACCAGCGGCCGCCTCCATTTCTTGGCTGGTGTGGGGGTCTCCCAGGGCCACAAAAAGAATTTCTGGTGAAAGGATCACATAGGCGGTAATGAAACCGACTACGACGCCGGACAGTAGCGCCACAAAAAACTGCTTGTTCACGCTCGCCCTACGAAGCATTATTCTAAGACAGCAAAAATCAGGACAAAAGCTTGTGTAGTACTTATCATAAAGCGAATGGATAAGCAGACTTCACGTCGAAACTTAAAATTTACATTGTGTTTACAATACGCTGTTTTACATAAAAAACGATAAACAACCACAGCTACAGTAAAAAAAAACATTACATTTCCATATACCTGTCTACACGAGACAGTTCTCAGAAATCGTGTCATCAATATTTTTTATTTCTGTGCCATACATAATAACCCTGCTATTTAGTTCATTTTTAAAATAGCGAAGAAAACAAAATATATTATATGGTGCAAAATTTCATCGATAAATTGGATCGGATGGAAAAAATATATAAATATTAATAATAATTCAATACACACAAAAAATTGTAAAGTTATTGACACGCAGTTTCCATCGCATGCACGTCGGTAACAGTTATTATTTGAGGCTTGGGCACCTGTTAATAACATTTTCATAATTTTAGTAACTCCAAAGTAAATCTAACTTTTATATTTTAAGGAACAGAAGAAATTTTAGAACGCCATTTTAGATGTTACCAAATGTAAAAACGTAAAAAATAACCCACGAAAACAATTCCTCGACAACATCTAAATTAATTGTAACTATACAAACATGAACCACGTGACCAAAGTTCAAATAAATATAGTATTTACCATTTCTATTGAAACATCACTTGTTAGTGCAAAATAAAGTACGTGGTGTTTCAACAGAATTGGTAAAGACAATACGCTGTATTTAATTGAATTTTTTATGTGACCCGATGTAAATTTCGTATTGTATTTATTAAACAACCGCTTCAAAAAAACTTAAAAACGTAGTCCTATATATAAACATAAGCAGTCTTCATTTCCAATGAAGTTGGTGATAAAAAGTATCTGTTCACTTGAAAAAAAATATGTTTGGTTACACTTCCCTGTTTGGGTTTTTTATTCACTACGTTTGACAGCGACGAAATTAATTTTTTATTTTAAAATGGATAGATACCAAAAAATCCGAAAAACAAATTCGAACTCTATAATCCCGTCAAATGAAGATGGCAATAGGCCACCATGGACTAGAACATCTTTGTCCGAAGTCCGAAAAACACCTTACACCGAGCAATTTTCTAAAGTTGAGAGTGCGGAGGACAGATAAAAATGGCCCGGATTTTATATGAAAAAGTGCTTCTAACTTCCTAAGAAAGTTTTTTTATTTATTTTTTATCTACAATTTGTTTCTTACAGGTGGCCTTTTTTTTATTTGATTTGGCAATTAAATTGAAACCTCATTCAAAATGTATGTAGTAGTATATTACATACTTTCGAGACAAATGAAAGTTTACCGAGGGGCGAAGCCCCGATGTGAACTATTTTTCCAGAAAGGATGAAACTTTCCACTAGGTTTATATACTATTTTATTCACAATCGGTCGACAATACACGGCTTTCCAACTTTTAAAAAGTTGGAAAATGAACAAAGTTGGAAACGGTTGGAAAATGTCCACTTTCCAACCTATAAATTCCATGCAACTCGATTTTAAATCGGATTTAATTATTGTATTTCAAATTATTATTAATAAAAGCCTATTTTTACCTACTGACTTACGCGTATTATATTTTAAATTGGGACTTTTTTGTTTTATTTTCCAGTTTAGTTAAAACGATTGTGAATAAACATGTTTTATTTTCAAACGTCATATAACTGACACTTATATGACGCTCTTACCGGGGTTTAAATGTCATTTCTATGACACCGTGTTTGAGCGGCGTATAAGTACTACTTATACTCCGCCGGCGTATAAATAAAACATTTATACTCCGCCGGAGTATAAATATGTGAAAATCATAGTGGTTGTCAGCCATAGTAACCATGGTAAGTGAAATCAAGGCAACTCTTTAATGAAGCAAGAAGATAGGAAATAATCATTTCAAAAGAAGATTAATCGTTTGAAAATAAAATATTGTATTTCATTCGGAGTTTAAGTGACTTCATGTGACTCGTATGGACTTAATTCGCCTCGCTATCGCTCGGCGTTTAATCGTCCATACTCGACACATAAAGTATCACTTAAACTCCTAATAAAATAAATATCTATCCATGTCTATAAAAATGTAAGTTGAAAGATTTTGCATTTTTAATATTTACGCATTATTTTTCCATATTAGTAAAACTTTATAGTCGATTAGTGTCATGTTAGTCAACAAGACGCGAGAGTAGCTTACTCTAAGCTAAGCTATTTAAGAAAATTGTTGACCGTTATCATCACCGAATGGATGTTTCTCCTTAACCTATCATTTTTTAGGTAGCTAGGTACTACTTAATGTGACAAGCAGCAGTGAAAATGTGTCACTGTAAAAAAAAAATTAAACTTAAAACAAAACCTGCATTTTATATGTCGTATGTGCGCACAATTTAAATTTACGGATTTGTCAATCCCTACTAATTACATTGAAGCCATAATCTCCTAAAGTAAAATCACATTTTACTTTATTTCACATTTATGCCTCCGGAAATGTTAATAAGTAAAACAGATAAATGATAGGATAAAACAATTGCATAATGTTGTCACTGAATGTTACTCACAGACAACAATGAGTTAATTTGATACCACTACAAATGCTAATTAAGCTTAAACTGACAAGAAAGATTAACAACAAACTAGGTAAGTAGTGATGTAAAATTAATTAAGTTAGTTACTTGTATACAAATCATGTATGTACTTATGTATATCTTGTAAGCTTGTGTTTGTATGTATGTAGCACTATACACGACCCTTACAGTACCATATTAGTTCAATTAATTACAAAATAAAAAATATACGGCCTTATTCAGTGCTTGACGACGACCAAGCTTTGCCCGAGGGTTTGTAATTTATACCTTTACAACTTACGGGTTTGAACTCTTTCCCCTAACTTATAAAATTTGTTTACAATAATACTCCTATATGGTTTACACTTACAATGCTAAAATTATGGTATTTTGTTAAGTATTGTATTTAAATATTTTTTAATGTGTTGTTTAAAAAAAATACGAAATTCGCCATGCAAGTCAACATATTTATCAAATTATCACTGAAATGTATACAATTAACTGAAGAAGATGCAGTTCAATTTAGTTCCTCTTTTGGATTCCTTGATTTAACTTTAAGTATCTGAAATACCGATACCTCATGTAAAATTTAATAACACACAAACTTAAAATCAACCAATTGTACACAAAGTAATATTACCAGTAATTATATGAAATAAATCACGAAGCATAAATTAACTATGCGTCAGTAATAATTGCTGATAAGGTACTATAAAAGGTCAAAGAAAAAAATACCATTTGTGGAGCCCCAATCGCATAAAGCCCATCGCGGACTTTCACCACCGAAAAGGGGTAGAATTTATCATTTTCTTCCGTAGTAGTATGCCATAGTTTACACCAAGTGACCTATTTTACACAGAGTTTTTTTTCATAACTTTTCGAACTGCATATTTTATACTGTTTGATTCATTGCTAGTTTATTTATTTCATAGATAACACATACACAAAATTTCTTGTCTACATTACTGCGTTGAATGACATGTGTCAACTCTGTCATTACAATTAAAAGTTCAACTACATGATGACCAACCAAACAATAAAAAAGCGGCAAACACAAAAAAGATCAACAAGGATAGGTAACCATTATTAAAAAAAAAACTGTTATGCTCCGTATTATGTTACAATGACAAATTAAAATCTTAATTTAAACAGTGTATAAATTGATCATTTTTCTTTCTTCTTGGTCTATTGCTCTTGGTACATCTAAAAAGACAACACATACAGAAAATATTACGTAATATATTTAAGAATTGCACAACCACAATAAATATAACTTAACATTAATAATATACAATGAGCAAAATTAACACTGCAACTCTCAAAACTATCAGAATATGAATAATAAAAATATCTTACATTATATTTACACATAGTTGTATAAAAAAGATGCAATTCTCCGTCATGGTAATAACATCTACACATAATTACTTTAAAACACTGCCGTATGAACAGCAACTGATTGTATCCAGACAATTCTGTATGAAAAGCTTAATTACGTGTTCACTAATTCATATATGAAATTATAAAATTGAAATAAATGTTGTAAGTTAATCCTTGCTAAATAGCAAGTACTACTCACACTATTACATTATCAATTACAGCTAAACATGTTGCACTATGTAAAAATTGTACAAGTCTTTACAGAGAGGATATTTGCAAGGCAATTTTGTTTGCAGTTAGTGGCCTGAGTACCTCCCCGTTAATTTCACATATCATGTTAGATGGATATTATGTTATAAATGGTAAATGATATGTGAGTAATTTGAACATACAAAAGAACTTAAAAACTAATAAATTATACTATCTACGTATGTTGAAACCTTTTGTCCCATCTGGTCCTCGTGGCAATCGTATCACATTATCCAAGTCCGCAGAGCGAGCTTTACTGGGAACTATACTTATTCTAGAAAAGCAAAAATCATAAGTAACGTTTAATCTCAAAATCGTCACTATATATTACCTTTCTTCTTCAGTTTTTTCTGTCTCTCCTAAAATTCGTAATCGAGCTTCAGCATATTCCTGCTTCCTTTGTTGAAGGGTTTTCTTGGGCTGAAATACTTTTGAGTCATTGGTGTTCTGTGTTTCTTTTGTAGGGCGTTTAAGTATTTTAACGGTGGGTTCTGGAGGCACGTACTGAGATCTTAAGGCATCGTCTCCGGTTAAGAGAATTTTTATTGGCATTGAATTTATTCCATTGCTATAAGTTAAAAAATAATAGTACTGTAGTGTTAGGTGCCAATTCAAATTACCTTTTGGTCTCCAGAGACTTGCTCGGCGGGATAATTGACTTAAACTTCTTTTCTAATACCTAAAATCAGTCCACTTTAGTGGGGATAACCTCAATTAGAACTATTGTCAACAAAAACTACAGACTCATTTTGAACCTATTACTACTATTTGTTAAGTAACTGTGTTAAAATAAGAAGAAGTAATTACATCAGTCTCCTCGATTTCTTCCCAACTTTCTAATACTTCTACTTCTTGTTGCTTGGAAGCCATGTTTTGTCATTTGTTAGTTTTTTCTTGTTGCCGAAATTGGTACAAATGAAAAATTTGGCTCAAACTTAAAATTTCCCTAAACTTTGCACTAAAAACGTTTAAATTTTAGTTTATTTTAAAGATAAATTTTACAAATCTCACACAAATACTTATTTCTTAAATAATAAATCTATAAAATGAAACAAATTAATTGATTCAGCTGTTGCTGCAATTCCTCTGTCGGTTTCTTTTTCGGCGACGTTTCGCTTTTGACTATGTAATCCATTAATTAAAACTTTTTGTGATTCATTCTCTAAGCTAATTTGTATCATTTGCTTGTCCATAATGGGCACAACTAAATTAAACTTAGTAATTTTCTTATTGATCTGATCAGTCAATTTCTCATATTTACAAACAATATTACACCATTCTACGTTTTCATCTGAATTCAAAGGGTAAGATCCTAAATGGGACCTTTCCAATGCAATACCCTTCCGCAATTCTTGTATTTCTTCTCTAATTTCCTTTTGTAAAGTAATCCACTCAGGAGTAAACCCATTGTCAATTAAAACTTCATTTAATTTATGAGTAACAAAGTCTACATATGGATTTCTATTTTGGTGATTCGGAAGAGGTTTTCCTGAGCCAGACAAATTACTAAATTCACCTTTAGACATAGATTCTTGAATTAAATCCTCTACAAGGCGGTCCAAACCATATTTAGTTTTAATATTGTGTTTTACAGGTTGTTTTGCTAGAACAGCTCCTTCTTCCGCAGAAATTTTTGATATACGATGTTTTAAAACATTTTCAGCCGCTTGAATTGCACGCACCTTCGTATACTGCTTCTGGCGTTGAAATGGAGTCCCCATTCCAATACCATCATAACTTAAATATTGTCTGTGTTGTGGCGCTGTATGCTAAAATATTTTGTTACCTACATATAACATGTATAAAACATATTTCTATTACCTTGATGTCCTGTTCTCTGACAGTATCATGTTCTACGTCCCATCGTTCCGTGGATTTTTTATTAAGCAAAATTTTAAAGGCTTTATCAATCTGAAACAAAAATATTATTTGTTTGGCCGTATTTAATGCGAAAATATTGACTTCTGAAAATTTATCCGCGTCAGCCTCTGCTGTTCCGCTGTCAGGGTGATATTTTTTAACTAATTTCAAATAAGCTCGTCGAATCTCCTCTTGATCACTATCTTCGGGAATTCCCAAAATTCTATAACATCTCTGCAATAAAACAGTAAAAATATACATTTTTCCCACAAACAGAATGATTACCTTGTACTCCATCATTTTCGCAAAACTGGTATAATTAAGGCATTTCGTCGAAATGGGTAATCGTATTGGTTTTTCAATTTTTTTGCATAATAATGCGCTCAAAGAAGCCATTCTTCTGCATAATACTATGTACTTTGTAAAGAAAAAATCATAAAAAATAAATTTGAAGTATTTTTAACAATTTGAAAAATACGCCGAATGTCTTCCAATAGATGACATCAGCAGTCCTGAAAATCCCGTAACGCGCTGTCTGTAAAAAACTCATTTTCATTAAATTAAATTTCAAATGGTATATAATTGGTCATATCGAGCTATTTTATTGTTAAACTAGCCCATCAGTTGCTCTTAATGCTATCATTTGACAACGTAATCGCATACAAAGTCAGTTAACTGTAAAATTTTTGGGAGCACTGACGTCAACAACGTAGAACTGTCAAAATGGCGGAGAAGAAGAAAGGAAAGAAACGCAAAGAGGTAAATTTGAGTAGTTTTAGTGCTAAATACCGTGAACCGTTTAAAATCATTAATTTAGAACGTGTAACGTGAATAATTCGTTCAATTAGTGGATGGACAAAATTTATCTAAATGTGTTACTTTGACCCAGGGGACTGCTGACAAGTTTTCTTGAGTAATTAGGTGACGTTGCTTTATTTCTCCTTTTCGTTTTGTTGTATTTGTATATTTTACTAAAATATCAAGAGTGAGGTAGACGCAGTTCCCCTGTGATTGTTACGACACGAAAGTAAATTTTTCAGATTTGGTCAACAGCTGTATTGTCGGTGATTTAAAGAACAAAATACGCACCTGGTTGTGGCGGGGTTATAGCCGGTGATTTTATTTCGTATTATGTCTAAAAAACGTTGGATCGTTTTATTTGAAACGCAATTTTTGTTCTTTACGAAATGACGTTTTGTTTTGTTTTAACTGAGTTGGCAACAGTTTGATGTGAAGTTGCACTTACATGCACTTTTATTCTTTTGTAGGAGTACCAGTCTACAGATTCTGTGGATAAACCATCAAAAGAGGAATTCGTGATAGCTAAATGGATGCGAAATAACGTACCAATTAAAAAGACCAAATTTCTTAATCACAATGTGGAATATTTTACAGGTAAGAATTTAGTTGGGTACACAAGAGTACTGTAAGATCAGATTTGAGTCACATCACAAGACTAGTAGTTGGAAGCACGTGGTTTATTGATGAAGAGTTTTGCTACATGTATATATATGGGCAAATGTTATAAACTAGTTTTATTGCTGACAGAATGTTGCACTTAATAATAGTCCTAGTACTGCCTTTACATAACTACATGTATTTATTTTCGAGTATCCTACATATATTTTTTTAATATATACTGCACATGCAATGATCATTGCAAACTCAGTTTTACAGAAAAAATTAAAAAGAACAATAATTACTGACGCACTCATGAACAGTTATTTAATCTGTGAACAAACCATTACCACAAATAATGAGAGTGCAAGCCTGTGCATCGCTTGAAGGTAACTCTCTGCTGTCTGTGCTCTGGTAATGATGTAGAGTAGACGCTACAGTTGTTCTTTTTGCCATACGTTTTATAAAATGATTATTATTTGTTAAGTGTAACTTTTTTGCAATGTTAATTAAGCCAGTTTAACCTCAGAAGCATAGAGAAATAACTTATTTGAAATGAATTTTACGTAAACAAAATTAGTTTACCGTTGTAGGTCTTGCGGTTTAAAATGCATTTCTCGTAATTAATAAATGCTCCAATTGTTGTAGACATCATCTCAAAATTTATTAAATTAATATTTATTTAAAAAATATGCCCTAAAGTGCAGTGTTGTTTTTGCTGTGGTAATATGTACATAATTTTTTAAAATCGCTTATATCAAAAAAAATCATGAAATATTTTATTAGTTCAATCAAAAAAGTTTTGTTGAGGTTACACTGTTTACTATTTAATTAAAAAAAAAAAACCTGAGCAAATAACAATGACATGAACGTGAGCAGAGAGTAGCGAAGCCAGTTCCAAAAAATGTGCTAGCCAGCAAATGCCTGCACATAAACAGCGCAACACGGTATCGACCAATCTTTTCGCCTACTATATTGCATTGGGTCGATTTAGTATCGCTTGTATTTCAGTTGCAATAAACATTATACATGGGCGTCGAGTACTTAAAAATCTCGAGCGAACACTTGTTGTGTTTGCAAACTCTCGACCTTGATCAGAGTCCGAACAAACTTTTGCACGCCTATGAATTAAAACTGTCTCGCCGCTCTCTATGAGAACCTGCTCTGTTCGTCTTGCCTCCTTTTTTTTAATTATATTGTACGTATTAAAATTCGTATATTTATCCCTACCAGAAAATTACTGTTACATTGTACTCAACAAAATTTATTGATTACATGATTTCAACCGAATTGATGGTGGTGTTTCGGTGCACTTAGATTTTATTGTAAATTATAAAATAATTGAATAACTGTTAACAATAAATTGTACCAACCGCCGAAGTAACAATTGCTTTGTCTAAAAAAAATCAGCTCACTGGTTAGATGAAAGTTTAATTTTTTGTTTTATTGTTCGTTGCACTTCAACTTACCGTGTTTGTGATGCATTAATCTTAAAAACTTTGTGCAAACATTGCAGCCAAGAGAGCAGTGGACGCTCTCATGGAATCAAAATGGGCCCAGGGGGATGAACCATTCTTCAAAACTCGCGAAGACATCATTGATTATCTCCACTTAATGTTAGTACATAAATTTTATCATAGAGCTCGAAAAGTACCAGTTTCGGAATCAGAACTAAAAGGTAAAAAGAAAGAGAAAAAAATTGAACCCGAGGAAAAAGAGAAAATCAAAGAAAAAGAAAAGGTTACTGATGCTGAAAGTAGCGTCGTTGAATGGAAAGAAAAGGAACAACAGGTTTGTGTAATATTAAAAATTATAAAAAAGGTCATAATTTGTGATTTTAGCCAGAGAAAGAAAAACGTAAGAAGAAAATTAGATTAGATATGCATAATGATCAAAGATTTGTTGACGGAATGGATGCATATGTTTGGATTTATGATCCCATACCCTTCCATTACTGGATAATCGGAACTTTGTTAGTTCTTGGAGCAATAGGAGTTTGTCTCTTCCCTTTGTGGCCACCAAGCGTTCGGTAATCCACGCTGTTTAATTTTTAATTCTTTTACTAACCATTTTTTAATCATTCAGGCTAGGAGTGTATTATTTGAGTGTTGCGGCTGCTGGGTTTTTGGTAACAATTATTGTTTTGGCTGTGATTCGCCTTGTAGTTTTCTGTCTGATTTGGGTGTGCTCTATGGGTAAACATCATTTGTGGATTCTTCCAAATTTAACTGAAGACGTTGGCTTCTTTGCTTCATTTTGGCCATTGTATAATGTAAGTTGTACAAATTTTATTTGGCGACATCTCACACAGTCTTTCAGTATGAGTATAAAGGAAAAGATAAATCCCGTTCCAAGAAAGAAAAAGTGAAGAAGAAAAAGAAAGATAAAGATTCGGACGCCGAACAAGAATCTGAAGATAAAAGTAAATTAGGTACAGAAATTATCCAACAAGTGACGAATGGTTCAGAGGATAAGTAAGTTAAACTATTAAAATAAAATACTGTAATGTGATTTATTTAAATGTTTTTAGGCATAGCGAAGGTGGCATTGGCAGCCCCGAAGGAGGAAGTCAGGTGGAGGTGTTAGGAGCTTCAGAAACGGAAAGTGAGTCAAGTCAACGATCAAGCACGGGCAAAGATTTTGAAATAGTTGATCAAGATGAATTGGAAAATTAATGTGTAATTAGTTCGTTAGTTTGCAGTCGCACATTTTCGGTCTGGTGTAGATAAGATCTGAGGTCACTTGATTCAATTGTTTTCGTTGTGGGTGATTCAAGAATTTAAATTTTGTTTGCAAGTCAAGTGGACCTACGGATTTTTGTTTAGTTTCCTATTACAAGTTTATTTTACTATAAACTATTCATTTTTATTAAGAGTTCATAGTTTGAAATTTATATGAAGTGTTTGATTTTGCATTTATTTTTCCGTTACATTGGATGACTTGGGATTAAAGATCTTTGTAACTATTTGGTGCTAATACTTAAATTGCCCATTTATTTATTATTTTTATCTGAAAATGCATTTAGACAATTTATCTTACCAAGTGTTTTCATATAGTTATTATATTGATATACAGAATAAAGATATTGTATATACTGAATTTTTTGCTCTGCCATCACAGGTCTTCCATAACTTTTCGTAGCATCTGATTGCATAAAGCAGCATAGGGATTCATTTCTACTAGCTAGAAATTTGAATTTCAAAAATTATCAGAACACATCGTGAACCTACTTGGCTTTTTGCAAACTGACTTCCCATCTGTGCAGCAGTTTCAAAATCTTCCCTTGCCAAGTCGAATCGTGAAGCTCGTCTATGTAGGATGCCACGCTGACAAAGCGCTTGAGATAAAGTCCTCTTCTGGTTATTCTGAGCGAGCTCAATCGCCTTAGTCAGGTCATCAAGTGCTTCTGAATAAGTCATGTAAAAAGGGAAAATGTGACAGTAATGCTACAACGTTTATTACCTGACGACACCGAAGACAAAAATTGTTAACGCGATTCGCCAACCACGTTGGCATTATGTAGACAAAACTACATCGTAAAGTGGAATTACAACAACGCTAATTTATAACGCGAGGGAAGGACGGATAGGATAGATTTGTTTAGATAGTGCCAAGAAGGTCGGTGAAATGCCACAACAATTTTTGTCTTTTCGGTGTTGTGGAGTAATAAACGTTACAGTGTTATCGTGCATCGAGAGTTTTTTTTTTATTATTATTATTTTAGTTCATATAATTTATACTATATCAGGATGAGCTCTGCTAAGGGCATATTGTTTTATTTCGTTTTATGACACCACGAAGGTTACATAAAAAGGTGCGAAACAGATGTTTCTAGGAACTGTGGAATTTATGGTTTCAATGAGCATTTTTCAATGTCTAGAGGAACAACGATCAAGTAAAACTCACGAAAATTAAAGTATAATGTATGACATAATGAAATTGTAATTTAAGAACTTTTGCGATATTTGGAAAAGCCAATAATGTCTATTCGTTTCGTGCTGTATTAAAAATTGCCCAATAGGTGTGATCACGTGAAAGGCGCATAGCAGTAGCGTGTGCTACTGTTCAGCCCAGTTGCTGCGTTGTCTAACCAATCGCAAAGCTCCGTTTGTTGTTCATGTAGTCCTCTGGCGTTTTATTATTGCAACTGTTTAGTGTATAAGCAATTATACACTAAACAGTATGCGGGATTTTATCTCACCGCTGCAATCCCCCAGTTGAAGAAATAAGGTGTGTTTTATGGCGAGTAGCGGGGACGCTTTGATCTGGTCCACAAGGTCGTAGTCAGTGCGTCCCTAGGAGTGTTTACAGCTAGTAAAAAAAACTACTTCTGTATTACTATATTACTTCAAATAATAATACTCGATGCCCTTTTTAATTTTTCAACCACAGGACCACAGATTTGTGATCTTGAATTGTTATATTATGTTGATATTGTCCAAAAGAAAAATATAATTTGTAATCAAACTATCGCCGCGACAGCACTGGATCTAGCGTATGAGATACAATTCGGCGCGTTGATAATTGCAATAAATACATACATTCTGCGTATTCAAATTAATTACACTTAATACTGGATCTAAATATGAGGAGCTATTAAAGTGTTTGTATTATTTAAACGTATTAAAAATGTAAAGTTAAAATAATTTTATGTTATGTGTGACGGCGTGAATACTTATACGCGTGTAGTATTTTCTTCAAATAATTCAGAAAATATGTGCTCTCGTTTTATTCATAATAATTATCTTAATTTATTTACTAAATTCATAATTTGATTAATAATAATACCTACAGATAAATAAAAAATTTTAGATTTGATTCATTGATCTGAAACTTCATTCTGCTCATAATATGTGGACATTTTCTTTAAAGAAATGTAATTATTCGTTATTGGAAGATAAGGAAATAAGTTTGATAAAATTCTATTACTTTTTACCGTGACTTGACGTGTATCAAATTCTCCATACAAGTCATAGAAGATGTAACTATGTCCTCGGTAAACGTTTAAACAAATATTAATGTTATTTCCTCTAAGAACACCTGACAGTTCAGTAAATCGGCCTTCTTAGTCATTTTTTACATTAAAACCGTGTTAAGTCAGTGACAGAAGAAATTATTTATTATAACTAATTAACTAAAACTTAAATCTTTGATAAATATCTGATATTTAGTTAAATTTAGTTTCACAATTTTTTTTTTTTTCATTTTGCTTGCTTATTAAATTTCAGTAATTTCAAAGAATCGTATAATTATTTCCAATTAAACAAATTTTAACATCTACATCACATAAATTCAACAAGCATAATGAGGGCTCTGTGATTCAGAATTCTTTGGTTAGTAGGAGGTTTAACATTTGTTGCTGTTGGCATCAGTTCGCACTTTAATTATTCAGGTCTTCCGTATAAGTACTGAATTGCATAAATATAATTTTGAGATAATTCAAAGATGCCTCCGGTATCTCGGTGTTAATACACTGTATGGACTTGTTTTGCCTTCTTGGGAGTATCAAAGCCATAAAAGCAACTTTCTAATTTATGTAAATGAACTGCATCACATTAATTTCTACTACTTTGAAAAAGCACGTCCTAATATTAATTTTTTTTCTATCAAAAACCAGATTTTCCAGAGGTACATGTTCTATTATTTTTATTCTCAAAAGATCTATCAGCAAATGAAATAATTGTTAGATTCCTTGGTAGAATACCCTAACTCTTAAATTAGAATACTCTTGACACTGTTTAGTCTTTCTATTCTTTCTTCAATTTTTGTATCTATAAAGAGAAAAACGAAGCAGGTTTTGTTTTATTCTATTTATTTACCACATTTAGTTTGAGTAAACCAACTCCGAACTGATGGTGAAGTTACCTCGTGAAGAGAAACGTACACAGCACTATGTTGCAGAGGCCAAAAATTCATTATGAAATATTAATATTACAATAATTTTTTCTGTTGATTTTTCACAATGTCATTTTGTCATACAATTTGCTCAGCAGTTTTCTATAAAATGCAAACAAATTTCATGCTGCTTTATTGAATAAACAGTAACCCTCACAGAAACACTTAAAATGGGGCAGTTATACTTACAAATAAGATTTTCCGACAATTCCAATGAAACTAGAATTCTGCTAATGGTAATTTTATAACGCCCCTATAGATTGCTTTTGTCTTTTTTACTTCCCGAGCGTAAGCAAAGGAAGTATTGTAATCGAGTCCGTCGGCCGACTCTCTACTTTTACGTTTTCTCGACCTTTCATGACCCCTAGAAGACGAAGAAATAGGTCTCCCATTTCCGTCTGTCTGTCCGTCTGTCCGTCCGTCTGTCCGTCTGTCTGTCCGTCTGCCCCCGGGTTTTTATTAGACAGATAATCTCCGAAAGTACTCGACCGATTGTTGTGAAATTTTGTACTTCTTATATTAAGAATATCATGTAGATGGTAAAACGCTAACCAAAATTTGTCTAATCATCCCCACCACTAATGCGATGACGTCACTTCAAAATTGTACATAGTAAATGGGTTTTCAATTGTATAAAATAACATAGTCCTACACATGTAGTTTACAACTCTGAATCGACTTTTCACCCGAAACGTCCAGATTTTTGGAAAAAAAATCAAAATTATAAAACAACATTTTGAAATTTAATTTTTAATCTGCTAACCAGAATGCTTTGAAATGTTGCAGATGTTTTAAGGCTATAAAGAGCATCATAAATCTTTAGTCAAAAAATATTTGCTTATCCCCTCCAAAAACTTGATGACGTCAGCTCAAAAGTTTGTGGAATAAATCATATCTAAAATGTACAAAATATGATGAGTCTGTACTTGTGATCTATCAGCCCATTCATATTTTTTGGATTTGCATATACAGGGTGACTCAAAAAATTAATGAATGCGTAAATATATTTTATTGATTTAATCAGGAACTACAAAACCGAATGCTCTGAAATCTTGCAGATGTTTTAAGGTCATAAAGAGCATAATAAATGTTTAGTCAAAATATATTTGCTTATCCCCTCCAAAAACTTGATGACGTCAGCTCGAAAGTTTGCCGAATAAATCATATCTAAAATGTACAAAATATGATGAGCCTGTACTTGTCATTTATCACTCCATTCATATTTTTTGGATTTGCATATACAGGGTGATTCAAGAAAATAAATGAAAGCGTAAATTTATTTTACTGATTTACTCAGGAACTACAAAACCGAATGCTTCGAAATCTTGAAGATATTTTAAAATTATCATAAGCATGGTAAATTTTTGATCAAAACGTATTTGGTCGTCCCCCCTAAAAAATTTATGACGTCACCACAAAATTTTGCTGAATAAATCCTATCTAAAATGTACAAAATATGGTGAGTCTCTTCTTGTGATTTATCATTCCATTCAAATTTTTTCGATTTGCATATACAGGGTGACTCAAAAAAATTAATGAATGCGTAAATTTATTTTATTGATTTAATCAGGAACTACAAAACCGAATGCTTTGAAATCTTGCAGATGTTTTAAGGTTATAGAGAGCATAATAAATTTTTAGTCAAAATATATTTGGTTATCTTCTACAAAAAACTGATGACGTCAGCTCAAAAGTTTGCCGAATAAATCGTATCTAAAATGTACAAAATATGATGAGTCTGTACTTGTGATTTATCATTCCATTCATATTTTTGGATTTGCATATGCAGGGTGACTCAAAAAAATTAATGAAGGCGTGAATTTATTTTATCGATTTAATCAGGAATTACAAAACCGAATGCTTTGAAATCTTGGGAATATTTTAAGGTTATTATAAGCATGGTAAACTTTTGTTCAAAATGTATTTGTTCATCCCTCCTAAAAAAATTGATGACGTCACCCTTAAATTTTGCTGAATAAATCCTATCTAAAATGCAAAAAATATGATGAGTTTGTACTTGTGATTTATCATTCCATTCATATTTTTTAGATTTTCTTAAGAGGTGGTTCAAAAAAATTAATGAAGTCAATTTATTTTATTGATTAAATTAAAGGCAACACTTATTATTAGTATTACACCCCAACCAACCCAATTTGGTAGACACAAAATTTGTTAAAGGAAAAACTCGGTTGAAACATAAGGGTAGCACGCTTATTTACATCGACTTTAACATTACAGATCTGCATTTGTTTTATGCGCTCACTTGGTTCCGCGAATGTGAAATAGACATGTTTATAATCAACCAATTGTGAATTTCACCGTCAAGAATTAAAATAAAACCTAATGTTTTATATAATAAGCGGAAGTCGAAACAATAAAACCGATGGTCGTTTTGTTTACAGTTTCTCTGTTTGACTCTCACGTATGCTGTTACGCCTGTCATCTTAAATTAAGAATGTTTATACATACACGATTTTCAGTTGCCTCTGATACGTATACGTGAGTAAATTGTTTCGTTATTTTATTGATTATTACAAATCAATACTCAAAACGACCCAATTCATTTTCCCGAAACTTTGAGAATATAATAATTTTATTCTTAGTATTACACTACATCTATCCCAACTGATATACGTGTCCTTGCAAAAATGTTGATGACGTCATCGCAATTTTTTTTTAAATTCCCACTACAAAAATGTAATGAGAAAAAAAAACACAATAGGCATGCAGTCGTCAAGTTTCCGACAGCGAGGGAAGTACTGTCTAAACTCTTTAGACCAATTTTTTTTGTACCGTATACGGGTAGTAAATTTTAAAATAATTTGATCAATAAACCGATAATAAAACAAGTACACCCTTTAGCATATTATCTTATTGGGTAATAAATCACAGAAATTATAAACATAAACAAAAAAGTTAAGTTAGTTTTATCGTGAGGAATACCTGTATACTGTATATGTATTTACCTGAAAATCTTTTCTGGAACTGATAGACATGGGCCCTATTGTTGTAAACGGAAGCTCGTTTGGGTGCTGTATCAACAGCTTTATTTAATAACTCGAGAGCTTCCTCAAATTTACCATTTTCAGCCATTTGCACTGCTTCAGCTTCCATTTTTTTAGTTTGTTGCACTTCTGGAGTGTTGTCTTCAACATCTTCAAACCAGGTATGACTCTTTGTTGAATAATAAAAATGTACGCACCTTCAAGTTTTTGTGCCGTGTCAGGTAAGGGTAAGTTTGGATACAGCACAGAATTTAAAACTGCAGCATCATGCTCACTTAATTCAGACATTTTCACGCTGACAAAGGAACGCAATAAAGGAAAACAAATTCAGTTAAAAACACGTTATAACAAAACTAGTTTATTTGCATTTGAAATGTACATCAAGGTTAAAAATTATAGCTTCCAAACTAATTTATTATCATCGCCAATCTTTACTTTCTCTTTGGCTACCCATTCTAAAGCCCGCGGAAAAGCTTTATGTTCGGCCTGTTTAATCCTCTCCGTTAATGTTTCTTCTGTGTCATTTAATTCAATCGGCACAGTTTCTTGCGTAATAATGTGACCTCCATCTACGGCTTCTTCTACAAAATGTACAGTACATCCGCTCACTCGGACTCCCGCGTCGAGGGCTTGTTTTTGTGCATGTGTGCCTTTGAACAGTGGAAGAAGAGCTGGATGTATATTGATGAGTTTGCCCTTCCATTTGGAAGTGAACTGTCCTGTTAAAATCCGCATGAAGCCAGCCAAACAGACAATTTCGACACCCGACCTGACCAGTTCATTGTGGAGGGCTTGATCGAAATCTTCGCGGTTGGGGTAGTCTTTGTGCCTTATGATTTTTGTTGGAATGTTGGCCCGTACTGCTCTATTCAATCCTTCAACGTTGTCTTTGTTTGAGATTACGAGGACGATTTCAGCACCGGTATCTGATGTTTGAGTGCCATCAATTAAAGCTTGCAGATTAGTTCCACTGCCAGAGATTAAAACGCCAACTCGTTTTTTTGTGGTGATTTTGGACACAAGGCTAGGAACGAATGGTTTCATTTTGGCTTCTAGTACTTTTGAAAAATTCTTCACGATGACTTGTTCTGTAAAATGAATTGTGATGTAAGAATAAGTTTAAGGCTAAGTTTGGATTTTTAGTATTTTTTACTCGAAAGAACAGAGGAGTAAGAAAGGAATCTGCTCAGTGCATTAGAATATGTAACAATAAAGGTAGTAATTTTTGCATTTTACACTTACTTAAATGACAAACAAGTATAAGGTGATGATACTCGAAAACTGTAATAATGGTAATGTTATGACATCTCTATACATTTTCGGGATAGCTCAGATTCTCTATTATACAGTTATAAATAAGTGAAAAAAAAACTTAAATAATTGTTAAAAGAATTTTGTTAGCTTCGAAAGCAGAACTAACGGTTGTGCATCCAAGGGAGAAAATAACCATAAATTAATAAAGTAATAATAAAAGCAAAATAAGAATAACAATAAATCTTATTTATATGTTTAGTATTAGTAAAATCAACATTATTATATTTTACTGAGGAGTTGCTCATTAGATTGTACGTACGTTTGATGGTAACAAATTATGTAGGTATTACCACGTAATGGATCAAAATTTAAATTGTGATTGAGATAAAGAAAGGTTCGTAACTGTAACACATGAGCTTTGAAAATGAGTGATATGCACAATTCAATTATCGTTGTGTTCAATTAAGTTATATCTGTAACTGTAATAAAGGGTTTTAGCACGTGCTGTAAAAAAATAAAATGTTAAATTTGACATAAGAAAATGCGGCATCAACAGTAGCAAGCAAGGTAGAAAATCTTTTAAGTCTTGAGAATGTCGTTTACAACAATAAATTTTACGTACGTTAATTCCAATCGTATGTCTTGCTCAAACTATAATACTGCACTTACCTCATGGTAATTTAAAAGACTACTTATAAGGCATTTTTTTACAAGCCACTCCTTTTTGATCTTTATCTTCTACAGGCTATTTTGTTTTGTAAAAGTCCCAAAACTGCAACATGACGTCACTTGAAACACTATTTTTCTTAAGTTGAAAATTGGGCTTTGGTTCTGATATACATAAATAAAGAAAAAAAAACTGAGTAGCTTTAAAATAAAAAATGTTGCCATTTTGGGATATTCTAAGTAATTAATTACTGTGTTTTTTTTTATAAGTTTATTATATCCTTCAGATCTAGAATGTGGAATAGAAGACGAAAACAAAGAACTGTCAGAAGATGAATTATTGAAAAGAAAAGAAGATTACTTGAAAATAATTTCGAAAACAGCACAAGAAAGAAAAGAAATTACAGCCAACACTATTGGCCAAAGCAATAACAAGTTGTGGCGGCAAGAAAGGTCAATAAGATTAACTTCGTCTAATTTCGGTGGTATATGTAAAATGAAAAGAACCACTCACTGTGCCAATTCAGTAAAACGATTGCTATACTCTAGTTTTTCGGGAAACCAAGCGACGCGCTGGGGAAACGACCACGAAGCTGTCGCTAAAAAAGAATTTGAAGAAATATACAATCTAAGTATTGAAGAGTGTGGACTGTTTATTGATAGTCAGTACAATTTTCTAGCAGCTTCTCCTGATGGTCTTGTTGGTGAAGAAGCAATTGTAGAGATAAAATGTCCCTCAAGTGCTTGTTTTTATACCGTAACTGAAGCTATACAACAAAGAAAAATTAAATTTGCTGAAATAAAAAACGGGAAAGTTACATTGAAACGTAATGATAATTATTATTATCAAATACAAGGTCAGTTAAGAATAACGCAAAGAAACTTTTGTTATTTTATAATATGGACTCCACGGGAATTAACCGTGGAAAAAGTATTTTGGGACGAAACCTTCTGGAAGGATAAAATGGAGCGACCTTTGATTGCGTTTTTTGATTACTGTTTTCTTCCAGAAATTATAGATCCACAGTTTCCCAAAAATGGACGAATAAAGGATCTTCGAATAGAAAGATTATAATGCTTCGCATATGGATCTAATATTACCAAAAAATCGAATAATAAAGGATCTGTGGAAATGAGAATAGTGCAATGTTTCGTATATGCATTTAATATTAATTAAAGCTTGTTATTATTATTATTATTAAATATCCATTTTTAAAAGTATAGTACGTTTTTTGTGACTTTCATCCTTTATTTGAAAGATTTTTTATGTAATAGGTGTCCTGTTTTTAGACATCACCAAAGTACGACAACGTTTGTGCAACAAATCTAATGGAGTAAAAAGTTGCTAAAATGACTTAGTCGCTTTACTTGGATTGATGTGTGGTTTTTATTTTTTTTCTCTTCTTTCCCTGAACGAATATGTGTTTGAAACAGTCAGACGTGACGCAAGTTGATTGTAAAGTCCCGCTTTGTTATGGATTTTGCATTTTTACGACCAAAGTACACCGCGTTCCACAATTTGTATAATTTAACACACAATGTATAAACTATGTTTTATTATCACTGGATGCGCGGTTCGCAACTAACTAGACAAATTCGTCGGATGATATAATTGTATGATGAAAATCTATTTTAAATTTAAATGATAGTGCTGTTACCTGCAGGTTTATGAAGTTGGGCAACCACGGTACCTATTTTCGTCGCATCTTCGCACGATATTCTTTTAATTACTTCTTGTTCATGTTTCCCATCGATGATAAGAACTCCACCAATGCCACAATTGAAAGTGCGCAACAACTCGGCTTGGTTTACACCACCTAATTATCCACATTTTTTTATTTTATTAATTTATATTAAGCATACACATACCTGCTGTTGCCAACCACGGGAATATTACGGGAATATCCCACTTGGTTGCATCCAATTCCACCGCCAAATGGGCTGGTAAAATTCGGGGAATATTTTCATCTAAACCACCCCCAGTTATGTGAGCGAAAGCCTTTACTTTCCCCGTCTTAACGGCTGGTATTACATTTTTAACATAAATTTTGGTTGGTGTTAACAGTTCTTCTCCTGTTGACAAAACAGAAATGAATTATATATAATTCGCTCCACTTGATTTATAAACAAACCAAAACTTTTGCCTTCTTTGCTAAACGGAGCTTTATCGTGATAATTCACTCCTGCTAATTTCATTATTTTTCTAACTAAACTAAAACCATTACTATGGACACCTGAAGATGGAAGACCTATGACAACATCACCCGGTTGAATTGAATGAATTTGTGGCATTAACTGGTTGCGTTCTACAGCTCCAACTGCAAAGCCTGCGACGTCATATTCACCAGGTGGATACATGTCTGGCATTTCGGCAGTTTCTCCGCCTAAAAATATAGTTGTTTATGTTGATGTCTTGAAAATTATATTAGGATGAAAACTTTATTTTTGTTGTAAACCGAAATTTGTATAAATATGCATTTTCTTAGTCTTAAATGTACGAAGGATTATAAGAATAGCAAATAAATTTAAATACTAATATAGGAACCGCTCCTTTTTAATTATTAATCTAAGACACCCTAAGAAAATTCAATTCAAGTAAACCTGTCAGCAGACATGAACATTTTTTAAAAGATCAACACTTCGTCATTCACTTCAATTGTTGTTCTTAGACCAGATTAATTTAAATGTTTTAGAAAAATTTTTTACTTACCAATTAAAGAACATCCTGCTTGACGACACCCTTCCGCTACTCCACTTACAACTTCCTTCGCAACGTTAACATCTAAGTTACCACATGCAAAATAGTCCAAAAAGAAGAGAGGTTCCGCACCATGCGCCAAAACGTCATTTACGCACATAGCAACTAAATCAATGCCAATTGTATTATGAATTCCCATTTCTTGAGCAATCTAAATTAAGAAATTATATACTACTAATGAAATCTTGCTTGACAACTTACTTTTAACTTAGTACCAACCCCATCAGTACCTGAGACTAGCAAGGGATCCTTATAACCAGCCGCTTTAGTATCAAATAAACCCCCAAATCCCCCTAAGGCACCCATAACTCCAGAACGGTTTGTCGATTTTGCGGCAGGTTTTATATGAGATACTAAATCATTCCCCGCTGTAATGTCAACACCGCTGGCTTTATACGTTAGTTTTCCTGTGTGCAAAATAGCTCTGAAAATCATCAATCATAGTCAATTTATTCTTCTGCAGTAAAATGTGTATACAAAGTTATTACGGCCTTAATAATTCATACTTTCTATTCTACATTTGATACAATATAAGTATATATAGCAATAAGTCAAAAATAACAATATATTCTCAAAAGGTTTCATATTATAAGTTAAAAATTCATCAAATGCATAGATTTTTTTAACGAAAATTATAACATCTCTATTGGCAATTTTTTTATCTAGAATATTTCAACAATCTAATGGAAGATTACTCGTTTTAGTAACTCACTAAAAAATGCTAATACATTCTGATAATTAAGTCTATCTAATAAGAGTGGAGCTGTAACGCAGTATAGGACGAGCAGAGAACTCTATGTTTTTTATAACAATGAACGTTTCATATAAAAAATGAAAAATGAGTGTTCCATGTGATTTTTTATTTTAGTCATATTCACATAAAGTAAATATATACCACGTGTTTCTTTTATGTGACACAACCCCTGTAATTTTTTTTATTTTTAAAGATAAACATGGAATTCTTTGAGCAAATTTGTATCATTTTAAAAGATCACTTATGAGAATAAATGGCATGAGTGTCAATTTTTCAAGCTACTAAACGGTAACTTCACACGAAATGAGCCTGAGTGAATAAAAAATTAAATAAGTTGAGAATGTTGAAAATCAAAAGCTTAAAGTGTTAATCCTCCGAAATATTTGTTTCTAAAAAAAACTTGCTGATGTAAAATATTTAGTCTTTTTTAAACCATGCTAACACTTTTATTAGCTCTTCGTGCTTGGTTTGATTCAATTGTATTTTCTCCAGAACAAAGCACATGAAAATCTTAAATAATTTTATAAATACATTGAAGGATGAATTTTAATATGCCATATATAAAACACTTAAAATCGACTTACTATTGGTATTTTTAAGCGTTGGATATAAATCAGCTTTTATGTCACGCCCGTGACTACATTTTGATAAAAATTTATAGCGATGGTTTAAACCAATTCACCCGCAAGTTAAATATTGGTATACAAAATAAAAAACAGATTATCTAGCTATTATGTTCATCAAATTTCTCGAATGAAAAACCAGAAACTATAAAAAAATGTAACGGGTGTGACAAGTCCGAACGTACAAAAGTTAAAATTAAATAAAATTAACATTGATTCCAAATTGGTCTCGATGGTGAGTGCAATGTATATGAAATTAAAAAAATATGTATGCGGGATGTTACTGAAATGCACGTATAAAAAATTAGGAGTGACCTGTAAACTCTAAGGATTGAAACAAACCTTGGTTTTCTAATCAAAATTATACAAAGGAAAATGGACCTCTATCTTTGCCTCTTGAACACCGTTTACATATACGGAATTTCCATTCTTAGCAGTTACCACAAAGTAACAAAAAGGAGTAAATAAAATACCTCAATAATGTCTACATCGCTTCTGCAAACTTCTTCATAGGATCTTAGTTCCAATTGATAGTACTCAAAATTTGAAATACATGGATCAAGAGAGAAAAGACAAACTCTTTGTTTTTACATGTGTGTGAATAATAAATAACCCAAAAAGTACTCGTTCTCAGGTCAAAAATGTTAAAATATTAAAACGTTAATAAAATTGTTCTTATTGTGATATAATTTTATTTTATTATGCCAGTTTTACTATAATTTTTAATACTCAAGGTATGTAAGTCACACCCGTTGCAAATTTACGTCACACCCGTGACACCATTTAAAATGATGCACTGTAAAATTGCATGGGTTACCAAGTCTTCGTGTGTTTGTGTATTGTAGGAACAGCAAAAGTTCGCAGAAATAGTAAAATTTGTCTTTAAACCATTATACTCAATTTTCTACGAATCACACCCGTGACGCCACATATTGTTTTCTCTGTCTCTTACCCATTATTGTATCTTGTCAATGTTTTTATAAATAATTTTTGGCACTGTAATCTACATGCTACCGATGGTATTTGTTCTAAAATATCTCTGGTTTACAACAAAAAGTAAAAAATGTCCTCATTCTGTCACACCCGTGCACGGCCCGTGACATATGGATTTACTGTAAACTGTCATCAATAAATATGAATTTTTCGTCTATTTTATTAAATAACTTTATAACTATTGATCTTAGAATATTGGTTGCTTTTGAGTTTTTACAAAAAAATCAATCTTTCCATTTATGAAAAATATACCTAGTATTCCATAAAAAAAATAAAGTTGACGTCATTTCCGGTTCTACCGGAAGTGATAATAAAAATGGAAAGTTGCCATCATAGATCTTTTAAAATGATACAAATTTGCTCAAACAACTACAGGTTTATCTTTAAGAATAAAAAAGTTAGAGGTTGTATCAAATCAAAAGAAACAATTAAAATAATTGTAGTGCGGCGATCTTTTCTATAGAACCACTCCCTAGTGTAAATTTTCAAAATTTGTTTGGTGTAAGTGACCTTGACGGGTTTCTGGGAGAAAACATGTGTCAAAAATTTGACAGGTTAGATGGCCCCATTGTTAATGTAGATATTTTATTTTAATAAATACATGAACAGAACATACAGTCTGCACGGGATACAGTGCGGCATAGCTGAGGGCAACCGAAACATTCGTGTTGTGCTAGTTTCGATTGCCATTTCAACTACCGCTACCAACCGCGTTTGGCGTAAAGTACTAGATGACAGGGCTACCAACTTGACTTTTTATCGAGTGGTTCCGTAGAAATGACCGCTACTGTACATACCTAGCAATTCCTTTATGAGCAATGTCATGTCTAAACTGTTTTCCATCAAAATTTATTGTTTCACAGGCTTTTGTTGCTTGTGCCGCTGCTAATGTTAACTGAGGTGCCAAAGAAACAGCAATCAAAACCCTTCCACCGTTAGTAACCAAATTGTTGTCTTTTAAAGCAGTACCACAGTGAAATACTACATGCTTAGCTCTCACATTGACTTCTTCAATTCCTGTGATAACCTGACCTTTACTGGACGTTTCTGGATACCCTCTCGAAGCCATCACAACACCCACAGCAGTAAGATTATTTTTCCAAAACAAGTCAATCTTATTTAAACTTCCAGAACAACAAGTTTCCATGATCTCAAACAAATCTGACTCCAATAAAGGAAGAAGTACTTCAGTTTCTGGGTCGCCAAAACGGCAATTAAATTCAAGAACTTTTGGACCTGATGGAGTTAACATCAACCCTGCATATAATACACCTTTAACAAAATAATTAGTACAAAAATAAAAGTTACGGTTAAAATAACGAACCAACAAATTTAATGTTATCTTTTTTAAATCCTTCAACAGTTTGTTGTAAAACATTCTTCTCTACAAAATTGTACTGGTCTGAGTCAAGAAGAGGACAAGGGCAGTAAGCTCCCATTCCCCCAGTATTGGGGCCTTGATCATTGTCGAAAATACGTTTATGGTCTTGAGCTGGCAACATGGCTTTAACAACATTCCCATCACAAAATGCGAGAACAGACACTTCTTCACCCTCTAATAGTTCTTCAATGACAACAGTTTCACCTGCTGCTCCAAATTTTTGTTCTGTTAAAATGTCATCTACAGCTTCACATGCTTTTTCCTTATTTTCTGCAACGACCACTCCTTTGCCTGCTGCTAATCCACTAGCTTTAACAACCAATGCTGGAAAATCAGCACTAAAACAGTTTTTATTAATTAATTAATTACCAACAACTTCCCTAAAACATACTTATTAATAAATTTTTTCGCCTCCGTAGCGTTTTTAAAAGCTTTCCATTTAGCTGTAGGAATGTTATGCTTGTCCATAAAAGCCTTAGCCCAGTTTTTATCAGATTCAATTCGAGCTGCATTTTTTGAGGGACCAAAAACGGGAATACCATCAGCAAGTAAAACATCTGCTATACCGTTCGCCAACGGATCTTCAGGTCCAACAATCACCAACGAAACGTCGTTTTGCTTACAGAATTTAGATACTTCCTGAAATAAATCGTTTTTGTTTATTTACATTGATGCGCTTCATAACCTCACCTTGAAATTCTTGACATCAACAGCCACGTTTTTGGTTTTTGCAACCTGTTGAATGGCGTGGCTACCGGGTGCAGCGAAAATACTTTTTATGTGGGGGCTTTTCGCAATTTTCCAAGTGATAGCGTGCTCACGACCACCACTTCCGATAATGAGCACGTTTTTGGACATTTTTGTAGATGCACCCTTTTGCCACTGAAATATACGTTTAAGTGATGTAAAATGCGTCAGTAATGGCTATAATAAATGACTAAATTTAAAGAAATTATTACAAAATAGCTCGTGATTATTTCTTAATTAAAGACCAATGGCAAAGTTGTCTGTGATAACCCCAAAGATAAGAGAGTACCCCCTAGGATGGTTTTCTAGTTAATTGTTGTTGACACATTCGATTAGTAGAGGTGAAGGTCGAAACAAATAGCGACATGTTGCAACTACCCAGATTTAAAGCCGTCTGTAAGAAAGATGAAAAATAACTGTATTTCGTAATTTAATCACGTTTTCGATTTGAGTAAAGTGAACAACATCTTTGTTGGCAATAAAAACGTAATTGCCTACTAATCAGTTTGATGTGAATCCTAAATTTGATGGTCACATTTTGCCCTGTTTAGACATCCAAAACTAATTAGCACAGAACCTAATTAGGTGAGCGGCTACGCCAAAGCCATTCAACAGCTAATAAGTCTAAATAATAATCACGGATAATAACTAATTAAATTCCTTTATTCTACTGAAGTACAGTCCAACAAATCCCACTTCTTGATTTGCAATTTTTGTTTTGTATGTATGTAATAACTAATGTATCCTCAGTAACATAATTAACTTCAAGTGTTTATGTTTATACTTCGAAAGAATTCGACTTTTGGTACATTCAATTAAAAAGCATCAGCGGTCGCAAGCATTTGTATTAAAAAAAAATGAAATTTAATTGACCCTGTCTGCTTAAAAGACAGGAGAGGACTGATTAATTAATTAAGCCACAAGGGAGCAAAACGGCCAGAATATTATTTTGGATGAGGAGCCGTTATTGTGATAATTATTGTTGTAATGGTATCAAATATAGGCGGGTGCGACATTACTGTATCTTACATTTTCAAGAAAATCAGGTGAACTGTTCCTGATTTAGTTAAAAAAAAAGTTGGTCGAAAGCTATTTCGACAAAACTTCCCTCGCTGTGGGAAACGTGACGACTGCATGCCCATTATGTTTTATTTTCGCATTACATTTTTGTACCGGGACATTTTAAAATAAATTGAATTAATGGTTTCAATTTTGTCATTATTTGGTATTGACATCTTTGTAATTTTTTTTCTGTGATTGCAATGATTGCGTATAAAAAAAATTAAATTGCACGTAGTCATCTCTGGGGTGTATAATTTGTTGCCTATGCAAACATTGTCAGGTGTGAACAGATAAAGTGAACAGATAAAATGAACACCTGTATAGTACTTGTAATTTAAGACAAATAGCCATAACACTTATCAACCTGTAGACGTGACGGTGAAATACAAACGAAACATGGTTTCTACGAATTGTAATAACCGGATGACAATGTGACGGTCCAGACTTTTTTATTGCTCTGACTTCCATTTATTGAATAAAACACTACATTTTATTTGGTTTTTGGATGCTGTAATTCACATTTGGTTAATTATAAATTGTCTATATCTAGGGAAGCATCCCTTAGCCTCCCCTAGCTACGGCCTTTGACCAATGGACTCCATTACTGTACGTCCTTAGATTATCCTCGATAGGAAAAACAACTTGAAAGTGTTTATGTTTATACATCGGAAGAATGTCACGTAGAAATTAGTTTGATTTGAATACGTTCGACCTCTCAAAACAGAGGAACAAAACAATTAACTAGTAAGCTACAATCGACAAAATGTTCTGAATATCATTATTATAATTCTTATTAAATAAAGACGTTTGTATTTTCACATTTTCGAGAAAATGGGATGACTCGTTCTTAATTTGATCAATAAAAAATATTAATGCTATGAGGAATCATACGTAAAAACTAAAAACTCATATTTTGAACAGTTTGGGTAGAATTTATTCCGGAAAATTTTGAAATAACGTCATCAATTTTTTGGGGGAAATAAACAGATTTATTTGGATTAACAGTTTACCATGCTTACAATGACTTCAAAATGTCTGCAAGATTTCAAAGTCTTCGATCACCAGCACCGAGGAGAAACACACAACAAAGATCATCTCAACAAAATGTGCAAGAAAACTAAAAACAGCCAGTATTTTGAGGGATGTGCTGGCTGGTGTGAATAAGGCCCCCAAGGAAGTGAAGATAGAAAGTTTCATCAGAGGCAGTAGTCCAGTTATACCGGGGAAGATTAATGGAACTCCCACAGCAATCACGATTGATACTGGCGCTGAGGTATTAATTATACGTGGACGACTAGTGAGAGCTAAAGACCTAGCGACTTCATCCGAAACAATCAGATTGAAGACGCTGTCGTGGCTGGCATCGAAGATGACTTCATTCTGGGAATGGATTTGATTAACCGCCATGGATTGACGGTCTTGGTAATGATGAGTTTGCCCTGAATCAACGCAGTACCGAATCCAAGCCTGTAAGATTGATCGCGTGCCAGAATGTGAAAGTTAGAGGGAATGAAGAAACGATTGTTCCAATCAGAGCAGAATTCAAACCCGGATTTGCCCTAGGCATTATTGAACCACCGCACACCCCCAAAGAAGAATCTCATGATTGCGAGTGCTTTAATTAATGCCGATTGTGACATACCTACACGCGTCGCAAATGTTTTCCCCAAAACCATGAACATCGAGAGTGAGGAGGTTCTTGCCGTCTGTGAACCAGTCACGAATTTAATTCATCACAACGAAGATCTTTCTGGTAACAGTGATGCAGGAATAAAAAGAAACTTAGACATTCCTGGCCTAGAGCATGGTCATCTAACCGAACATCAGCGGAAAGTAGCAAGGGGGTTTCTACAGAAACACAGTGAAATGTTTACATCCGAACAGTCCTCTGGGCGCACAAACATAGTGCTACATCGGAGACGCGTAATCGATCCGTCAAGCTCCACGAAGACTACCTTTGGCGAAACAAGAGGAAACCGAGGAACTGGTACGAAAAATGTTGGACGAGGGCGTCATAGAGGAGTCAAACAGTCCATGGTCGTCGCCCGTAGTGCTAGTCACCAAAAAAGACGGATCGACGAGATTCTGCGTAGACTACAGGAAATTAAACGATGTAACCAAGAAGGACAGTTACCCGCTTCCAGGAATTGATGACACGCTCACAACATTATCAGGATTCGCCTGGTTTTCCACGTTAGACTCAAAAAGTGGCTACTGGCAAGTTGGTATTCATCCAGAAGATAAGGAAAAGACCGCTTTTTCTGCCGGGAGCGACTCGTATCAATTTACACTTATGCCTTTTGGACTGTGTAATGCTCCGGCTACTTTTGACAGACTAATGGAGATGGGAATGGGAAAGACATTTGAGGAGCACTTGACCAACCTTGAAGTATTTAGCAAAATGAAAGAGGCAAATTTGAAGTTGAATCCGAAGTGCCTCCTCCTCGAAAGAGAAGTAGAATTTCTGGGGCATACTGTTTCGGCACATGGGATCAAGACTACGGGAACAAAGATAAATGCGATTCGCGATTGGACAAGACCAAGAGATAAACACGAAGTCCCGACTTTCTTGGGATTGTGCACTTACTACAGAAGGTTTGTCAACGGGTTTGCTGATATTGCTGCTCCTCTGCACAGACTGACGGATTTGAAGTCTCAGTTTAATTGGACTGCTGAATGTGAAGCAGCCTTTAAGAAATTGAAGAACGCACTATGCTCTAGTCATATTCTGTCCTATCCTCAATCATCGGGAATGTTTATCTTGAACACGGACTCAAGCAACATCGGAATAGGTGCTATATTGTCACAGGTGCAGGACAAGGAAGAAAAAAAATCATCGAATACTTCAGCAGTGTACTTTCGAAACCTGATTAGAATCGATCACGCAGCCCTCACATGGCTCCTTCAGATTAAGAATCCTGAAAGACAAGTGGCTAGATGGCTTGCACGACTCCATCAGTATCACTCCAAAATTCGACACAGGGCTGGTAAGCTCCATAATAATGCGGACAATTTGTCGAGAAGACCGTGTAAGAACTGCAAACACTGCGACAAGATCGAACAGCGTGAAACGTCATTCAACTGTGGGATAACAGCAGTCACCGTAGACGAAAAATGGACTACAGCCCAGCCTAGAAAAGACCAAAACGAGGACGTGGATATCGGGCCGTTGCTCAAATGGAAAGAAGATGGGGCAGAACGGCCAGTTTGGTCGGAAATATCAGACGAGTCACCCTCTTTCAAGGCGTTATGGCCTCAGTGGGACTCCCTGCGTGTCCAGAATGAATTGCTTGGGAGAGTCCGGATGGGAAACATATCACCATGCAGTTGGTTGTTCCGGCCATTAGAACAAAGAAAGTACTCCGAGAAATGCACAACGGTGGTTCTGGTGCTCATTTCGGAATCAACAAGACCCTTTTTAAAGTTAGGAAGAGATTTTACTGGGTCCGTTGCCGAGAAGACGTTGACAGCTGGTGCAAGAGATGTACGACCTGTGCGGCGGTCAAGGGACTGAGGACTAGAGCGAGACGGCCGACGCAACAATACAACGTCGGTTCGCCTTTCGAAAGAATTGCAGTGGACTTTTCCCGGTGACCGAGGACGGTAATAAGTACATAATGGTCGTCAGTGATTACTTCAGTAAATGGCCCGAAGCTTATGCCATACGGAACCAAGAAGCCACGACGGTTGCAACAACGCTGATTGACAATTGGATCAGCAGGTTTGGGGTCCCAGTGGAACTCCATTCGGACCAAGGCAGAAACTTCGAGTCAAACCTATTTCAAAGAGTGACGGAAGTACTAGGGATACGGAAGACACGGACCACACCGTTGCACCCGCAGTCAGATGGAATGGTAGAACAGTTCAATCGTACCATGGAAGAACATCTTTTGAAGGTGGTGGCCGAACATCAGAAACATTGGGATCGACATCTTCCACTGTTCCTACTGGCTTATCAATCAGCTGTCCATGACATGACGGGTCAGACACCGGCGCGGGTAGTTTTCGGAAGAGAACTTCGTCTACCTTGTGACATCTTGTTCGGCTCTCCGAATGAAGAACCAAAGGAGGTCATAGATTACGTCGATCACTTGAAGGAGAAGCTGCTGACCTTAAGAGCAACTCGGTAGGATTCCTGGCAGAGGGTTTGGTATGGCTTTATAATCCCCGAAGAAGAAAAGGGCGTTGCCCGAAGTTGTCACCAGACTGGGAAGGTCCATATACTGTCATGACAAGAATCAACGCTGTCGTTTACAGAATTCGACGAGGGCCGAAGACGAAAATGAAAATCGTCCATTTAAACCGCTTCAGGAAGTACTTACAACAGCAGCGCCGTTGACGTTTCTGATCGGGACGATCAGAACTAAAGAGGGAGCAATGTTACGAAATACACCCTTACGCCGCCCCGGTACGACGCCTATGGCCGTCGAGAACTTTCTGGTCTTTGCGGGGTCTAGAAAAAACCTAGAAGCGGCGTTCGAGATCCGTCTAGAGGAATGCGGGGATTTAAATAGAGGCCACCGTCGTTCAGCTAGTGGAGTCAAGAGCGTCCGGTGAAATTTGCAGGAATAATTTCTGTATATAATCGTTGTCGTGTATATTCGAGTTAGTAAGGAACAAATTGTTGCGTTTTAATTCACGCCGGATTTTATTCACCCGGTTAACGTAACAATACATATTATGTACTTTTTAAATTTTATACAAATCCGTTCATAACTAACAGAGATATTGGCCATGAAAATCTTAAAAGAATCAAGTTGTTTATATCCGTGCGGTATCTTTCGAATGATGGGCCAAAAGCGTCGTCAGTTTGGATAATTAAATTTTTCTTGACACTCAGTACAGCATGCTATCACATGGTTCAAACACTCCAAACAAAGCAAAGCCTTAAAAACTTTACAAAAAAGTCGTGTTTACCGTTTTGTATGCAAAAAGTACGTGAATTTATAGATATTATAGCTCACGTGGTTTAAAAAATAATGGCTTGCAAATGCGGAGAAGTGTTTATAGAGTTCCAGATATCATCAACGGTCAGCAAAGTTAGTATTGCACAAAATAAAATATCGCGTTGCCGCCACATAAAATTACATAAAAGCACGGGTGGGGTCTTGCAGAACATTTCAGTACTTTTTTTTACTACATAAGATAATTGAATACAATTTTAAGAGCTTATTTTTGAGATGAAGTCTAGAAGCTGAAAATCTGAATCTGTGAAAAAAATTATTTACGTTTTTATTCATAGTTTCTACTTGGGACTCACAGACCCACGCATGAAAAGGAGGGTTAACTATCAAACCAAACTTATTCTAGTTACCTTACCGCGTGCTTTCATTTACACCAAACATTGATTAAATACATATGTATTTAATCAATGCACCAAATAAACGAACAATGACGCATATCATCAATTCTCTACCAAGCAAGTCTGTTTCACTACCAACCCTCTTAGCAGATTACTACCCATAAATTCGCTAAAGGAGCTCAAAACTACCAGAAAGAAACCAAAGTTACACCAGGTTACACATTGCCTATGTTTAACGATTTTTTTTTTCAAATTCAAATTATTTAAATGCGATTTCGCGCCGGTGCTTTTTTTTCAGTGCGAAATTTTAATTCAAATTTTGACACCACAATATTATACTAATATAATATAATAACAAGAAAAAAAACAGGGTTTGCGTCACGACGTCGACGTTATAAATGCGTCATATTTGCAATGTGCTTAATTCCTCCTCTAAGCTAAAACTAATTGCGTAGAGTTTTATTTGGGACACCGTATAATCGATTTTTAATGTAAATCTCTCGACCTACTAAATTTACATGTGAGCTAATTAAAAAAAAAGAAAAGAGAAGAAGGTGTTAGACGAAGTTGTAGATGTGATGAGAATATCGATAGTGGAAATAGTGAAATTGACTTCGTTTTTATTAATTTGTATTTTCTGGTTTTATGCGAACATTGCATATTGCAATTTGAATAATTTAATTTTGATAGTGGTATAATTTGTGACACACACACGCACACGTTTTACTAAAATCGAATGAAGGTTCGATAATCGTAATATATATTTTAAATGTGCCGCCATAATGGCGAAAGAATGCATTGGTCAGCATTCGTGCACCACGTTGTTTTCCAACCAACCAGGATCGTCAGTTTCGCGCTTTTTGGCTTCAGTGAAAACATGTCCGACAGTTAAAGACAGTGGTTAAAGAGCAGAACATATTTTCTGCACGTTTGTTTTATTTATGTGCCATATTTTTTATAGTTATATAACCTTTACACCTATTATTTGTTCAACGTATATTTTGTTGTTTGTGTTTTTCCAAATCAAGCGAAAGTAGTGTTGAATTACCTGTTGAATTATGGAGGACCTACCAGGAACTCAAACTCAAGAAGATTATATAGAATCCTCCCAAGAACCTGAAATTGATATCATAAAACCTTGGGGCCGTTTGTGTGGTTTTTTAAAAACGTTAGCGTCAGTTGGTAAGTACATTTTCAAACTAATAGCCTTTGGTTTTTATTGTTTGGTATACATTGAGGTTCATATTTCGAGAAGTGGTACTAATAATATCAAAAAGTGGAAAGACTGAAAAATCAACTGTTTTCACATGCTTGTAGATTTAACTGAGTCGACGTTCACATTTGGCAGAGCCCCAAATTGCACGTTGCAGATCGATAAACAAAATTTCCCTCAACTTCTTAATGTTAGCAAGGTGCATTTTCAAATTGTTAAAGAAGATGACATGGTGTATTTAATCGATTTGAGTAAAAATGGCACATTTATAAATAGTGAAAAAGTAGGAAGAAATAATAGACATATTATCAGCGATGGTGATATCATTTCTATTGGGCATCCTAGCACACGAAGTAAACCTCCATTACATGTATTAACATAATGATGTGTTTTTTTTTTTGTAGTATACTATTTTAGTTCAAATATTAATATTGAAGACTACAATTATCCTGAAGAAATGAGCAAATATTTTATTTCCAAGAGGATTGGGCGCGGTGCATTTGGAGAGGTTCATTTAGCATATGACAAGGTTCTTTATTAATATAAACCGCCACAGTAGTGTTATTTTAAAATATTTTAGCAAACTTGCGAGAAATTTGCCATTAAAAGACTAAATAAAGCAAAATCGAGTGGTAATGTTGAAGGTCATATTAGTCCCCCTGAAAAAGTCAAGACTGAAATTGAAATTTTAACCAGCTTCTCACATGTGGGTGGATGTTATTTTAAAACTTCGTAAGTTTAATAAAGTTGTCTTACAGGCTTTTATTATCCAAATGAAAGAGGTTTTTGAAAGTGATAGAGAAGTTTTTTTGGTGTTAGAATATATGTCTGGTGGGGAGCTTACAAGTAGAATTCTTTCTTCAGCCCCATTTCCAGAAGGTGAAGTCAAGTTTATATTTTATCAGATTTTACAAGCTGTGAGATACCTACATCTAAATGGAGTAACACATCGCGACTTAAAAGTAATCAAAACAGTCATTGAAAAAAATGTTGCTCATGAAGATTATTCTTTTTTTCAGCCAGAAAATGTTTTATTATGTAGTGACACACCATTTCCAATGATAAAAGTTTCTGATTTTGGTCTAAGCAAAATCTTGGATGACACAAGTATGATGGAGACAGTATGTGGAACAGTTAGCTATGCTGCCCCAGAAGTCCTTAAGTCTTCCGAAAAATACAATAAAAAGATCGACATCTGGAGTTGTGGTGTCATTTTGTTTTATATGTTAAGTAGGACGCTTCCTTTCAGGTAAGTATTTATATTTACCTCAGATTGAGTTACACAAAAAAAATACAATTTTTGTAAATTAATTTAAAATTTTTAACAGTTTAATTATTTGCAAATTTAAGTAGAACAAAAAAGTCGTTATTTCATGAGTTATCAGGGAAGTTTTGTAACAGGTCCATTTTTATAAATATCAAATTTCATGTGTTGTTGAGGTTTCATTGCCTCTCTGGAAATGAAAATATAACAAAAAAAAATTGTTTCAAAAATTTAGGCATTACATGCCTTGTCCTCTAGGATGTGACATATTTTATGTATGTTAGATTTTTAATCACTCCCACACTTTGCACTACTTTATCTTTTTTAATTAAAGTATCAGCATTTACTAAATTCTATTCTTACAACCCGGTAAATTAGCAAGATTTCAAAGTAGTTTGGACGTCAATGTTATTCCACCGTTACAAAGTGTGGAACGCCTTTGGGTATTATAATCTTTTTTTTTTTTTAATTTTTGACATTGCGGGCATGTTAACACTGGATGTGACGTTACAAATCTTTTAAGCTTTAAACGTCAAAGTGACAACAATAAGGCATATATGTACTACATCAAAAATTTTCAAAATAACAGGAAAATGACGTCCAAGATTTCTTGGCCCCGACTGTATATATCAGAATAGAAAAAAAAAAAGAAACGAAATTTACTCAGTAAAATGTTGAGATGATCCCTCTCATTTTTGCTGTAACAGACAAGTTTTAATTAATGTTATATTATCTATGGGATGATCTTAAAGTACACGTAAAATTTAATGGTATTTAAACTATGGAGATTAAATGTCAAGTAAAATTGTCAACAGATGTAGACATCAGACGTATCCATAGAATCTTGAACTTCGAGAAAATATTTTTATGGAATTTCCTTCGTCAAGTTGACTGTATTTCGTACAAAATCTTCAAGATTAACTTAATTACAGTTTTAACGATATAATGAGACTTATTACAAGATACCCTATAACACTTTCCCAGGATGTTTTTTCCAAAATAGTACCCGGTTGCTTACGAATAAACTTCGCTATAAATATTATTTTTCTTTATTTTGTAGAGGACCTGACAGAGATGCTATAGCCCGAAAAATTGTTGCTGGACAAATTGGATGGGTTAGTAAAGCTTGGAAGGGTGTTTCAGTTTCTGCCAAAGATTTAATTCGAAAAATGCTTACTATAGACCCAGAGCGGCGCATATCAACGACTGGAATTTTCAGGCATGACTGGATAGAAATTGTAATGTATGCTTTGTTCAACCGAAATTTAAATAATATAGATGTTGTTTAGGATAAGAGAATGAAACACAGCGTTGAACAGTTAATGATAGGAACATTTGAAGAGTCTGATTCTGAACGCTCCAGTGGAACACTTTACCCAGAAAAAAGGCCCAGAATGAATTGACCTGATCATGAACATGTCTAAAATGTGATTTATAGTTTTTTAACGTTGTTTAAACCTTTTACAACTCTATTACCATAAAGTATTTGTTATTTTTTTGTTTATACATGTTTTTTGTGTATAGTATTTGGTAAGTACATACTTCAAGTACTTAATATGTTCATATGTTCAAATGTCACGTTTTTGTGATAATATTTTTCTATTCAATATATCGTACGTTTACGAAAGTTTTGTTTACCTACACGCCTATGGACTATTCTATCTATAGTGTATAAGTTAGCAATTACCTACCCAATTATTACCATCGCAATTGTTTATACAAAGTGAAACTGGTAAAAATTCTTGTTTCAAATATTGGTAAAGGTAATGACAACATTTTTGATAACTTCGTATACATACAGGTAACTGAACAGACATGCCGTTGATCATCATTTATTTATCCTAATTGATTAATAATATGTAATTGAAAGCATTGTAAAAGAAAAGGTCTTTTTCTGCACATTTATCTCAGAAGTGATGTTGCATTTATAGTAAGTATTGATCATAACTGGAAAAAGCCTGTAGTTTTTTGTCCTTTATCAATTTTTTCAGATAATATCAATTTTGGATAGTATATAATTTTGATACGTGCGGTGCAATATTATCAAAAACGGATTGTCCCCACAGTTTCAAAAGTTTTTGAAAAATAAAATGTCACATCAGAAAACTGCTGCCGCCTTTGTCATTGTCTACAACGCGGAATTAAAAAGAAAGAATGAAAATGGTCTGTTTGTAGGTTGTAATATTCGTCTCGAAAATTTCAATTTTATTTGTTAATTTCGTTAAAAAAGCCAATTTTTTTACAAACTGAATGTTACTCTGTATTTTTTTTTTTGGAAATAAAAGTTTTGGTTTAAATATTTTTAACAGCGTTAAATGACTTTCCCTCGCATAGATAGCAAAATTGATAAATGAAACATTGATACTGTTTATTGAAAATCATAAGCACCAATTAATCAAAAGCGATATTTATGTTTTAGTATACTTAATACCGTTCTTTGAATGGACATGTGGTACTCTTTTTTAGTGATAACAATAAACTTAATATCAAGGATATAATGCATAGTGAATTATGAAAATGCACTAATTTTCGTTAAAAAGAACAACACATTCACGGGGCTCTAAGAAAATGACTTCTAATACCTGTTATCAGTATCTGCAGTACAAGCACTATGTGGAATATATAAATGTATTATTTGTCTACGATAAAATGAAACAGCTGCTCTTATGACTTATATAGCCCAGTTAAACACAATTTAGGTAGGATGGCAGCAGCAATAACTCCTGTCCCATGCTACTTGCCTTAAAGTGTAACATCCTGTCCGATTGTGTTTTTAAACTTAAAACTTATTTTACTACAAACAATAGTTATTAGTAGAGCTGGATGGTCGAAATTTAGTAATCCCCACTAGCCGTTCGATCAAGCAAACAGTGCAGGCCGCTGTAGCCTTGCCTTAACCGCTTCTCGCTTTTCAATTGTGTATTCTTTGATAATTTACGCAAATAGTTTTATTTTCAACGAAACCGACATTTGAAAATTATTATTTCGTGGATATGGATTTCATAATTATTAACTGACGTCCAGTTAACATTTTCTCATGTTTTTCGCGAGACGTATCATTGGCTGCGACCCAGTGGTCTGCTGTGGTACGAAGCGCTTAAAATTCGACCGCCTATTCCTAGTTATTAGCTAGTTACTTCGGTAACGACGCTTGAGGCAGACGCAAAGGATTATGCATCTAATAAAACAAGACAACTATATGGAATTTATTTATTTTCAATTTTTAGAATAACATTTTACAATAAATAAAATGTGAGATAAATGATCATTTGTTACTGATTTTTAAGAAACGTTTTTTGTCCGACTTATACGATTGTACAAATAGGGTGATCACACATAAATAATTAGTTTACCACATTATTTGGAAATGACGGAAAACATTAAATCAGTCTTTTTGCCTTACTTCAAAAATTATAAGGGAAGCCCAAAGTTCTTTCAAATAGTACAAATGATTGGAAAGTTTTTATCAATAAATTTGAATAATTAGTCTTATAAATAATTTCACTCTAGCTATTTATTTACACACAAAAGTTCTAGAATCACACATTACGCACATTCACAATTTAAAAGTACATAAATAACGCGATCACGTTATTCGACGAATTTCGCACGCTCTGACTAAATAGGCATAAACTACATAGGATAATTTTTTCAATATCCTCGGTGATTTACCTCGAACTAATATTTAATACACCAATCAGGGAGGATTTTCGGTTTCTAAGCTATCTGCTAAGAGTTGTTGGGAATTTGCTGCAATAAAAAAAATCAAATCAAACTTAACAATTCACAAACAATGCAAAAGTAGTAAAGCGTGAGAACCCTGCACCTTAGTACAAATAAAAAAAATAACGTACACTATGAGCTGTTTCAATGGATACCAGTTGCCCTCGAGCAGAACTGCCACTATCCATAACCTCTGCACAATGCATATTGCGTTAATCAAAACGGAGAGAAAAAAGACTAATCAGACACAAATAAAAACAATTCCTTTACAAAGTTATTACAATAAAAACGCTACAATTTGAAGATATTTTCTTTAATTATTTTTTTTTACAAATTATTACATTGTACGAGTCATAGAGTGAGTTAGAGTTATAGCTACTTCATAAAGGATATTACTCCTATTCTGATTAGTTACTAGGAAAAGCGCCCCGATATACAACGTCAACTTTTTTAAGGTACTCACCTTGAATAGCCTTCTCGACTTTTTGTTTATCATGTAATATGTATAAAGCATTAACTAAGAAAAATAATGCTCCTAGAATTTCAACAAAACAAGTTGTGAACAGAGCATACTGAAGGGATTTAAAATCGTTCCATTCGTTCTTTGACGATTTATTGAGCAAGTTGAGGATAGCTTCGGACATCTAGTAATATAAAATTAGATCAAGTTATCCAAACGTCAAGTACACTTACAACACCAATTAAGTAGGGACTTCCTGCATCTCCCAAGGCGTGTGAAACTAGTAACTGCAAGCCCTCAGCGGTAGACCTTCTTGTAGGTAATACAACATACTGCAAAACATAGTTATTAGATTCCAACAATTGAGAATTAAAAGTAATATATTCTTATAAAACGAAGTATGAAACAAATAACTGAAAAACTAACAAATGGTAAGTGCAAGGAACTCTAATACAAACATTTATCTAACAAAACGGCAGTACCATTAAATATTTGATGAGAAATGACTGCAATGTTTGAAATGAAAACATAAATGAGATGATAATGAAGAGTATATTTAAATAAATTGTAGTGTTGGTGCACGCTTGTTTCAGCTCGTCGTTTTCTACAAACAATATTAAAGTAGTATTATAGTGATCTACTGTTGTTAATGAGAATTTTTATTATAAATTACCTTCACAAATCTAAACTTAATTAGTGGAAGAAAACAAAAACAGACATCTTATTTAAAGAAAAGGGAATTCTAAGTTAATTATTGCAGTCGATCTCACAAATTTTTTTTTGGGGTATCATGCGTTTGGGGTACCAGTGAGTGATATTTTTACTGTTCACAGATTATTTGAACATCATGTTGTAATAGCATCATAAAAACAACTACGTACAAGAAAACAGGAGGAAATTGTTAAAATTTTGTTTATACTTACTAGGAAAACTAAAAAACATTATAAAATAATTACAAAATACAAAAAAAAAAATGTCCCAATTACAAAATCATGTGATATTTTTGTAACAACTTTTCAGTACATCTTTTATTGGATACATGCATACAACTAGTAGTTTTCAACTGAATGTTATATTCAAAATTTCATTTGTTTTATGGCGATAGAATATTGCAATCATTTTTTTAAACTTCGAAAAGTTTTTTTATTGTCAAGCGAAAAAAAAACGGAAGACTAATGGGCATTAAGTACGTGTTTCATTTCTTTTTGCAAATTATGCGGGCTACAAAATATGATCTTTCTATTAATTAATAATTTTACTTATGTTTATTATTCAGCAAGGGGACGCCTATTATTGTTTTTAATTTCACAGCTAGTACTAAAAAATATACACACACACCAGCATACAAATGAAATAATAAATTTTCGTTCCAAGGATATAAAAGACTGAATTTAAAACTATAAAAAAAGAGGTTGATATTGAAATGTTGAATTTGGCCTATAACCATCCGTTTATTAAACCTGGATTTTATCGCATGCTATAAACTATACGTGAGGTATGTACAGCCTGTAAAACAAATATGAAACATCCAATATTTTAGTAGACAGTAGGTAACTATTTTAACGCTTGTACCAACAGAAATAATGCAAAAATTAACTGGGGTTTAAGGTCTCAATGATTCATTTAGACAATATTTGCTGTAAAATGTCTCGAAACACGTAATTATCTTTCCCGTGCACTGAAATTTCTTGGTATTGCGGTAATAATAACACGTTGGGTAAGTATCACTGTACAAAGCGATCTTTCAGAAGGTTTGATTGTAAAGTGATTTCAAAATTGCCCAGTGTTCCTGAACTGAATTCGAAATGATTTTTACATTATAATATTTCCATAACGAAAAGAAACATTGTTTTCAATGTTTGCATTTGATATGCAAAATTAAAAAGTATCGACTAAATTGATCGCCTCAAGTATTTCTGGCTTACTATAGTATTACACAAAGTGCGATTTTTTTTATATATTTAAAAGATTTATTAATGAAATTTTAGATCGTCCGTTCTTTAACTTAATGTTACATAAAACTGAAATATTTTTATTATTATTAAAACTGTTACTAAAACATGGTGTTCAAATTTTTGCTAATACTTGCATTTTAAGTATTCTCTGAGGACAAAATAAACAAAATTAGCGGTGTGACATACATTCTAGAAAAAAAAAAGTTATAAAATTTGTTTACTTCTAACAAACCAAAGGACATGATGCAAACATAAAATAATATCTCAAACATCAGTGCAAGGATATTAACACAAAAGGAATCGTAAAGTCGAAAACAAAGAAAGGAAAGTTAAACTGAAAATTCCACAACCAATTATTTAGGAAAATAAAATTATACACAAGAGGATACGGTGGTAACGTAAACTGAATTGAAATTTGGATAATAATGGATTCTGTTTTTGTTTCTTACCAGCAAAATATCACTGACTATCGACCAATTGAGATTCAACGCAACCTGTCCAAGGAACAAAAGTACGTAACACAGGGCGATGTTATAGGTGGCGGCGAAGGTGGTCCCTAGTAGTAACGGTGCTGATATAAGTAGACCCACTGCGCAAATAATTGGATCAACTCTGGGATATTTAGGTTTCAATTTTTGACTTAAATAGCAGCCCAGAGTTAAACCGACCAAGCCCGCCAGGATCGTTATCGCCCCGAATATAAACGTCGAGCTGAAACATCACGTAACAACGGTCAGAGGGCGGTGAGGACGACACAAATTACATACTATATACAGGGCGAATCAAAAATGCTTTTTGTTTTTGATGCTTTCCCAAGAGGAACAAGAATCCATTACGTTATTTCGTTTCTCAGGAGTTGCCACTTTTGTTTCTTTAACCCATATGTATCAAAATTTGAAGAAAACCGATTCATGTTCATTAAAAAATTCATATACATTCTCGAAATTTGAATAATGCAGTGTTTATGTTTGGCACAAAATTTTGAACTCTATTTATTAATATAAATCTGTACTTGTTACTGGAAAAGATCAAATGACACCCGTTTTTTTAAGTAAAAATGACAACAGATTTTTTTTCAATTTTATTTTTTTTATACGTTGAGTTATTTAATAAAATTACATCGTAAAGTGTTTGAATTTAAAAATAATTAACACATATTGCATACCAAATGTTTTTCGTACAACTATCAAAAGTCGCTTATTATTCAACTTAGTTTGTGCTTTTCCTTTTTTAAAGGCTTTTTTATGTTGTTTACAGTAGTTTCGACAATGTATTTTGGCTCCAAGTAATGTGTTTAGAGTAACTGAATTACTAAAGTGCTTTTTTTCATGTTTCTTATTTCAAGTCAAAAATTGCAAAATTACTCACTTTGTTATCAAGAGCTTTATTAAAACAGTGAAAAATTTACACGATATGACACGATGAAGAACTAAAATTGTCATTGTTAGATAAACATAAATAGATTTTGCTATTTTGACTGTTAAAATACAGTTGTAAAAAAATGTGTACCACATCTGTGTAACGTTTTATCATTTGAAATCTTTTTTAACTCGACTAACGTTATCAAAGAAAGAAGACGTAATGAAGGTGAGACTAAACATATTTTGTCAACTAATATTTTTGGTACGTGGAAATTCTTGCAAAAAAAGTTAAAGCAATACTTACCCTCTCATGTACGGAATATTTTTGTTATGAATCTACATATAACCTATTACAAAAATTATTTTCAGTGTTACTGAAATGTATTGAGCACAAAAAATTAAATCAGTAAGTAGGTAAGTATTGATGTAATTGTATAATACCGTATGAATAAAAACCAAGTAAATTAGAGCTGACTATGTGTTTAATATCTTGTAAAAAGATGTTTCTACACTATGAACGTTAATGTGTATCGAAGTTAAAAATATTTGACTTTTTTTTATGTAAATGTGACATCATGTCAACACTGTAATTAATTAATATTAATCTAAAAGAAGCATGCAAATTACTATTTAAAAACTATTGTTTCTGTTATGTAAACTTTGTTTTGCATTACATAATTTGTGTCGATTTATTTTTAAACAATGGACAGAATTAAACAACTAGTAGGTATTTATAATTTGTTTCGACAAATTCGCACTGATGAATGAAAAAATATCTGCTGCTGTGGAAAACAATGATATTCCGTAAATACATAATATGAAATTCTGAGAAACTTAAAAACAAATGTCACGGGAAATGATAAAATCGACAATTTCAAATGATGGCAAAAATACTTAGGTTACTTTTTTTTTAACTACTTGTGAAAGACAACGGAACATTAAAACAGAATATGTGAAAGGCTTCAAGCACGGTGAAATTGAAACTTAAATGCTTATTTATGAATTGGACAATACAATTGATTTAAAATTATGACACGGCCCAGATAATTCTTTTCTTTTTTGATTGCACGGTATTTAAGCTTCCACTCAAGATGTAGTACGTACTTATTTTGGTCAGACTACAAGTGAAGTCGTTCCATTCGTGGTTAAAGTGGATTTTTTGTCATAATTTGATGTTTCATTCATGCTGGGTTTATACTCGTTCATTTACATTTAACGTTTATAAAATTACGTTAAATTTTTAGGCAGTTCCTGCTGCCAAGATAAATAAATGCATTTTTGCATTGGCTAAAATTTTCTTGCTTCGTGAAATTAAGGACGCTAATAACTGAGTAAACATGGACGTATTGTTCAATTTTAATATGGTATCAACACATTTAAAACTCGTATTTCACTGCAAAAGAGTCGCTTGCAATCTTATTGTATTTTTTAGTAAGTGTTAGATGTAAATATTAAAATATCGTATAGTTTAGGATATATCGTTGTACCCTATAAAATTTTATTGACAATAACGAGACGGACAGTGGTACAATAGCAAGAGATATTTACAACTTAAAGTTGTCGCGTGGCGGTAATCCGCAGATGTTAGAAAGCAGAATAATTCAGGTCCGGACAGGGACCATCGTTACTCACGGACAAATTCGGGTGGACTGGTGTGAGCCATAAATATTTCTTACCATTGTAAATAGTCCGCCTCGTTATTATCAATAAAATTTTATAGGGTACAACGATATTTCCTAAACTATACCAACTTCAATCAAACTGCAGTAAGAAAATTATGTGTTTTCTTTGAACAAACTACAGATATTTTATCGTTGAAGCAATAATTTGATTAGTACAAAATTAATTTTATGTTTTGAATTCGGATTTTGAGCATGCAATTTAGGATCTAGGCGAATTGACGTAATTAAAGGCGTTGTTATTTATTTTATAATACAATATTAATTTTTTTTTATATTTTATTTAATGTGTCGAGATTATTTTGTATACTTTTACATAAATATTTTGTCATTTTGCGGAATTTTATCACCACTTATTTTATTATTGTTTAATAAGTTTGAAAAATACATTTTCTTTAAAATTACATTTTGTGTGTACAATTTTTGATTTATAGAATATGTATTTAATGAAATGGATAATTTTGTTCAGTTATGATTAATTTAGTACAAAAAAAAAACGGTCCTCGTCTACGTTTTGGCACATATTTAATGTATACTATATAGTAGTCTACCAATAAAGCTAGTCGTTTTAGGAAAAAAAGAAGGGACAATAGTATGTGTACATAAGGCTTGATCTGCCAGTACCATCGTGGTAGCAAATTTTTTTCTGTAATTTCTTTTTTGTTAATAAAGTGACAGTAATGGATTTAAATACTCCTACGCAAAGGTCGGAGCAAATTAAAATATCTTACGACACGAAAGAGAAGGGAATCTAAAGAATGTAGAAAACAAGTGTTACAGCTGTAATTGGCAGCTTTTTGCAGTTGGTCACATCATTACAATCAGTTATGTCGGTCGTAATTTTTGGGAATCTTCTCTGTTCTTGTTTTTAAAAAATACATAAATAAGAATTTACTCAACGTAAAATCGGTATCGATATGTCAAAAAACCGGCAATAATAACGCTTATTTCAATAAATAACTATTATTTCATGACAATATAGAGTTCATGCTAAAAACAAAAACAACATATGAGAAATCAACCAAATTAGCCTTCTTCCTTTTGTTACTTTAATCAGGTAGCGATACGCCCACTACCAGCACAAATGGCATATCTTTCGAAACGAGCTCACTCTCAGGTGTCGCTTACACTAAACATAAACATATAACAATTTTTTCCCCTAATGGCCACAATAAACTAGTAAAAACACCCTGTATATCTGACGCCGCTGCCGTCGCCGCCGCCCCCGCGTGTCGATTCTTACCAGCAGGATATCGGCTACGATGGACCACGTCAGATTTAGGAAGAATTCACCGAAAAAAACGAAAGTGAAACAGAGATTCGTGCTGTACGAGGCCGAAAGGCAGGCAGCGAACACCATCGGAGTGGACAAGAGCAGGCCGATGCCGCACAAGTGGGCGTCTATACGCGGGTAGCGGTGGCGCAAATGCTGCGCCACGAAACTGCCCGCCGGGACGCCCAGGATGCCCGACACCATTGACACAGCGCCGAACTTATATGCTACGCTAAAAACAATACAAAGCGGCGTCAAAGCGTATTGAACAGGTGATCACTAAATATGGAGTACATGGTCGGATCCTCCGGCGGTTTCAGCGATTGTATGTACTTGACAATGTCTACGATGCGTACCTCCTGTGGTGAAGATAATTGTGCGGGCGTCCGCATCTGCATAACGAGATGAACCGCCGCTGGTGGTACGGCCTTCACGTGCCCACGAGACAAGATAATAAGATTATGTTTTGGAATTAGACCCATAGAATATTCTCAAGCTCAGGGTTTATTCTCAAAAGTATGCTTATTGATATTGTCTATAATACGTTTTGTTTTTGCCGGTAAAGGATGAAGAAAATCAAAATTAAATTCGAAATACCAAGAAGAATTTTGAAAGAAGTGCACCTGTAATTTTTTAAACATGTAACTGTGGTTAATATAAAGTAAAACTTTACGTATAACCGCGCTTCTGAATTACAAGGATATCCTTTCATGAAACATTCTTTTAAATTGTTAAAAAATTGGTCGAAAGCTATTCAGATAAATTTTTTTCCGTCTCGACAGCAAGTTCAGTAAAGTCTACATTTTTAATCACTATATTAGGACTTGTAGTTTACCGAGAGGTAAAAGGGGTCTGTTACGTACGTTCACAGACAATTTGCATCGACCATAGTTTATGTTTTGGAAACTAATGAAATTTTATCTGTTTCGGTCAATTTTAATAAAAGAGATCCTAAGATCGTGAATCTTGACGGTTGTGCATTTATCAATTATCAATTTTTTTTTTTAAAACACCATGCAGTTCTAATGTAGTTTAGAGCACATTTGCCAACTGTTAATTATTATCACTCTTATTTTTACTAATCGTATTTAAATCGCTGCTATTGTTTTAAACATTTCGGGTCAAATCCCACCAAGTTCAAATAATTCCGAATTCGTAGTGTGCCGCCAAGTAGTCGATTAAAAAACACTAATGTTAAAATTTTTGCAAGCAAGGATAATGCCTTAGAATCATGTATTAATAAAACCTGAAAAATATGGTGTTTCATTAATTTCCTTTTAATGTTTATATATTACGATTATTTTATTTTGTACAGGTCAACCTATTACACTTAGAATAAAATAATTTTAAATAATCGTACACGACTCTGTACTCTGTGATGCGCTTACAATCAAGGGAACTTGATTGAATGCTAATTCAGATTTGAACTTTGACCGTTACATAGTGTTTAAGAATGATTTAGGATCTCTCTCATACTTTCAGTGTTGTAAATTCAAAAGTTTGAATTCAATTAATTGCCTTCGTTAGATCCAATCATATTGGAGATAGTTGTCCTATATGGCTCAAAACTAAGTCCGCTCTTTTTTGTAACATACGAAGATGACTTTCTACAATTTTTACAATACATTAATCGCATCTTTTGCACAATATGACATATCATGACGACACAAGGCGAAAAGTTCTCAATGGAAACTACCTGAAAAATTTTCGCGGAAATTTTTTAAACATGAATTTTTTATTTTTAGTACAATTAACATAATATATCCTAAAAGACAGCACAAAACTAAGTGCACAACTTTGATAAAAATAAATAAATAAATATTATAGCGAAATGTAATTAAATTATTTTTTTGGTTTTTATTTACTTTACATTGTATTATTCGCCAACAACCAGTACCGTATCACCAAGTTCCGAGACTGACGTGCGTTGGGTTATCTATTAAGCACCAAGTTGTAAAAAGTCCATTATCATATTACAACGATTCATTACTTATCACCTCGATAAATATAATGGTTCAGCCCTTATCATTGTAGGTAGGAATAACATTATAAATGGCTACAGGCGTAAGAGAATTTTCACTGTTTTTCATTACACGAAAAGTATGTAAAACTGATTTTCATAAGATTACTTTCATGATAATATTTAGTGTTAACACAGATTTTACATAAATTGTTGAACAACAGTTAGGTAATGTTTTTGTTTAAAAATTTCACTAACAAAGACATGAGTATGTGACCTCGACAATCTAATTACGTCTAGAATAAATTTATTATTCAGTTATTTAATTATCCATGAATATGACAAAATGATTTTCTGGAAAGAACAACAATAATTCACTTATAGAAAAATTATGAACTTGCAACTTATTACTTTTTTGCACAATACATATATACATACTTTAACCGGTATATAACAACTGCTGTTTTTACAGCACGATTTGTGTTAGTTCATATGGATCATAATATAGTTACACAAGATAAGAATACAGGTCAATTAAACAAGTGTTTTCCTCTTATTTTTCATTAAAAGTGGCTTCATAAGCCCGTCTAATTGCCGACCACAATTTCATAAAATCATCGGTAAATGCATATTTGAAATTCAGATCAGTCACATTACCTCAAACTTTTCAAAGCCATAATTGTAACTACCAGGTACCAATAAAACATTTACAATCCCTTCTATCTTATGAGCACATCCCCCTAATGGCTTTTTCTTGTAGATGCACGGACAACCCATCATTAACCTTTCCACAAATATCTAGTAGTACAGTTTTATCATCTCTTCATTCAAACTCAAAAACTAATTTTAAAGTTGAAGGTAACACTTTCTTGGAGCAAACACCGGACCAACTTGCCAACTATTCTACTTTCAAGGGCGCGTCTCGTGAGACATTCTCAAGTACACACATAAAAAATAGTCTTAAATAAATGGCAAACATGTAAACGACCTACTACATCAAGATTTCTTCTTACCTGTCACTATCAACGTTGTTCTCGCCCATTTGTAACTTGAGCCCTTTCTCGATAAAGTTAGGACCCCACCATGCCAACGCACCCGCCACGAAGGTAACGCATGTGAAAGCAGCTGTAGAGAAGATAAAGCTTTTACTGCAAAAGAAATATAATAAGAAATTATGTCGATTTAAAAAGTGCGTTGCATTACTTTTTGGCTAGATCTTTTAAATCTTCTGTCCAGGGAGTGGTTTGAATGTGACTACTTCCTTCGCTTTGCCCCCGTTCAGGATCCCGAAGGATGAAAAAAATGAGGATTACTGCTATTACGCCGAGAGCTGGCGTTACTCGTAAACCCCACTGCCATTTACCTGCAGCTTTGGCCGTTTCAGAACCTACTATGTATCCCATACCACTGAAAAATACAAACATTGTTGGTTTCGGTATGTTTTTGGTGCGGTTTCCTCTGTCTCTTTGTCGGTGCGTCTTCAGGAAGCATAAAAACTTAACCGTAAAGATGGTCTCGTCAAAGAAACAAAAATACCGGAAATACAAAATATCTTATGAAAACCCGAAAAACATGATTATTTAACGACGGTAGATACAGAAGTGCTCACTGATTTTTACACTTGCTTATTTCTCTTTCGAGCGGCAGCTGAAAAATAAGTTTCTATAAGTATTAAGCAATGTTTCTGTAGAGTTACTATTATGGTAAAAAATTATGTTGTTATTATTATTATTATTATTATTTTTAACAGAGAACGTCTTATTTATTTTGCAGGTTTGTGCTTTTTCTAACTGCCTTGAAACATCACTATTCTGTTTTGTCATTTTAGTTTTAAGTTTCTTTCTTTATAAACGGCGACAAAATATATTTTTAATTTAAAGCGTATTTGGTTTACACAACTTGTTAAAGTAATACATATTTATACAAATTTACGTAAACTTATTATTATTAGCTATAAAAATAATGTTTTTGAAATTTTAGAAGCACTTTAAGATTACTGCGTACTGGGTAAAACGATAATAATCAATATAAATTATTTCTAGTGAATATTTTGGTAGTTAAAAAAAAATTAAATTAAAATAAATAAATTATAATTAAATTGAATTATTAATTATACATAAAAATTTATCGTACGACAATGACTACATTCAACAGCCATCTTGCAACCTTACTGCGCGTCTGTGGATGAAAGTAAAGATACTAATATCGTTATTAAAAAATTGGGGTTGGTGGTAGAAAATTGAAAATTTAGGGTTGTGTATTTTTTGATGCCAAATCTTAAAAAAATAAATATAAAAAATGTTGGCCAAAAAATAAAACATTTTTTGGGTGGGCCACCCTTATCACTTAGGGGCATAAAAAATACTTTACGACCTATTCTCAGACCTACCGAATAAACACAAAAAATTTCATAAAAATCGGTCAAGCCGTTTCGGAGGAGTTTGGTTACAAACACTGTGACACGAGAATTTTATATACATATTAGATATTAATTTTTGTTAAACTTTGTAGTGAAGTGCTGTTTGCAGTTTAGTAAATAGGAATATATTTTAGTTTTGGCAACTTTTTACTGAGGACGATATAAAAAAGGAAATGTGTGAGTTAATTTGTTTTCAATTTCCTCGGAAATGTCCAACAGCATGTTATGGTTAATTTTCTTTTGTACATATTGTTACGTTTTACGGATATTAAAATTTGCGTGGGTTAAACTCACCAATTTATTTCAAAGTAATACAAAACTACACGACTAACTATACAGGGATTATGTACAGAATAATTCCTACTCGACTGGAATGAATTTGACTCGACTCAAATTCTTTCATTGACCGGGGACTCAACTGCCCGTTTTCGGTGGTGGCCCCTATTTAAACAGCCAGATATATTTCTAGATATATCACGATCGAGATTGTTCTGGAGTACTCATCGCGACTTCCGCTTCCAGGCTTTTCTCTATTCGAATACCACCCTCACCGATGATGAGTCTTCACCGCCCATTGCCGTACATACTAGAAAACCCATAGGGGTCGTACCGGGGCGGCGTATGGGTTCATTTCGTAACAATACCAAAATTAATTACTTGCACCGTTGCTGCATTTATTATTATTTTTAAGTTGCTAATTATATTTATAGTTTGTAACATTAAGTTAACTACTAAATGATTATTATTACATCATTGTTTTCAGTACTAATGAAAGTAATAATAACGACAAACACTGATAACTATGCATTAACTTTATATCATAATACTTAAAAGTACGTTGTTTGGCAAGGTTGTTATACAAAAATGCTTACCATCAATTTAAAATTTTCATTGTCACTGTTTTTTGAAGATGGATATCATTGCATTTTTTTTTTTTGTTTAAATCGAACACTCAATTTTGTATATCTTGTATTTAAATAACTATATATATTACTTAAATACCTATATATACGATTTTTTCGTAGGTACTTAAATAATGTATGATTTTAGATTTTACATTAGAAAAGTTTAAGATTCGACTGCAACATTCGTATAAACGCGTTACTGTCCTGCATGATATGCAGACAGCATTTTGATCATTTTACAAACTTTACCATTTTTTTTTTTTAATAAATGTTTTCGTTCATATTTTACCAGCCCCAATTGTATCTTACCAATCAAATGTGTGGACAGCGAATTTTATCTTCTTCCGCAATAAGATAATTTGCAACAGATATTTTGAAATATCTCGTACGATAAATAAATATGTATAATAAAATACACATTTTTGGTTCGGTCTTTCGAACCGTTAATAACCATAACAATAACTATGATAATGACAGCACAGCTGTTTTTAATGAAGTAGTTAAAATGGAAAAAATGTACTACACAATTTCCAACCTAAAAAAAAAAAAATTAAATTACCTTCCAACGGGTATCGCAAAATAGAAAAGTGCCAACATTTTTGATCTTACGTCGCCAACAAAGAGATCGCTGATAATAGTTGGGGCTATGGTAGAGTAACTCGCTTCACCAATACCCACCAAGGCCCTAAACAACAGGAAGAGCCAATAATTCTAAAAGCAAGCTCCGTCTCACAATTCAAACTTTACAGCAGAACAAGATCATTACCGTCATGAAGGAACCAATTAAAGTGGTGATACTCCACAGGAAGACACCAAATGCCATTATATTTTTTCTACTGTACCTATCTCCCAAGTAACCAAAAATAGGAGCGAAAATCATGTAACTTAAGACGAATGCCGTCTGTAATAGGCCTCCTTTTCCATTGTGTACGTCGAAGTATGTCTGAATATCTTGTAGAATACCTGAAAAAAAAAAACAGAAAACTCGTTAGGACAAAATTGCCTGTTGAATAGAATTGGGGGTAATAATTCAAAATTTTAATCAAGCGGAAGCAAGAATATGGGCTTCTCTGCGTCATCTCGGTTTTGTATGCGGAGCTTATTACATCGGGGACTCCCTGTTGCCTGCGGCATGACCTCACGGTCACACGTGCCACTTCAATAGAGAACCCCTCAATCATAGTTCATTAAAACATTTAGCCAACAGCGGTGGCAATGACAAATCGAGTTGGTACAAAAATAACAAAATCTGAAAGATTTTTTTTCATCATGGAAATAAATTATAACAAGTGTTTATTTGATGACGACGTTTTTGTCATCAGGTTCAGTAAATGGGCTTCATTCATAATTAGATGATGGACAAAAAGATGTTGCTCTAACCGGAAATATCATCACTCGGCAGACTCATGTGGGTGGTCATTAAAAACTTCCTCAAAAATTTTCTGAATGCGAACTGTAGATAACCTTTTTATGGTAATACATAGAGTGATGCCCTGCTATTCCTAAAGTATTTTAAGACACTTGGATCATAAACAAATATTTGACTATTAAAAAATATCGCAAACCAGAAATAGGAATATTGAGACCCTTTCTTGCTAACTTGGTTAAAATTAACGGTTCAATTAATGTCATTTTGCCAATTAACTGTTTATTATTAATAATCCATTTTTATTCTAATTTTCATTCTTTTCATATTTTATTACAACAACAAAAGAAATACATAAAAATAAAAAGACATTATATAGGAATCCTTTCTGATGGAATAAGCACGTATTTGGAATCACTTTTGATTTTTATACCGAACTTATTAGGTATTATAAATAATGTATCGAAAACACAAACTAATTTTAAAGTTATTATTTCTGAATTGAAATAGGATATTTAATAATAAGGAATATTTAACAGATTTAAAAAATATATACATTTTTGAAACAATGTTGTTAAACAAAATTCACATGGCAGTTTTGTAGATGCCAGACATTTTTAAGTTTGAAAATTACATAAACAATATCATTTAAAAAACTTCAACGGCACACAAAAATGGAAAACATCTTTATACTTTTTTTTTTATTTCTGGACATTACGTGCTACATTTCCCAACAGATGTTAAAAATTTGTTCAGTGAATTTATTTCTTTTAAGTATGTATGTATATAACATTAATACAACAAAACATTTTGTTATTACATACTAGCATTGGAAAGAATCATAAGCATATAATTAATGCCTATTATTATCGAAAAAACTAAAGGGAAAAAAATGCAGACAAAACTTGGCGATACACAAATATCACTTACGACAAGATTTTTGGGTTTGGGCTTTACAAACTACTACAATCAGGAGTCAGGAGTATGGGTTCAACCACAATTTTGAGGTTTTAGGTTAACGAACAAGTGTAGTAATATCGCAGATTTTTCTTTTAAAGTAGTGTACAACCGATAGATGTAATAATACATTATATTGAGTGAGTCCATTTTGTCACTTTTTTAGTTTTGTCTGCGACTTTACATTTTTTTTTTTTACAAAATATTTTAAATCTGTCAGACAGATATACAGTTTCCGACAAAAAATTTCAAACATTACTTTTCTGTCATGTCAAAAATTTTAATGTAGTCATTATTTCGGACAGCTGGAATGTCAAACTTTCAAAATACCTAAACATCTAAAGGTTGCTTTACACTATCTGACGACTGAATGACATTGACGTCTGAAATTTTTTGGCGGCAACTGTATTTTTACTTTACCTACAATATAATCCTGCACTACAAAATTTAGTATGGAAGAAGAGTTTTAGTAGTCTTTTTGTCTTACAGATAGGTGGGTAGTTAATTGGTAATTGTACATCAAGGAAATTCGAAAGTTTTTGATTTAACACCTTGTTAAGTTAGAATAATTAAGCACCTAGATCGCAGAACCTTGTACAATCAAGAAACAAGAATGTACATACCCAACACAGGGGCACTTTTGAAACACGACGAAAGCAAGTTCTCTATATAACTAATTCTTAAACAAAAACTTGTCGATGTTTGTTGACTGATGCCAACATACCACTGTCTATTACCATTAAATACATACGTCAAATTTACCAAGAATGATATCAACATTCTACCCAATCATTTCTAAAATATGACATCTTGTTATATGTAGTTATTTTACTGTTTTATTTCTACTTTTTAAAAACAGATTCAGATTTGTAATCTTAAGACTCAGCATAATCTCGAAATATTTTTAGAATTTAAATGTTAGTTAACCTTAGTTGACAAAACATAATGATAATGTAGAATTACATACGTAAGTTACCGTGCTACTACAAAGGATTACGACAATGCAGTGATGTCAATACAGATATATTAATATGTTAATTTCTATATAATGAGGAATGGCAACAACCACAAATTTGCATTAATTTCGTTAAAAACTAATAAAAACCATAAATAACTGCTGAAAGCAATATGCACAGCATGAAAACTTTGTGTATTTAAAACTTTTACAGTTATTCATTTGTTTTGTACGAAGTCGATTAATAATACTCCATAAAACAGCCAATGCAATGTTTTTAGATTACTTTTGAAAAAAAAAAAAAAATCAAAATATATATTATTAAAGAATTTACGATTTTTGTATTAAAGGTCGATATTTTGTCAGTTTTGCATGCAAAAATTGTTTTATAAGCACAACATTGATTTCCAATTAATACGTTTGAATGGACGCTAAAGTTTGAACAGTTTAAAAGTCGTTTATACTTTTGTTGTTTGAAAGTAACATTACTTGAAATGACACATAGATGTAGAAAATACATAACATACCATGTACTCTAGTAGTTGATGGTATACTTAATTGTGGTTTTATTGTGTTGTGATAATGTATGTAATTATAAACATTCTTTCAATCTTTAATTATTTAGTCTTTAAATAAAACGAACATTATTTAGCGCACTTCTATTCATATAATTTCACTTGGTATAAAAATTACAGAATGTTCGATAGATTGTCAAATGATTTTTAGTGCTGTTTAAGGTACTGAACTTCATTTACTCCATCATAACAAATTACCAACGATGCTAATTTTCCAATGCTAGAAATTTACGTCATATTTTGTGGAAAAATAGCATAATTAGTGGTACTCTGTTCAAAGATCAAAGTTTTGCCAAGATAACACGGGAATTAGCATAAATTCGTAATTAAAATTTGTATAAAAATATTTGATAATTTATCATGTGTTGCGAACCACTGTAACTGAACAACTTAATTAATTTAAATCCTTTAATAATAACTTTAATTCAAATTTGAAGTTAACGAAATTCTCCAATTTCATTTGTTACTTTTTTTTTTGTAAATACATATCTCCTGTTAAACATTTAAATAAAATGTTAACATCTGCCCAACAGAATAAAATCTTACTAAAATAAAGAGGCCAATCTAAGAATCTCAGTGAATGCAACAGTCTTATGTGCAACACCAAAATCTAAGATTCCAGTCATTCTATTTTACAGGGTCTACAATTTGTAGTTGATTTGACTGATAACACGCAACTTTTCATTTGAAACAATATCGCGAAAAATGTTAAAGTCGCCTACAAACAGCCATGTGCACAAGAAATTAAGGTAATTTATTAATAAATATTTAAAATAGCTGGTTCCGTTCTGAAGGAATTAATTCATAGGTAGTTTGCAGGTCGCTCCATCAATATTTACTTCATTTTTATGCATAAAAAATGTACACAAATGGCGTGGGGTTTTATTAAATAAGACTCCTGTAATAGCTTTGAACTTTTCATGATCTTTTAAATTTTGTATTGTGAACAATGTTCTTAATGTCTGATTCATTGTTCACAATAACATTACAAGCCTGAGATGTATGTCAGTATCACTACATCAGCCGCAATGGCAAATCTTTAGGTATGTCATAATGATAACTGATAAGATAATTGATATTATCTTGCAGTTTTTTTAGGTGCTGAATTTTTACGGAGTTTGTTGGGTAGTCAGCAGCTTTGTGTACGGTTGAATTTAATTATCTTCTCCATCACTTAAACATTTATTCAATGTCGTATTAACGCGGTCTTAATTTGATACTGATTCTTCTTTCAACTTGCTGCTAGAAGTAGTAAATTGTAATACAGAGACTACCTGATAAAGACCAGTGATTTGAATAGGTCTAGCATTTTCCATTTGGCCTTGTTGATGACTAGTCATCGATCTGCCAAATTTTAAATTTGTGGCGTGACTCGAGTATATTTACGATGTCGCGCACAACTGCATGAACAAACAATTATAATCACCCTGTATATAAATATACCAGAAATGTTTCATTCGTGCATATATCTAGTGCATCACTTGGCGTGCCACATTTACATCCAAATTAAAAACACGTTTCAGTCTGTGATGTTTAACGTCACCTTTATCTAAGTGCATCAAAAACCAACTTTGAATTATTCAAACAAACCCTCCTTTTCTCAACATCCTGTACTTAAGTTACTTTACTCGTATAGAACAGAAAAGTATTTAAAGAAATTCAATCTGATTAGGTCAGTGATCGAGCGTTCCCACTATACATACCATAAATGTTACTCCTCTAATATAATTAATGAATAATTCATTGATTTTAAAGTCGTCTTTTCAAGACGCGATAAATTTCGGTAATGAAATTTTTTGTCGGTGTAAGCCCGCATACAATTAAATCATGATAGATGGCGCTTCGATCGTGCACATAAGAGGGTCTTCATCCCCCTGAAGCTATCCATTAAACTTTATCGTAAACTGATCGTTTGGATGACAGCGATTTTCCGTCAAATCCACGATGAAACGAGCTGTTTACAGAAACTTCCTCTGTCCATAACATTCGCGATGTAATTACATCGAAAACGGGGAGGGCTGTTCTTGACAACTTCCAGACGGTGTGCGCCCGACACGTGCAGTCTTCAACAATGTTGTAATTATGCGATTTCATTAAATTAACGCATTAA